GCCTTTGTGGCTGACTGGGATTGCCCCGATGGAACTGATCTTTACTCCTGTGCACGCTTCTCAAGTCAAAACCATGCACCAAAATCCATGCAACGAACGAGGCCAACACCAATCTGCCCAGTTGTCCGATCTGTCCATCCACACAAAGAGAAACCATTCTGGTGCAGGAGAGACACCTGGTGTTCAGAGCCCAGAGTGCAACGCACGCCTCTGATCAGCCAAGCAAAAACTGAACGGAGGCTTTGCTTACTGGGTGCTTTGGAAATACATCAGATGAATCCACAACCAGAAATGCAGTGCTTTTTTGTCATAGAACGCACAGGAATGGAGTCCCTGCACCTTTTTTCGACAGATTGCCCAAGTTTTAAAAGTAACTTTTGAAAATTTGATGTTTGGTCCACGTGGATTTCAATCACCCGGTTGAGCTTAGCAGGTTGGTGGCAAAATCATTGAAACAGTGCATGCGGGCTGCTTGTGTGTCGAGTCCGATGCGTGCGTGCTTCGTCCGCGCTGGTTGTGATGGTGCTGCTAGGCTTGCGATTGGTCGTGTGGTCGCACACTGAGTGGTTACTGCGGGCGGCGACCATCATGTTTCGTTACACAACTGACGTGTGTGGGTGTGTGTACAGTGATTGACTATGTGCGAAGGGTAAATAATTTCATGAGTTCTGGCACCTTTTTTCTTACAAAAAAAGCACTGCAGAAATGAAAACACCCTTTGGACCATTTCCCCTGCTTGCAATGTTCAGTTGTTTGTCATTGTTAGAAGCCCAAAGAGGCTCATGATCTTCTCCTCTTTTCTTATTTATCTTCAGAACCACCCTGTGAAATAGGTTAGGCTATAACTTAGAGACGGGCTTAAGTCACCCAATAAACTTCACAGCCAAGCAGGAGCTAGAACTTGAATAGAGCAGGAATTGGAATTAGAGCATCCAACACTCTAACCACTACACCACGCTGCTTTTCAGGTAAGAGTTTAATTATGCACACATATATGCATACATAAATATAATGATGACAGTGATTTGTATTAGAAACAGAGCACACTGTATTATACTGAGTCAGACTCTCCATCCATCCATCCATCCATCCATCCATCCATCCCGAAGAACCATCTAGTCTATTCTGACTTTCCCGCATAGGGGATGCAGCAATCAGTCTATATCTAGTCCAAGGCAATTCTGCATTTTTTCAGTCCTACATTTGTTCTGTCTTGTTTCTATATCTTTCTCATTCCCTTTTTTTGGAAAGGTGTGAAAGTTCACCTTTATTTGGAATGCAATTTTCTTTGGCATATGAATTTTGTATGCATCTCCCCCCAAGGGATGGTGTTTTGTACACAGTGTTTGATCCCAGACCCCGCCTTGCAAAATCCAGAGAAGTGCACAGTGTGAAGGAGAGCGAGTTTCCAGGAAGCAGGAACACCCCTGCAGGTGCTTGCAGCGAACAGCTGTGGCCACGATGCAGTGCAGCTGGAAGCCCTGGAGGGCGGCGTGAACGGCTTTGCTGCACTCCTGCTCTTCGCCCAACAACAGGAGCTGTTTTGCTAGCTACCTCATGCTTCGCCTTCCAGCTTTGACTTGAACCAAGCCCTTGCTCTGGCCCAGCTCCAGCCTGTTCCCGCTTCCAGCTCCAGCCTGTTCCTGCTTCCTTACCATGTCCTTGCTCTCATCTGCTCTGACCTCACCTTGCTCCTGAGCATGAATGTCTTACTGGTACCTGTGCTTGGCCTGCTCTGGGATGGTCTTTTGCTTGCACCTCACTGTCTTGCTGGCTGTTGACTTCAGAGTGTTCAGAGGCACGTCTTTGGCTTCTGGCTCTCTAGACCTGGTGCAAACCTCCACCTGCATCTGCACCCTGGTCCTGGCATCCTGGACCTGCCTACTGCCCACGTTCCGGACATTACGATGATGCTCTGCTTCATGATTCATCTGAGAAGTGCATGAGATCAGGATGCCCAAAAGGATGGAGCATCTCCCTTCCTGGGCCTTGGGCAGAGAACCCATCCCTGTGACTTGCTCCTCCACACGGGAGATACCTGGGAGGTGTACAGATGGGGTGGAAGGAGAGGTGCCCACTCTCCTCTCCTGCCAATTCCCTGAGCATTTTGCCCTCTCCAAGGCCTGGTTGGGACCACGGGGACACGGGCAGCTCATGGGGTCTTTCTCTGCCAGCTACAAGCGGCCAGGCTGGGTGCTTGGTCTATGGAACTCCAGTTCCAATATCATGGAGCTGGGACTCCAAATCATCTCCAGGTGGCACCAGGAGGCCTTAGGCTTGAGCCTAAAGTGGCCAAAGTTTTGTGAATTGGATTCATGGCCATTTCTCTAGGCATGAGATCTTGCCTTACACAGGAGAGAAAGACAGACATTTCTTCCGTGGTGCAATAACTAATCTTTAAGGCCAATACTATTGGTCAAACGTGCTTGTTGTGTTTAAGTTACTTTCTTAGTAGTCACTCTGTGGCCCTCTGTGGTTTTTCTGCTTTTTTCCCTGGAGTCTTTTCCTCATAACTTTGCTCAGTGGCTTGCCTACAAAGCACTGATCTCTTCTTCCTTGGTACTTATCTTTCTTTCTTGCTGGGTCGCTCTCCCAGCTCTGACTCTTCAGCTCTGAAGCAGCAAATCTCTTCTTTTTACTGAATGTTCCTTTTTCCAGGTCATTGATCTGGAAGGCTAAAAAAACCATTTCCCTGGAGATGCACAGGAGGTGTGTGCGTGCGTGCGTGGGGACGATCTGCTCTTGCTTTCCCTTTCAAAAAGTTGCATTTATGACTTGAAGTTAATGAATCCATAGATTAATATGTTTGTACGTGCAGGCAGGAAATAGTGTCCAAAACGAGTCTTTTTTTATTTTTCTTTGTCACCGTCTAGAAGGCAGCTTTTCCAGGCCATCATTCCTCTCCAAAAAGCTCACCACATTACACCATGTAGTTTGGTATTCTTTTTCCACGAAGAACAAACTCTATGTACACTGTGTTTGGATTTTTTTCTGGGCATCAGAACTTCGTTTACTGAGATGGTGTGCGATAAAACAGAGGTGGCAAAGCCTGTCCTGGTTTTGTTTCTGACAATCCTCGGGAGGGATCTCTGCCGGGTGCTTGCCTGGCTGGAACGGAGCATCTCTCCAGAAGCACTTTAGCACTGTGCTTGAAAGCATCTCACTGATGTGGCACGCTGGACTACAGCATGTCAAAAAGCTTATGGACTTGACAGCCACACAGCATTCTCAAGCAGTGCTTGTTGCATGCTACAGAGAAGCACTAAGAACGGTCGTGTTTCCCTCCCTGCAGGTTCTGCTCTTGCAAAGGATGAGTGCCAATCCCCGCTGCTAGTCTAGATGGAGGTTTGCTATCACGTGTGAGGAAAGGCACAACAAGAAGGGCCAAACCACCCTGGATGTAGCTTAATACTTCTCAGAGGGTCCACCTGTTCTGCTTCCGATTGGGGTGCTGCATTCAGGTATCACTGAAAGCCTCAGTATTTGAAAGGGATTTGCACCAGTGAAACTTTAGCTCAAGGGTGCAGAACCTCTATCGGCTCAGGGGCTGAATTTTGTTGGGGTGAAGCACCCAGGTCTACCCTCACATGGTGGACAAGGACCAAGGGAAAAGGGGGTGGGATGAAGCTACTCCATATTCAAGCACATTGCAGCTGAAGTTCTTGCTGCCAAAAGCTAAGCCTTAGGAGAGCGTTCTGTCCTTTCAGACCAGCATGTGAGGAGATATACTGGTGATTGTGCAAGCAAGGGCGGACCAAGAGAAAGGGACGTGGCCACTGGGGCAGTTCCAGGTGGCCAAATTGGGACATCAGGAGGATGCAGGCCCCGACCGGTGGTTTGAGACCTCTGCCTTGGAATCTGGGTGCCTTTATCAGTTTAATGAGTACCTTATTGAACAGAGATATATTTTAAGCAGAACCAAGATAAATGTCAGCGTCTCAGCCAAGGATCCTTTTTCAAAAAAGGAAGGAGAAAGATCTAAATTCTAAAGAGCTCTCTGCAAATATAGCAAGCTGACTGGCAATCCAAAGGCACGTACATATTGAAGGGAGCAGGAGTGGGTACTGCTCCCTGCCGGTTCTAGTTTGACTTGAGATAGCAAAGAAAAGTAAGAGGCAGGAAAGGCCTGAGGGTTGTACAGAAGCACCTGCAAGCAAACCGACGAGCCGCTTTGGACCCCTGTCGCAGTGTGGCAAAGGCTCCAAAGTGAGTGGGCTGGTACATCTACTCGGAGCATCGGTGTGAGCTTTAAAGGAGCTATCCATGGTGCTGGACCTGTGTGGGGCTCTGCTTCAGCATTGTGGATGCTTCCATAGAAAGTTCAGGCTGAAAGCCAGAGTAGCAAGACAGCCCTACTGATATCGCCAGTCTCCACTGACGGTAAAGAGTACATATGATTGGACCTGGTTTGCATGTAACCATAGTATGGGTTGAACATGGGTTCTTGTTGAATTGGAGGCTGTTCCATACAACCTCTGCACTATGTTTTAACTATGGATTGTTAGCCTCGAACAACCCAGAATTCACAACCTGACAAGCCACAGCTTCTATTCCAGGGTGTTTATAATGAACAAGCCAGGAATCTTAGTGCAGCTTCACATGTAACAACCCACAACTTACCAGCAGCGCATGATTCAATAACAACACATGCTCAACACATAATTCGGGTGGTCGTTATGTGCAAACAAGGCCTTAGATATATGAATATAATAAGTGCTTGTTCACCTGCTGAACACACTTAGCGGAGAGTGAGTAGCTCTGTTATTCAATTGCTTGACTAAAGATGCACAAGTCTGCTCCGTAAATTCAGCTTTACGACGATTGTTTCGGAGCTGCAGAGGTAATCATCTAACAGCCCTGGGCCTAACCAAGAATTTGCCTTTGGGCACACCAACAAAAACCCAACCATCCCAGCGATTATCCAAGAAGCGCTCCAGAGCAGCGGGATGAGTGCAGCACGGCAGAGGTGGGAAGACACGGGAGACAGGAAGCCGCTTCCTTCACGTGGTGTACATTTTCACGGGCTTGTGCAAGGGGTGCAAAAGGCGGCGATGCTCTGCAGGGGTGCTGCATGGCTCCTGCACTGGCCACAGGAAGCAACTCTGGCAACACAGTTGACTGCAGCTCCACCCAGGCCCGGAGGACGCTTTGTCGGACATGGGGGAGAAGTCAAAGTCAGCCACCTGTAGTGAAAACAGCAGAGAACCAAGTCAGCTCCGTAACTAGGAAACGAAGGGTTGGGGTAGCAAAGAAGCTCTCCAGGAAGAGCTCTGCGAATTAGTTGATGAGTCCCTCGATTCAGTTCATCAATTCCAAGATTTAATTAAATTAGCTATTTTATTAAAGTTATTGATTTGATGTCAATGGTTGGTTTTGGTTAAATGCTTTTAGACTATTATATTTTCCCTAGCTTCCAGCTTCTCAAATGTTTTCATGTCAGCTATTCTATTCTATTCTATTCTATTCACATTGGTTGTTGTTGTTGTTGTTTTGCATTTGTGTCCTATGTTTCTATGATATATTGCAAACTACCCTGCATTTAAAAAATCAAAGGGTGGTATAGAAATGTTATTAATGAACGTGCTTTTCTTATAGGAAGCTTCCCACCCCATTGCTCCCAGTAACTGGATGTCTGGGAATGGATCAGACAACTGTTTCCCAGTTTCAGCCACTTCTCCCACCACTTTTTGTGTCCTGGAGGAACAAAGGAGAGACTCTTCAATGAAGCTCAAGCACTTTTAGAACACGGGGAAACTTTACGGTCATACCTCCACGAGATCCTTTTGCTGCGCATGTCCTCGGAGCGTCATGTAGACACCTAATCCCAGCACAGCTGCCAGGAGCGTGATGCATGGCAGGGCCAGGAAAGCCGGATGAAGGCCTGGAGGAGAGGATGGGGAGAACGCTTGGATGGGGGCCGTGGCGTCTGAGCACGTGCAGTTTGAGCAACAGAATGGGCAGGGCTACATCCCAGTGCTGCACTCTACACAGGGAAGTGTAGCCCCCACCAGGATCCCCCCTGAAGCCACAGCTCCCAAGGAGAGCCTGAATAGAAGCAGATGGGTAGAGAGAAAGAAATGCAGGCTTCGTCTCCACCAAGAGCAGGACGTCATAAAGGGGATGAGTCTCCACTGCCCTCTTAGGAGCAGCCATGTCTCAAATGCTTCACACGACAGCATGGGGGGGGGGGAGTGACAGTCAAGGGAAGGGCCTTCTTCATGGTGGCACCCCATCTCCAGTCATCGCTCTCTTTGAGGCGCCAGGTGAAGACCTGTGTATTCACCAGATATTTGAACAGATAGACGGATTTTCATATTGTTTTCACCTATGCTGTTTTATGCCATGTTCTAATTTTAATCACCTGGAGTTCTCAAATGCTGTGGATCTGGTTTTAATTGATTTTATTGTTGTGAACAGTGCTTTTTTTGTCATAGAACGCACTGGAACGGAGTTCCGGCACCTTTTTTCGACAGATTGCCCAAGTTTTAAAAGTAACTTTTGAAAATTTGATGTTTGGTCCACGTGGATTTGAATCGCCCTGTTGAGCGTAGCAGGTCGGCGGCAAAATCATTAAAACGGTGCCTGCGGGCTGCTTGTGCGGCGAGTCTGATGCGTGCGTACTTCGTCCACGCTGGTTGTGATGGCGCTGCTCGGCTTGCGATTGGTCATGTGGTCGCGCGCTGAGTGCTTACTGCGGGCGGCGACCGATATGTTTTGTTACACAACTGACGTGTGTGGGTGTGTGTACAGTGATTGACTATGTGTGAAAGGTAAATAATTTCATGAGTTCCAGCACCTTTTTTCTTACAAAAAAAGCACGGGTTGTGATGTTTTATATATTCTGTAAACTGCCTGGAGAGCCCTAAGGGCTAAGGGGCAGGATACCACTGAAATAAATATATAAACCAACAAGATATGGCTCCTGGGAAAATGCATTTCCCTCCAGGTAATGTCAGGATTTCTGCCTGGTGGAGAGGAATTTCTGAAGGAAGCAGATCTGCATACTATTATTTCATTCATTGACACAAATCAGATTGCGCCACATCCAGTAAAATAGCCAAGAGATGAACAATAAAATAGGAACAATAAAAGAGCAAGAATGATTAATCACCACTACTAAAATCAAAATAAGAAAATGCAGAATTTAAATGTAGGCATGCCATGAGCAGAGCCGGCTGGAGCCGGGGGCCGGACTAGATGATCCAGGAGACCCCTTCTGACTCACTCTGCATCTATGTTTCTCAAATAATTCAAATCAGATTGTGCTAATAAAGTACGGAAGAGCTGTCAGGGGAGCTTGGTTTCTGCAGCGGGTTCCAAGGGCAAAGCCACGCCTGTCCGGCAGCAGCAGGTAGGGAGTTCCACAGAAAAGGACCAGGTGCCTCAAGGTGCCCCCGAGTGGACTGAGTGACTGCACCCCTGCTGCTGCGGAAGACCCGGTCCCAGAGAGTCCTGGTTCCACTCCCTCTCGCACGGCTCACTAGAGCCGGGGAGCCCCATCGCAAGCGAGGAAGGAACATGCAGGCGCCCGGCCTGTGAGCTCCCGCTCCCGTCTCTCACCTGACGGCTTGACTTGAATCGCCTGGTAGGATTGCAACGTGCTCACGCCGTTCTCCACCCGCACGCTGAGGCAGTACTGCCCGGGGTCGCTGAAGACGTGGCTCAGGCTGTAGGAGGTTTCGTTGGTCACCACCCGGTGGCAGCCGTCACCTTGGAGTGAGATGCACTCCATCTTGATTAACCAGCACAAGCTGAGCGGGGGGCTGAAAGGCAGCAAGGAATGAGGAGGAATCTTCAGCCTGGGTGCAGGAAAGGCGAGGAGAGGAGGGTTCTTTCCATAGGGGAGGCATGTCATGAGTGGAGCTGGCTGGAGCCGGGGGTCCGACTAGATAGCCCGGGAGGCCCCTTCTGACTCGCTCTGTTTCTGTGTTTCATCTCAGAGCCAGAGCTCGCCCTCATGCCAGCCCTCTTCACCTGCTTCCTCCCAAGCTTCCTTGTGGCCTAGTTTAGAATGGGAAAAGGATTCTCTGACTGTTAAACCATTTGGAGGGGGGAACCCTCACCAACCCATGGCGGACTATCCCCGGACAGACAGACCGATCTCCTGAAACGTCTCCTGCCCACCCCTGCTCTGGGGAGCCTGCAGCCATCCCAGCGTGGCTGAACGTCGGTGGTCCCACCAATGGTCGGGGTGATGCCGGCTGGATTCAGCAACACTGGCAGGGAGACCATGCGCCTCCCGACCCCAGCCCTGCTTTTGATGTGCTTCCGGAGACTAACACATGATAGAACGCTGCCCTCTTTGGGGATGCTTCCGAAGTGGCCACCCTCTCTAGATCCTTCCCTCTTGGAGGTGTATTATTGTCGTGCTCATTCGATTTGCTACCTCAGGTTCAATTCACACCCCACCTTTCTTCCTCTTGCAAGGAATCCGACATGGTGCACAATGTTCGCCTCCTCTCCATTTGATCCTCACAACAACAGCCCTGTGAGGTAGGCTAACCGAGCCAGTGTGGCGTAGTGGTTAAGAGCATGGGACTGGGACTCGGGCAATCTGGGTTCTAGTCCCCACTCAGCCATGGAGCCAACTGGGTGACTTTGGGCCAGTCACAGACTCTCAGCCCAACCTGCCTCACAGGGTTGTTGTTGTGGGGATAAGATGGAGAAGGAGAGATGATGTAAGCTGCCTTGAGCCCTTTGTAGAAAAAGGCAGGATATAAATCACAATAAATAACCTGAGAGTCTGTGACTGGCCCAAAGCCACCCAGCGGGTTCCATAGTTATATAGAACCCAGAAGACTTGATCCACAGTCTGGTGCCCTTAACTACTATGCCACATTGTCTCTCACTTCCTCTTCTTGCTCTTTTCCACCTTCCACTGAAGGGGGGTGACCACCCAGCCGGCCATGTGTAAACACCGCCTGAGAGCAGAAAGCAAAACCAGCCACAGCTCATGATCTGATTATTTTTAGACGAGGCGCGTCAGATTTTGCCTGGAGATGTGACTTTTTGCTGCGCTGATGTGTTTGGAAGAAGGGCCAACAGACCTTTGAGTTCACAGACGGACGCACGCTCTTTGGACCCGGGTCCTGCCAGCAAATGCAGATTACTGCAGCCCTGCATAGCTGCCTCTGGGGCAGTCTGCTCCCCGGAGGCCGGGCACTTGATTCTGGGCACGTCTGACCTCACCACCCCTCTGTTTGCTTTAGCTCCTGAGCTGTCCGTGATGACCCTGAGAGACACAGTTGTGTTCCTAGCACAGTGTACGAAAATGTGGCAGCACCCCTGCCCTCAGGTTCACAGTCTAGAGTACAAAAAGATATAGTGGGTGAACTGGAGATGAGAAAATTCGGGGTTGTTCCTATGGTTGTTTTTAGCAGTCTACTGCGAAGAGCGAGACGTCAACCCATCAACAAGCAGCATGGGTGGGAACTGGCCAGTGACTCACACACCATCTTTCCACATCCCCCACAACAGGTAGAGAGAGGAGAGGGACCCAAGGGGACTTAAAAACCATCTCTGTTTTACGCTCACAGCAAAAACCCTGAGAGGTAGGTTAGGCTGAGAGTAAGCGACTGGCCCAAAGTCATCCAGAGCTGAGTGGGGACTCGAACCCAGGTCTCCTGAGTCTCAGCCTAGCACTCTGCCCACTCCACCACACTGCCCATCCCTGCAGGCAGTTCTTGACGATCAGGCAACCCCTGAGGGGTCGGGGTGGAGGGAGGGGTGGGCCGCTGGAGGGACTTCACCCCCTTTCTGCTCTGGCTTTGCGTGCAACTGGCTATGCCCCGAGCTGCCTAGAGCGCCTTCTGGATGACTTTGGGAACATGGAAAGCGTCAGGGTTGCTCGCTCTTTGTTCTGCATCTTCAACTGATTGCTTACCTGCCTTGGATGTGCACAGATAAATTGACGTTCTCCATCACATGCACGTCCGTGGAGCCTGTGATATTAATACTCCGTACAGCATCTAGAACAAAGAGGCGAAGGGCTAGAGAGGCGTGGCTAGAAAGGCTGCAGGGGTGGAGGCACCGGTGTCGGCAAAGCGGGCTGCCGGCCGTTTGGGCCTTCAGTTCTCCAGAGCCTCCGCTCGCAGGCCAATGGCCGGAGATGCTGGGCATTGAAGCCCAACACCTCTGCAGATCTATCAGTGACAGCTCTGCATCTTGGGCACCCATCAGGAAGGGTCCTCCAGAAACTCGACCTTCTCACCACAATGGCTACCCACTGCTTGTGCTGCTGCTCTTCTCTCCCATCTTTGCTGGGGATCCCGGTGGGAGACAGCTCTTGCCCACCAGGAAAGCGCAGCAAAGGAAGCTGAGCTGGCTGGGATCACCCGGGAGGGTAAGATCAGGGGGAATCCGCTCCCCTGGACATGCAGCCCTCGGGGTCCCGAATCCGACCTTGCTTGGAATGTTCTGATCTACGTGACTTTACCCAGCAGCTCCAGCGTAGCAGCAAAATGCCCTGTTTTCTGGAAGATGCTCCAGGGATGCGCCACACTTGTCCCATCTGGCTTCCATTCCGCCGTCACGTCCAGGTGGACCACGCAAGTCCCAGCAGTGGAATAATTGTGGTAGACGGAGGACTCTTGCGTTGTCAGCTCAGTCCTGCACACAACGAGGGCAACAGCTGCAGCTTCTTCTCTTTCAGAGGGAGCTTGCAGGGCATGTGGAATTGGGAGTGTGCCCTGCTGAAAAACTCAACCTTTATCTGGCAAGCTTCCCAGAAGCACAATTTGCCATCCAACAAGGCTTTTTTTTTTTGAGGAAAATTGACTCTTTTGCTTTTTTGGTTGCTTCATTGCCAATTTTAGCCACAGGGCTGTGGCAGAGGGGTGTACCTGGGGAAGTGTGGGGTGCAATGGGCCCTGACCCCCTAAGTCATCCACCCCTATCTATGCATGACAACATGGCCATGGCGTAGTCACACTTCCACCATCTATAGGCTGAAGTCTTATAGACCAGAGACAGGTGTTTTCTGGAGGGGTGGGGGGTATTTAGGTCACCTTGACTCCACTCCCTCCTCTGGCCACAGCTTCCAGGTGACCAAAACTTGATCCATTTATTTAATAAAATAATTCAGTTATTTATTTTAGGGGAAAATAACATCTGTTCCATCACGAAATGCTCCAAAGGTTAACTTTAGCTTGTTTGCAAGCAGCTAAAAGGATCAGATTTAGCACTGCTGGAGAGCTCTCATTTTCACAGATCCTGCCCCCCTAAAAGTCATCCCCCCACCGCCCCGGCTACCAATTGCAGACCTTTCATGAATTAGTCGTCACTCAGTTGATTGCACGCCCATGGATCTGCTCGAAGCAGGACTAAATCTAGCTGTGAGCTAACTTCATTTGGGATTATTTCCTAAAATTAAAATGAAGTGTACAGCCAGAGGGACCAGGCAGGAGGAGAGATCTATAGCTACGTACCCATCTCCGAAATCCCAGTTGTAAATAAAGGATGCCAACTTAAAGTAATGACTTGGATCGTGAAGGAAGAACGACAGCCGGGTCAGAGTGGCTGGTACAGGCTGATCGCCGGTCACCGTGCGGTCTTCTACTGGGGTGACAGTCAGATTTCCTACAATGAACTCTGCAGAAGAAAGAGACCAAGACAGAACGTACTAGTTATGTCTCATCCACCGTCTTTACACACCTTCCCACCTGAGGAGGAAAGGCGTTGCTCAGGAGGCATGTCTCGGTAGCAGAAGGGCCTGTAACACCCAGCCTTCCCCAGTTTGCAAGCGATGGTTAGCCAGAAAGGATCTCCCGGAGAGACTGGAGGGAGTGTGAGAACATAGCTGTCCAAGGAGAAAGCAGTAACGGAGGTCCAGGGCACCATTGGAACCTCAAGTGGCCTCTGGGGACACGCTGGGGACATCGGGGAGACCCACGGCCTGGCAGGAGGTTGGCTGGGGACACACCACCAGAAAGCAAGCCAGTCAATCTGTGGATTTCAAATGTATGCAGATACATGTGTGCCTACTTGCATATTCCTGAAAGTGCATATTTATGAACGTGCATATTTATGAAAATTTGCACTTTGGAAAATGTGCCAGTCAGCCCAAATTGCACCAATTCTACCTCATAATGCACATATTCCTGCTTTATGGGGAAGGCAGTTTGCTGACTTATGATCAGTGTTTCTGCTTTTGCGGATGTTTCTGCAACTAAGCTTGCACAAAAAGGCACAACAGAAAGAATTGCTCCACAAGCCCCATGGACTTCGTGCAAGCTGGGAAAGCTGGCCCACTGTGGCATCTGCATGGTGGACTCTGGGATCTGGGCTTATTCAAGGGCGCTGAGGATTCCTCTGGCATCTCCAGGTGGTGGTCACAAGACAGATACGGATGAAGGGCTGTTCCCAGGTGATCTCTCCCTCCAACGACACCTGGCCCCGTACAGCATCTCTGGAAGCATCCCGTGGCATCTCTTATCCCTGGCACATGTAACAAAATATCCACATATACATATATATTACCTGATACCTTTAGCAGTGTTAGGTTTCTTGCAAGGGTCTGACAGAACCAGCAGCCTCGGTGTGTCACCTGGACAGAAATGGGGAAGATACCTGGAAACGGACTAGTCACTACAATGACAGAGTTCTCCCCATGCTCGGTTTTCTCCAACAAAGTCAGAGGAGCATAAATCCAGTGAAAACGGTACTTCTGACCACCAATGAGTGAAATGCCTCTATTCTTTATATGCAGCGTGGAATGAATCACGGCGTGTGCTTCTGTAGTGATGGGACCGTCGTTGGCGATTTCCAGGTCATAACGGACTGCAGGAACAATTACTGAAGGTCACATCTCTTAATTTAAGAGGGTTTTCTGATAGATTTCATGACAGTGAAGCAATAACCATTGCAACATTCTCGGTAGTGCATTTTCGAGGTAAACAGTGGAGACAGAGTTGACCCCTATAGATTTGAAATCCAACCTGAGAAGCTGTTGCTAAAGCATCCATGTATATTTCCAATACAGCTTTGCAGCAGTTGAGCTATATATCATGATTAAAATACTTATAGGTCACCTTTTTATGGCAAAGCCCAGCCAAAGCAGCTTAATAATAACAAAACCATGATTTAATAGCAACTTAAATAGTAAACACTTAAACAGTAAACAATACAACTTCACACATGTAATACTAATTTAATAAAACCATAACATTAGTTTTGAAACAGCTCAGTCACTTCCAGAGCAAGTGGCTCAAAGTGAAGCGCTGGCTTGGAAGGAGACATTTTTATAAGGACCGGCGGGCCCTCATTGGCTTCTGAAGTCAGCTGACTGCCTTCGAGCAATGGCTTTGGCTGACAGACCAGTAGGGCGGCCTATGGGCTTCTGCTGACACACAAAGTCCAGTCCATCTGGCTAATTCAAGCTCCAGAGCTCTGGTGGCCCTGGAGGCAAGGTGCTGAGAAGGGACGCTGGTGGCCCCACTGGAAGGACGTCTCCAGAGCATTTCACTGGGGTCTCCGTCTTCGCCTTCACTAGCCCCCTTCTCCCTCCTGCTGCCAGACCCTGTTTGCCCCTGCTGTTGGCGCACAGGACATGCCAATGTCATGGATGGGGTGCCTTCACCTTTGCTCCACGTTGCGGCTGGGTATATTATCTCTTCGGCCTATTTCCTGCGGACCTGTTAGCAGTGCAACACACGGGCCACCTCCCTGGCTGTCATTGCCACACTGCTGGAAATTGCCACACGGCGGCAGTGATTCTGTTGGGAAAGGAGGCATGTGGGAGCTCCTACCTTGTTTCCCGGCAGAATCAGTTCCAGCCAAGGTCTGTGTCAAGAGCAGAGCAGGCCTGCAGAACTCCAGAGTCTATCTGAGTTCAGAGAAACTCGTGCGGGCTGGTGGGTGAGGCTCGAGGGAGAGGGACCAAGCCAAGAGTGGAGCCAAAAAGACAATAAAATGCAGACCGTTTTAGCCTACAGCTCCCATGTTCCACAGCTAAGCCACAGGAGAGGGTCGTTAACCTTTTAGGATGGGGGAAACTGCCCCGATGCTGGGAAACACTGAAGGATCTGGGCTTAAGTACAGAGTGTGAGTCCAGAGAAGGGAGTCTCTCTCTGGGAAGCCTCAGGTCTCCCAGATTTGGCCCTTGGGCCTGAGAGTCCCCATCCTTGGTGCAGAGGGGAAACTGGAAAGAGCAGAATCGAAGGGCAATGAAATGCAAAATGTCCAGCCCAGGGCAGTTCAATGAATTAAACATATCCAGAATAAGCAAGTGGCTTAAAATAGGAAGTGGTAATGAACCTCTTTGCATAATTGCATACATTCATTCATATCATGGAACAGGAACGCACTGACTTCATTCCTGGAGAGGTTGAATTAAACTTGGTTGTAAGTAGGGTAAATCGTTCTACCGCAGGTGCTTATGAGTGGGGCCATGGTATTACGGTGGGTTGTTCACTATGGGTTGGTTGGTTGTTTGTGGCGGGGTTCAGACAACACGATAACCCGCATTTCAATGACAACCCCCACTGCGCCCATGCTCAGATCCTGATGGTGAGTTTAACAGTGAAAAACGAATATGATCCAGAAGTTTAAGAGACCTTTCACAAGCTGTTTCCCTGGAGAGGAGCCCGTTGGTTATTTGAAGTAGGTGGGCAGATGGACTGGTACTCCCAGATCATGCACTGGGCCACAAGGCTATATTCTGGATATTCCCATGCCTTGTTTGTCAAACATTAACACAGCTGTGCGATGAGCAAACCGAGAAACACAATCATCAGCAAGCTGTAAAAAGCAAACACTCATAAAATAACAAAGCCAAGCCCCAAACCTCTCTGTTGCTTCTAGCCCTCGATTCTGGAGGTCAGAGATGAGAACAAAAATAAAAATAAAAATCACGGGCGGGGCATGGAATATCCCAGGGGGCTGCTTGGTCCCCGTTCTTTGCAGAGCACCTCGAGAAGGGACCTGCTCCCCTCGCTCAGCCCAGAGCTGCCGCTGCGGCTGGGGTCTTGCTTGCTCTCTCCGCTGAGAAGGTGTCCTTTATGGAGCACCCTTCGTCCAGAGCGCAGAAGGCGAAGCCCCCAAAGGGCTCAGCGCTGGGGTCCAGGAGAGCCCCCAAAGCAGCTTGCTCCCGTGGGGGCCACCCACAGTTTCACCATCTCGCCTGAGCCCCGCCGGACCCCGGGAACTCAGGCAATGCCCGCCTCTCCATCGGCCAAGGATGCCCGGCATCATTGAAATGAGTCATGCTCGTGGGGCGAGGAGATGCTCTTTCTATCCCACTTGGACGCCTTGGACGGGGACCGGCGCTTGCGGGAGGCCAGGGAGGGGCCGGGCACCCGAAATCTTCCCTGCAGGACAGCCTCGCATCTCGGGGTCCGCACAGTTCCCAGCTCCCGCCCCCTCCCCCCGGAGACAGGGACAGATCCGTCTTACCCGCAGCCGACCTGGCATGGAGCAGGAGGAGCATCGCGCAGACGACCTGCAAGAGGGCCAGGGAGGAAGCCGCCAGAGCCATTGGAGAGGGAGCTGCCGAGGGGGGACGCCGCCTGCTCAGCCCCGCTTCATCTTCAGCCCCTCCGCCTGCCCGCCGCGTTTACCCTAAGGAGCCGCCGGGCGAGCCTGGAGGGCAGGTGCTGCCCCCTAGGGCCGAGCCGGGGCACTGCAGCCCGCCGAGCCGCCCCGGCCTGCGGCGGCCGGTTCACGCCCTTTCCCGGCAGAAAAGTTCTCGCTCGAGGGGGAGACGGGCCCGAGCGGGGCGGCGAGCCAGGATCAAGCCCGCGGGAGGCACACGCCGGCCCCCCGCGCTGGCAGCAGCCGGGTGCGCCGGGGCTCAGCCCGGGCTGCCTTCTCCCGCGGCCGGGCGGCTGGGACCGGCTGGCCGAGCCCCTCCCGGTTGCCCGGGAGCGGTCCCTGCCTGGTGCCAGACCTGGGCTTGTCTGCGCAAAAAGCGTGCTTGGTAAGGAAGTAAAAATACCAAACAGTAACATATTGTTGTTGTTGTTGTTGTTGTTGTTGTTTAAGGGAGCCCCTTCCAAAGGAAGTGGGGCAGGTGGCTACCGGGAGGAGGGTGGTCTTGGCTGTGCCCCCCGCCCCGTTTTGGAATGAGCTTTATAGAGAGGTGCACCTGACACCTCCTTTGTATTCTGTTTGGTGCCAGGTGAAACCCTTTTTTTATTTTCCTGGCATTTTCACAGTCTAACTGTGAAACTTTGCTTTAATGTATTGCATTTTATTCAGTACTGTTGTTTCTGTGCTGAATCAGAGCGATTGGTAGGCCAGTTTTAGTCTTTTAAATTAGTGTGTGTGTGTGTACCTTTGTCTTTTAACCCCTGTTAACTGCCCAGAGATCCTTGGCTACTGGGCAGTATAGAAATGAAATAAATATGTAAATGGATTTAATTCGGCCCTGTCAACAGAACCACCTCTTGCAATGTAGCCGAAGGCAGCAGACTAGCTTTTGGGGTCTGGGGCAAGCAAGAAATTGGGGGATTTCTTCTCCAATGCCTTGCAGCTGCTTCAGTCTGCTCAAAGCTGGGCCAGCCCTAACTTTGGGCATTCAGCAGGATGGGAATGTGGCCCTTCAGCAGACACAGAGCTGGCTTCGGAAAGTGAAGGGGAGAGGGCCCAGTGGGACCATCTGGAATGAGCAAAATGATGCACGGCAAGGAGCCCTCGGCAGAACATAAAGTCCAGAGCCTAATATTTTCCTAAGTGCTTCTCTTCTCACCCAGATGTGAACCACGAAAATACTGGGTAGGGAGAACCAGATTTCTGTTTAGAATGCAGAGAAGAGGTTGCCAGCACGTTCTCATTAGGAAATGATCTCATTTCCAAACACTGAATAAAAAAATCTATATTTGTATGCATTTGCTGATGTCCTTCATGGTGTCTTTGGTGAATAAGAGCACTCCCTCTTTTCATGTTCTTTTTGTTATTAATAGCATCAATGTCATCTTCTTCTCTATACTACCCCAGTGCACTGGTAAAGTTCTCTGGGTGGTTCGCAACAATTAATACGATTACAGATAATGCAGATAATAAAATGCACCATAAAAATTCAGTATGCAAAATTTCAAGCAACTTAAAGAGCTAGAATACATTTCAGTAAAAAAACCCCCAAAACTTAAGTTTGCTCAAAGACAGCTGAGATGAATGCCCCATCATGTGTTATGAAATATCAATAAATGCCCCGGAGAAGAGTGTGGGCTAAATCTGGGGCTGAAAAGACCCTACTGCTGCCGGAGGGCAGGTCTCAGTGAGATCATTCCCTAGCCAGTGGAGCCACCAGAGCTCTCACTCTGGCTGCCACCGTTTAGAAGGACGTCTCCGATCTCAGGGACTTCTGTACACCCAGTGCTAGTATATCAGGTGGCGGCTGGCAGAAGGGGCATTTTCAACTCTCCATCCTCTTTTTAAATGATTATTTTCACCGAGATGGCCTTTGAGTCCATCTAGGGAGAGCACGCTGGCAGGGGCTGGGTTTCTCACATTTATTTATTTAAAACTTTTGTATGCCATCCCCCATGTAAGGCATCCTAGGACATAGTCAAAACATTAACGCAATCAATAAAATTACCTACATTAAACCAATCCAGTGGTCAAAGCAATAAAATGTGACTGTTGCATTAATACAGATGGACTGAGATCCTAGGAGGGGAAGCCCTGTGTTCCTTGCTCTAAAGACCACAAATGTATTCTCATGCAAGCAAAAAGCACCCCTGTGAGCAAGGGGAAAGCACAAGGACACTCAGATGGAACATCGAACTCTTCGGAACGGCAAAGAACATTTTTAAAAGGAAACCTTAAGGGGACAAAAAATCCCCTCCCAATATCTTAAGGATGGTTTGAGCTGGGTGAAAAAGCAAAGTGGAAACCAAGACTGGGGGCAGGGAGAAGGGGAGATGGAATGGAGTTTCTTGAAAGGGGGCATGGCTGCCTGGCTGGCAGCCTGAGCAGGAATGCTCTAGACTGCCAGATCTTGCTGCAGTTCTTAGTTCTAAGCACACCTGAATAAATATGAGCAAAAACAATCAGCAGCCATGGTATGATAACCACTAGGCATTTGGAGTGAAAGTAGTTCAAGGAAGCTACCTGAGGGATGGAAATATTTGACTGTGCTCAAACAATAAATGAACGGTCAAGATCCAAGGTGGGATGCAAACTCCTTTCCATATAGAAGCAGAATCCTTGCCGAATCCTTTTCACTCAGATGGCAGTCTTTGAGTGCAGCCAGGAGAGGTCTCCTTAACTGCTAGAGTGAATTATGCGACTTTTGTCTGTGCAAAAAAGCACATGGGTTACTCACGGCTGGGCACTTAGAAATAAGAGGGAGTAGGAACAAAATGGCCGGAAAAGTCATCTTTCATGCTGGTATTGACAAATGTTCAAGACAGCTTGCTAATGACACAGTTTCCAGATCAATAGAAGAGGTCGGCACAGCTGCCGGCCTTCCATATTCTAAATTTAGAATGCTGTAGTCCAGAATTGGGCTGAAATTAACCCTCATTCCCTGGAAAGAAAAGCAGACGATCTCTCTCACTCTCTCTCAAAAGCAAGGACATTGGTCTTTATTATGAACACTTATAAACCACCCAGATAGCTTTGGCCCTTGGGCAATACAGAAATGGCACCATACTTGGGTCATTTTTTTAAAAAAATCTTCACACAAACACTTTGGGTTGCAACCTAATATAGTCATACTTGAAGTGTTAGGCTTTTTTTATTGTCATGACTGCAGTCATACATTTGGGATTTTAACATTTTAGAATTTTAGAATTTATTTATGTAAGGAGATACATATAGTGTTTTTTCCTCTGTGCATATGTCTTATGACCTGTGCTTACAACAATAGACTGTCCCTAACTACTTAGATTAGCCCCATTTGATGGATGGGGCTCGTGTGCCCCATTAATTTCAATGGTTCTGTGTGATGTAGGACTCCAATCCTTCTTTAAACGCAATCATGAATGCCAGCCAATCAGGAATCAATCACATTAGAACATTTTAGCCTGCTGAGAACATCTCACAAACATTGCCATGGTAGTCACAACAACCCTGCAAGGCTGGTCGGTATAATTATCCTCCTATTGCAGCTAGTAGACTGAGGCTGTGAGAAGAACAGGTTGCCCCAGGAGGCAAGCCTATGCAAATTTAGACAGAAAAAAACCCTACAACTCCCAGCATGCTCCAGGGTGTCATGCTGGATGGGGCTTGTGGAAGTAGTTGAATTTCTTTCTGTCTAGACATGCGTAGAAATTCACTTTAACGCTAACCAGACAGTTTCATGTAAAGACAACATTCAGATCAGAGAGATCTTGATTTTCATTCCTGCAGTTGAACTTATATCCCACTTCTTCAAAACTATTGCACTGAAGGATAGGATTACAAGCCCTTTCAGCATAACCCTCCTACAGAGGTGTGGCGGAGGAAGGAACTCACCCAAAAGACTTGAGCGAAGGGAGGCATATAAATGTAACACACAGACATTTGTGGTTTTTTCCCCCTTGTGTGTGTATACACCTGTATCACCATTGAAAAACACCCCCCTCCAAATGAACCGTTGCAACTCCTAATGAGCTCACCTCAGTCAGTAATTGCAATCAGTAAATTGCCCAGATCACTAAAGCACTGCAGTCAATGAATTGCTCCACTTAATAGAGAAATCCAGCGAATTAACTGTGCTGCAGACAATGTGGGTACAGCTGCTGCGCTCTTTCACAGCCTCCCCCCCCTTTTCCCAGGGGTCTCTCCCAGAGGCAGTGTTAGGGGACAGCCCATTATGACTGGAACTCTTACATTCTTCCCCTGGAGCCCCGTATCTGGGGAAGGCTGCCTGTCCCAGCACCCTGCTATCCTTGGGCACCCGATGAAATAAAGATACGGGGTTCTGAGGATCTGTAGTATCTGATCTTTCTGTCTGAGCTTTTATTCTCTGTCCACACATCTCTTTGGCAAATAGGGGTGTCCTTATGAAAGAGGGTCCTTTAAAGACTCAAAGATGTGTGCGTATACCCTTTAGAACATGTGCAAATCAATGCACAGGTGTGCATAGAAACATAGAAAACAGAGCGAGTCAAAAGGGGTCTCCCGGGCCATCTAGTCTGGCCTCCGGCACCAGCCGGCTCCGCTCACGACATGCCCACCATGTGGACGTCCAGCCTATCCTTGAACACCCACACCTATGGGGCCTCAATGATCTCTCGTGGAAGCCCATTCCACACCCTCGGGGTCCTGACTGTCAGGAAGTGCTTCCTGGCATCCAAACGAAACCTTGGCTCCCTGAGCTTTACTCCGTTGGAGCACGTTCTTCCTTCCTCTGCAGGGGAGAACAGGTCTCTACCCATCTCCATGTGACATCCCCTCACATACCTGTATGTTGCCAACAGATCCCCTCCGAGTCTCCTCTTCTCCTGGCTGAAGAGACCCAGTTCCCCCAGTCTCGCCTCATACGGCATCCCCTGCAAACCGGCCACCAACCTTGTGGCCCTACGCTGCACTGACTCCAACCTGGCTATATCCCTTCTGTAATGAGGGGCCCAAAAATGAACACAATACTCCAGTTGCGGACACACCAGAGTTGTATAGAGTGGTAGTAATACCTCTTTTGATCTAGAAGCCACACTTCTGACTATGCAACCAAGGGTGGTGTTCGCCCTCTTGACCACCGCATCACACAGCTGACTCATGTTCAGCCTGCAGTCAACCAGCACCCCGAGGTCCCTTTCACAAATCGTGCTAATCCCATGGTCCTGAGTGCAGTTCTGCACCGTCGCGCCCTGTGCTGCGGATGTTGGGAAAATTTGGATAAATCCTGTCTGAAAAACATTACTTCTGTGTGCTTTTTGCATTGTGGGATCAAATCCTGTATCTCTCAAACCAAGCTAAGTCACTGTTTCAAATGGCCTTCATCCCCTGTTCCTTTCTCTCACCTTTAGCTGTAAGCTACAGTACACAGGCCATTTAGTCCAAATTTACATTATATACCTTCACAATGAAATAGTCATTGTTGAAATTCCGTTTACAAGGAAGTATCTTTTGATAGTCCAGAGGCTCCATGTGCCCTGGCCAATTCAGAATGTCTAGAGTAGATAAGAGTCTTGAGTTCATGCATAGTTTCAGTAGCTTGAATTTACCTGTCTCAGCAGACCCGGAGATGGGTTCAAGCTACTGAACTAAAGTGTCAGTACAAGCAATTGGAAATATTGTAATCTCATTGGAAATATTGTAATCTCATTGTTATTGTGTGATTGACTGACATTCCTTTATCTGTTCTGTATGTGATGACCTCAGAATCTTATTGAAATCTCTGCATTCTGTCACCAGTTGCCCTGTACCTGTGTACCTATAAATGCCCTGTAATGGTGTTGAAGCTTGGCAGCAGAGTTCACCTCTGCCTGCCCGGTAATGCATGCATTATCGTGAGTACCGCGGGAACCCTGGGGTAATACAATAAAGCCTCAGATGGTCTGGACGCTTGGTCTTTCCCACGAACCCGAGTTTTATTCCCTCTTCTCAAATTGAGATTCCGGGATTCTGACACTGCCTCGAGAGCAAGTCCCTTCGACACACCGGGGGATGCCTCTAATTCACATGCGTGAGGATCGCAGTGCACGGCACACGGACCTGAGCGCGTCTCTGCTCTCATTTAAGGGGGCAGAAGGCAAGGCACTTAACACAGGGGCGAGTCCCATTGAGTTAAACGGCAGGGATGCTGCGCAGAGCAAGAGGGATTTCATTCGCTGCCTGGGGCAGGAGGGCGGGGCTCCCCCGGGAGGATGATGCGCAGAGGAGGCGGGAGCGTAGAGCTAGGAAAGGCAGCTGTAGAGAGCTTTGACAACTATGCCCTGATGACAACTTCTGAGTCCATTGCGGTGAAAACAGCCCAGGTCTTGTGGCACCTTAAAGCAGGGTTCTGCAACCTGGTGCCCTCCAGGACTGCAGCTGCAGCAGCTCTGGCCAGCAGGCCAATCGCAGTCCCAAAGATGGGGAGTGGCCCGATTAGAGTTCACCAAGAGAAGAGCCTTCACTCTCCGTCTCACTTGGACAGCTGCTAACACCTCCTGAAACACCTTTATCCCAAGAAGCGTTCTTTCTTGAGGTTACTGGATAGCACGCTCCTGGCGCTTCTGCAGAGAGCTATTTAGTTAATTTCCATGAATAAAATAGATAATAACAAACCATAATAGCCCAACCAGAGTCAGGCATGCCACAACCTTCAGAAAGCCTTCCTAAACTAACCAGCTACGGTTTTATTTTTTAACATACAGTTTAATTCTCTTATATTTTGCGCTTTTACGTTTCATCATTACTGGAATATGGTTATACTGCTTGCAAAATGTATACAGTTACTGTTCATATAGATGTATTATCCATGGGGAAGGTGGGGAAGACCTGGAAGCAATGAGATAAGAAAGGAATTAAGGTCAGGCGATTCTTGACAGCGACAAACATGGCGAAACTCCTCTGCCCTGTTGTGCGGGCGGCCGTTTCACTTTCAACACAAAATGGCGGCGTCGTGTCACTCTACACTTTTATATCTCTCTAGAAAAGGAAAGAAGGCTGATGCGGAGAACATAGAACCGGAAGTGGCGTCAGGCACGACTTCCGCAGCAGGCGGGCAAGTGAAGGCGGGGAGGCAAGCAGGTAGGCAGGCAGGCTGGCGGAGGCTTCATGCCGTCGCTGCTGCAGCTGCGGAGAGGCTCGGGGCAGCAACAAAGGAAGGCATGAAGGATCCGGCGCGGCCTGGGCAGGTGAGCGGGGGGAAAGACGCGGGGGACGCTGGGTAACTTGTAAAGGGAGGGGGCCCCGCTAGGCTGATCTCGCTCTCCCCCCCGTTAGCGGAGCGGAAAGAAGGGGCGGGGCCTCTGCGGAAGGGCGGCGGGGATTGGAGCACGCGCGCGTGCAGGGGCGTGGCTTGCGGAAGAGTGGGGTCGGGCGGGGCGGCCGGGGATGAAAGGAGTGGGGAAAGGAAGGGCGGAGACCTCGTCCAGGCCACCTGTGGCAAGAGGCCTCATTGGGAGCTCCCTCCTTGCTGCTTTGGCTTTATCCGGTGTCGTCTTATTGGATTCTATGGAATCCATAGGTTTCTTTACCCGTTTTAGCCATTTCTCATCTACAGTGAGGCTTGTAATGTTTCTATGCGTCCCTTTTCCCCAAGGAGCCCCGGTGGTATAAGTGATCATTCCTCCCTTTCTTGTTTTTTGTTTGGCACCTTCACAACAACCTGGTGAGGTAGGCTAGGCTGAGAGTCACTGATTGGCTCAAAGTCATCCGAAGGGGGCTGGGGCATGCTGGGGGTTGTAGGGCTTTTTTTCTGGCAGAACTTGCATAAGGTTGTTTCCCCAGTGAGCTTTGTGCTCTGTGCAGGCTGATCCTGGGTCTCCAGAGCACCAGTTCAACCCTGCAGGCTTTGCTATGTGGGGTTGCTTCCTTTCCAAAAAAAAAAAAAAAAAACCAGCCTTGGAGGCAAGCATCCTTCTTTCCTGGTTGCTCGTAGTAGCATAGATGACCCTTCCCAGTTGTCCCTTGCCACTCAGCTTCATCGGCATAATAGGTTAGTTCATGCAGATGGTAGCTAGCTGGGGCAAGGCGACCCATGTAGGTCAATAAATCCATAGGTAATGTAATAGCAAAAAATGTAAAGATGACACAAGCTATCATCAGCTCAATAATAGGAATAAAAGCAAGCACCGTGAAATGTAATCTGAGAACAGTACAGTGGGGAAACTGCCCATTGTTAATAGATAAAATTTGCTCTACTTCCCCCTCACATCCTAAAGCAGCCTGTGAAAATAAAGTATGTCATTCTGTACGCTTGCTCATTTTCTCTCTCTCTGTATGTATGTATGTATTCAACACATAGACACATACTCCATTTTTCTGCCAGGTTGCTTGGGTCAGCATATGCTTTCCACTTTGCCTGCACACAAACCTTGGGGGGAGTGAAGGCTCGCTTTGGCAGGCTCAACCAGGGACCTTCATGGCTCAGTGGGGATTTGAACTTGGGTCTTCCATTTCATGGGGAGCAGTCAGCGCATGGCTGTGTGGTGGTGATACCAGGTGGCTGGCACTGGACTTGGCCGGGCGTTCCTCCTTTCCCTTCTTGTTGTCCTGTCTCTCGCTCTGCCTGCTGAACTTGCTGAGTGGCTTGGAAGTAGGAATGAGGGCCTTGAGTTACCCACCCTGGCTGTGGCAGTGCTTTCCTGATACTGGCCTGGAGCAGAAAGGGATCAAGCCTGTTGATTACTGGGAAGCTCCTTCAAAGTGGGAAGGCAATTTGGAGGTGACAGATCCATTGGGGAGTTTTGAGGGGGGTATAGCAAAGGATAAAAAATGGGGGCGAGTTTAATTTTTAAGGCTGAATTGAAGAAGGTGCAGGAGGAGACGAGACGTCCTGAAACAGTTTGGTTTGCAACAGAAAAAAAAGAATACAAAACATCCAGAATGTAAATATGTAAAAACAAGCAAACATAAAATCTCTGGTAAAAACACTTAAAGTCAAAATATAAACATTCGCAGTGAAACATTTATCACTGGGGAACTGATAGTCAATTCACTGAAACCTTGGGTGAAACTCGAGCCTAAAATCTCTCCCCCCGCCCCCGGCATTTCCTGTATATCAAAGGGAAGGGCTATACCATGAAAAGTGTGCCACTGTGGAGTTCAGCTATATTAAATACAGGAAGATGATACTGTATTCTGATTAATGTGACATTGATCTATCTGTTTTAATCGATTAAATTTTAATCGGGGTTAATGTGCTTTTAGACAATACTGTGTATGTACTATAGCAAGTGTGACCATGGAAGAAGCATTCCCTTTCAGTGAAGAAGGGGGGAAATGCCCCCTTTTGCCATTTTTGCCTTGTGTTGTGTGAATGGGGGGGGGCTCTTAACTTTTTGCACCTTTGTAGTTGAGTAAGGGCTGGGGCCTGCTGGGAGCAGCTGGTCTTTTCTCTGCTTAAACATGTACGCGATTGCACCTTGAAGGCACAAACCTGTGCAGTTTTAGGATTGCGTCAGTTGGCTCCCTAGGACACCTGAATTGGTACATCTAACTTATTTCGTGTGGCCTTTGGCCAAGTGGTCAGTTGAGACCTTCAGCAGGAGAGCTCTGTCGCCCTCTTGGCAGTCTCTTGGGTGGGGTGGGAGAAAGCGAAGGGGGTGTCAAAAATGGAAGCAGCCCAGTCCAGGGCCGGCGTATGGCCCCCAACAGAAAGGAGATTCCTTGCAGCAGTCCGGCCTGTCAAATACCGCCACAGAAACAGAAAGTTGATGTAGACCTTTCGATTTTGTTTTAAACCTTTCTCTGTGTGCATATTTTGCCTGATTATACCATTAGACTGCATGATTCTTGTTCTGTGGACTATTGGGCAGTACAGAAATGTGATTGATCTGTAAATACTAGGTCTGCCAATTGTGAGTTCCCGTTCAGAAGCAGCAGTTGCCTGAGAACCAGGCACTGGGAGCAAAGCAAGGCATGGCTGAGGCGAGCTTCCAGGGGCATCTGACACACAGCTGGAGCAAGCAGGTTTTTTAATGGACTTGCCAGATGCTGCTCTTATCCCCCATGGCCGTTCTGGTTTCCATTTCATTGATGTACTTCTGGACATGTATCCAAGTGGGATTTCTAAAGCTTGGCCAAGGTAGAAACCCAGCAGCCAGCACCCTTTATGACAGCTCTATTATCGCGCGCTTCCTTGAGTATGGATTTTTTTTCTTTTGCTGAAAGTGGCAACAACACTCGATAGTGGACCAGACAATTGTGTGTACTCCTCAGTTTGTGGATTTGCTATGCAAACTTGGGATTCAGCATATGTCACTGGATTAACTGTTGTCCTCAACTTGGTTGGTGTCTAAGCCAGCTATTTAATTTTTTGAAATATAATCTTGAGAATCTTGGAAATGTTCTGGACTGTCTCTGGAGAAGGGTCAACCGAAGTTAGGCATGGCTTGTTGCTGCGCCTTCCGGCTTGGAAAAAGCAGCTACCTCAGTGTGTGTTCTTTCCAGCTCAACGTTTTAGGCACATTGAGCAAAGGGTCTGTCTGGCTGATAAAAAGCATTTATATGTACCGTACGTACCAGTTGTGGGTCACATGTTACCTGTGAGGAGGGATTATTCTGTGTCTTGCCTGCTTATTGCTTGCGGGGGGTGTGGGGGGGTGGAATAGCACCTCTATGTTGCTCCATTGGCTGGCATGTCTTTCACAACACGCCATCAGAAAAGGCCTGCGGAAACAGCCTCAGGTTCCACAGCAACAGGGAATGCAGGGCTGGGCCACTCGGGGACGATCTGGTGCATTGGTTCCAACTCCCACCGTCCCTCACTGTGGGCGGCGCTGGTCAGGACAAGTGGCCCGCGCACGTGTGTTTCGCTCTGCGGTCTCCGACCTGCTCTTTGCCTCTTGGGTTTCGGCTTCGTTCGCATCAGCCTTCCCTGGCCTGTGTTGCAGTGCAGTTTCCTGTGTCTCCTGTCAGCAGAGCATCTTCCAGTGGGCTCCCTTCGGCTTACTTGGCAGCAGGGCCAGGCAGTTTGGCCCACAAATTAGTCCTGGCAATCGTCCTGCTGTAGCTTCGCATTGGGGCGTGCCAAGGAATTAAAATGGCAGCGGGGTCCCAGGCATGTGCCAGTGGATGGTTCCTCTTGGGTCTGATGCCTGTGGATGTGGCACTCTGATGCAGGGTCCTGAACAGGTTTCTAAAATCAGTCACAGACCGGAAACAGACAGGTGAGACAGACCCTGATGAGCTGATCTTGGAGGAGGGCTGTAGCCTGCTTGGAGCAGGGCTGAACTTCTGAAAAGCTGGGTTGCTCCAGCCAGTGGCTTTTGCTCCTAGATAGTTGGTCGCTGCAGCCAGCTGTGCTTTTGCTCAATGAGGATCGTGCACCAGCTGCATTTTTTCCTGGAAAAGGCAGTCACAGCTCACTGTCACACATCTCCACTTCCCGGAGGCTCTGTGGGATAGTCAGGAATTTCTGGAGGTTCCCCTCCTGGGTTTGGCCTGCCGTCACTCCCTGTTGAGCTCTTTTTCTTCTTGCAACAGAATTGTATGTAGGGGCAGCATCCATTCTGCATCATTGAGTTGCATGCGCAGGCTGCTGTGCGACGCAGCAGCGAAAAGGGTTTGACCTGTGCAAATCGTTGTTGAGGCGCTGGCTTTATTGGCTCCCAGCTGGTGTCCAAGTCTGGTTGGGACCACTAGTTATGGCCTTGGAAACCTCAGATGGTGTAGACCTTGGATTGGCTGAAGGACTGCCTGCTTCCATGGATATCGCACAGCAACTGAGTTAGTATGTATGGCCAGATGCCCTGCTTTGCAGAGGAAGGTTTTCTCAGTCACAAGTGGACGCAAGGCAGTTCTCTGTTTGCAGTTGTCTTCTATCTAAAGGAGTCTCCGGTTTAAGCCTGGCGAAAAGAAGAAAGATCAGAAGGAGGGAGAGTGCGCTTGAAGCTGCCCGTCTCCTCTTAGCTAGTGTACATTGGAAGCAAGTATACCTGGCCAGGGCGACTTATTTTATATTGTTATTTTTATGTTTTAACTTTCTGTCTGCACTTTACAAACATTTTAATTTAAGGTTATAACTTAATGTTTGTATTTTAGCTTAATGTATTTGTATTTTAACTTAATGTTGTAAGCCGCCCCGAGGCTTCGGCGAATGGGGCGGCATAAAAATGTCTTAATAAAATAAATAAATAATATACATGGGAGGCAAGTACACACAAAGCGTCTATACGAGATGCATTGTCCCTTCTATATTATCTCACTATTGTCCTCCTATGATTCTGCTCCTGATTTGCGCCTATAACAGCAGTAAGCAGCCTGGCGCCTACAGAGTGCTTTGGATTACAGCTATCACAAGCCTCAGTCAGTATGGCTGAGAGTCAGGGATGATGGGATTTGCAGTCCAAGATATCTGGTGGGCACTAGTAGCCTGTCCTGTGCTATGCAAGCAAGTTCAGCTATGCAGAAGGTGTCCTCTTTTTTGCCCGCCCTTGAGCGATGCCTTTTCTCTTTGCTGGGCGATACGCATGTGGCCGCCTCACGGGGAGGTCTCCGGTGGAGGCTCCGTTCTGGGTTGTGCTGAGTGGGAACGCGGTCTTCTCTGGGGCGGTTCTTGCACCCTGCCCTGGGTGTGCTGTCCACCTTAATAGTTGCACGTTTGGGGGAGGAAAAGTGTGGTTTGTAAATATGATGCTAATGAGCAGGCGCTGCCCATTCAGGCCTGCACTGCCTGACATGCGCATCACGGACTTTAAGAGTGAAGGTGGCCCCACTGAGGTCGGCGAAGAGAGGCAGTGTGGCGTAGTGGTTAAGAGCATGGGGCTGGGACTCAGGCGATCTGGGTTCTGGTCCCCACTCAGCCATGCAGCCAACCGGGTGACTTTGGGCCAGTCACAGACTCTCGGCCCAACCTACCTCACAGGGTTGTTGTTGTGGGGATAAGATGGAGGAGGAGAATGATGTAAGCTGCTTTGAGCCCTTTGTAGGAAAAAGGCAGGATATAAATCTGGAAAAAAAATGATGTAAATCGGAAAAATCGGAATCTTCAGTGCCAGGTTCTTAGGTCCCTGGGTAACTGTGAAGTCTCATATATAACAGCAAGCCAGACCAGGCTCGGGACAGGCACTCCATGGGTTTGGCTGGGATCTGGGTTTCCCTTCCTGAAGTTCCCGGTGGTGACGGCAAAGTAACCCTCCTTTTTGCTTCTAACAGGCAGGCTGATTCTTGGGGTCTTGAATCTTGTTTTCGCAAGTGCTTGCCGACACGCAAAGGGGGAAAAATGGCGTTCGTTTCGACTCAAGGACCCACCGTGGTCGACCAAACCACTCTAATGAAAAAATACCTCCAGTTTGTGGCAGCGCTGACGGATGTGAATTCGCGTAAGTTCACTGTCGATACTCTCTTGTCCTTGACGGCTCCGCAGGCTGGCTCAGCGCAGGCCTACCCGTGGCTCTGCGCACATTTTGGTTTGCAGAGTAGGAGCCAGCCTCAGGGGGCATGGAATGCTGCCTCGAATCTTCCTTGTCCTTAATCGTGGGTTAGAATTTGCCCGAGTCCAGGCTAAGCATGGTTGATGCTAGTCAGTGGCCCTCTCTTAAGCAAGGGCTGTATAACTGCAAAATGGCACATTTGGATCTGGTGGTGGGAAGCCCAGAACTTCATGTGAGTGTGCAAAGCTTGGTTCTGAAGGGGAACCCTCTTAACATCGGCCTTGGTTAGTGTACTTGTGGATCGGACGCCGAACTGTAGATTAGGCTGTCAGCGGGTGGAGGATTATACTGGAAAAGGAAATGAACGTGACCCTGAGGTTGGCTCCAGACTAGCAAACCAGGGCTTGGTGGGAGCCAGGGTTATTCCCAGGAGCTCCTCCTTCACCACAGGCCTTTAGCAGAGCTGCCCACCGTGCTGAATCCCATTCCCCAAACAGGCTCGCCGCCATGGAGAGCTCCTCTAAAGCTCAGATTGGAGCTTGCCATGGATCAGGAGCCCCTCTGCTGTGGGCGTCCCTGGCTGCCCCGGCTGTGTGAGTCCTTGGCTGGGGTTCAGCAGTCCCTTCCCGCTGCTCTCACAAAGAAGCAACATGATGAACCAGATTTCCTCGAACCCTGCAAAGGTCACCTGTGTGTGTGAGTGTGTGGAGCTGCGTGCGTGCAAATGTGTGACTGCGAGTTTTGATTTGTGATACTCCCAATCTGGGTCATGAGAGTCAAACTGATAAGATCTGATTGCTTCTTTAGAGGTGGTAGCGGGGTGGACATGTGGGCGGGGAGAAATAGTTGCTTTGTTTTAATACACGCTGAACATTTTGTTGGGTTTTTTTTCCTTTGTGCTTTGTAGCTGATGAAACGAAACTGAAGATGATGCAAGAAGTCAGTGAAAACTTTGAGGTAACAGTTGCTTGTTATTTTTCTGCTTCGTGGAGCTAAATGTTCTTGCCCCTTGGAATGATAGCTTGCAGACACGGCAAGAGGTGGAATTTCCCAGCCCTGGTTAAGTGAATGGATCTACTAGAGAGGGCATCTTAGCTCTCACTGCAGCCTGCAGAAGAGCTCTGTTCGCAACACTAGTTCTTCATTTTGATTTTTATTGGTCAGCTTATCATACTGCCTTGGTATAAGTCATTTTCCTATGTCCAGATGAGATCAGAGTAAAATGCATACGACTTTGCAAATGACTTGTCTGGTGAAGACACACGTATTAGCAAAGGTTTAGGTACTGGGAGCAGAATTGTAAACACCTTTCACACACCACGCCTGTCTTGACGTTTTAAACGTAGAGCTCTCAAAATGAGGTCAAGAATCCCGATTCTGTCTCTGTCCAACCGAACTCCTAGAACAATTTTTCACTTGTCAGAATAGCAACAGCATTAAATTTTCTCTTGGTAAGAGGTGAACTGTGATACATTCTTTGCCTGCCAAGATATGACTAAATATTAGATCCTGTACCATACTGGTATCTCTGAAAAGGAGATTGTATCTGAAAGGCCGTTTTCTTCTGCTAGAATGTGACGTCGTCTCCGCAGTACTCCACATTCCTGGAACACATCATCCCGCGCTTTCTTACTTTTCTCCAGGATGGAGAGGTTCAGTTCCTGCAGGAAAAACCAGCCCAGGTATATTATGACATGTGCTCTTTTCAGGTGTGTTCACCTGCAGCCCTCAGGTGCCCAGCCAAAACTGTATGGAATTGATCAGCTCCTGATAAACCACATTCAAGGTTTCAGTATGGGTTGCTGTTGAAGCATGGTCAATTGTGTTGTTTAAGCCTAGCTGTGCTAACAAGCTATGGCTTCTTAACTCTGAACAACCTGTGAAGAGAGCCACGGTTTGTCGTTGGGTTACGAACTGTGGGTTATTCGTCATAGATTGTTATCTTTGCTGGCTTCAGGCAACATGGCCCATAGTTCAGCAACTACCGATATTTCAAACCACAGCCCATGGTTCATTGATAATATATAGGCAACCCTTCCTCCACCCTTGCATAGGCATTCTAACATTATCTGAATCCAGTCATTGGGTGTCATGTCTAGAGTTAAAAAAAATGATAAATTGCATCCGGTTCTTCCTTTGTGAGAAGAAGGAGGTTGCTAATTCCCTGAAGGGTGCTTCTAACACCATTTAAGTTGGGGATGGGGAGCTTCTGGCCATAGCAAATTCCCATTGTAGTCTCCCCGCTCTCCCTGCTCGATTATTTCTCCTCAGAGAGGTAAGGGAGCAGGTCCCAGCCCACTGATAGCATACTGCCTCCAGCATGTTTACTCAGAATTTGCTTGGCCCTTGGGCCAAAAACATTCCTTGTTCCTGGTTTATGTACTGAACATATATGCTGCATCATTAGCACCCCTTCATGGTTCCTCTTTCTGATTCAAAAAATAGAATTCTTCCATGAATGTGAAGAAATGTGTGCTACCATTTTGAGAACCAGAAAGAAGTGCATCTTGTGCATTAGGGCATTTTATCTGAGTGGTTTTCCTTAATGTTTCCTATGTTGTTAGGCAAGTATGTCGTACCCTTTCCTTTAAGTTCAATCTCTTCTTTTCCCCCCTTTGCAGCAACTGAGAAAATTAGTTTTGGAAATAATCCATAGAATACCAACAAACGAACATCTTCGCCCGCATACCAAGAATATCTTATCTGTGATGTTCAGGTTTCTAGAGGTGCGTTGCCTTTCAGTCTCTGATTATTTCTAACATGGATTTCCTTGCCTTTGCCATTTCATTATGGGAAAGGTATCTGAAATCAGTGTGCCTTGAATTAATACTATGGATGTTTTGTTCTTTTGATGCAGTTCAGTATGGGATTTCTGTTGTGTTGCTTGGCTTGATTACATCTTCCTTGAAGCTTAAGTCAGGGTTTGTTTTTCATTTTACATTTCTCAGATAGAAAAGAACTTCATAAACATCCTACCTGATACATGCAAACTGTAGCATGAAATCCTGAAATCTGAAAGTAGCAAGAAATCTGGATAACTGATAGGAGACTGAGTCGAGACCTTGTTCCCAATGTGTTGGCAGATAGTATCATGGAAGAGTTAACATGCAAAAGCAGATTAATTAGAAAAATAGTAAATAGGGAATTAATTTGGGTCAAGTGAATTTTCATTTCTCTCATATTCAGTATTCTTCCAAATACTGAAGTATTGTCTGCTGCCAGCTGTGGAACAATTCCTGGTGTGGTTAAAGTGGTCCTTAATATTTATTGGAATTGTATAGGGCTACTTGGGATGCAGGTGGCACAGTGGTTTAAACTGCTGTGCTGCTGGGCTGGTTGATCGATAGGTCGCCGGTTCAAATCTGCACAACAGGGCGAGTTCCCGTTGCTCCGTCCCAGCTCCTGCCAACCTTGCAGTTCGAAAGCATGCAGATGCAAGTAGATAAAAAGGTACCACTTCGGTGGGCAGGTAACAGCATTCCATGCACTTCGGTGTTTAGTCATGCCAGCCACATGACCACGGAGACTGTCTGCGGACAAACGCTGGCTCCCTCGGCTAGGAAACGGAGATGAGCACGTCAAGGGGAAACCTTTACCTTTTTTAGGGCTGCTAATAATTATTTGCTTCATTATTCTGGAAATAGGTGTATAATATGGGGACTAGTTAATGTGCAACATACATGTTGCAACCTTTTGTTATATATTTCTGTAGGTGAATGTTATAATGCTTGAAATTTAATACATATATTAAATTGAGCGCGGAAGTGCATTGATCCCATAAAAGCAAATCGATTGGCCTGTCAAAACTTTATCAGTTACTTCTTGTTGCATGAATTAAGTGACACTGGAAAGCATGTTATTGTTCAGGGTGGTTAGGAATTTTATCATGTTTTAATACATCTGTTGGGATTTCTCTCTGGCATTTAGACGGAAAATGAAGAAAATGTGCTTATTTGTTTGAGGATAATTATTGAACTGCACAAACAGTTCCGGCCACCAATCACACAAGAGGTAAATGGCTACGCCTGAATTGGCTTGGCTCTACCCTGTACCGCTATTGCCTGGTCCTCAATGGGGGTATAAGCTTCTGTCCTGTCGGTGGGTGTTGGGTATTCCTCTGCAGGAAACATTGCTTGTATTCAGGAAACTAAATTTTGGGGAGAGGCTGTAGATAGCCCTTTCCCTGACATATGAATATTCTGTGTGTAGGATTTTGGTTTGTGGGAAATGATGGGACATTCCCATCATGAGAGCTAGTATGGTATGGTGGTTAAGACCACGGATCTGGGACTCAGGGGATCTGGGTTCTAGTCCCCACTCAGCCACGGAGCCAACTGGGTGGCTTTGGGCCCATTGTAGACTTTCAGCCCAACCTACCTCACAGGGTTGTTGTTGTGGGGATAAGACTGAGAGCAGCAGCAGGAGGAAGGATATAGGCTGCCTTGAGTTCCTTGAAAGGAAAAAGGGGTGATATAAATATAAGAGATGGCATGAAGTGGAATGAAATGAAAGGACAAACAAACAAAATCCATTTTGCGCTCTCCCACGGGCAGTCTGAAGGCATAAAATCGGATTGCGCTTCTTGCCAGATGAGGGGGCGCTCCAGCAATGGCTCTGCCTTCTCCACCTGCTCCTCCAGTGCTTTGTTGTCTCTTTGCCTCACTTCCAGTGGCTGGTTTTCAGTCCTGGCAGGTGTCTGTGTGACTAACACCGTTTCTCTCCATTGTGGTGGGCACATGTTTTGGGGGTTTGCATTTTCAAATGAAATGGGTGTGTGCGAGGAGAGAGGCCAACAGCCAGGATGGCAAGCACATAGAAACAGAGAAACAGAGCAAGTCAGAAGGGTCCTCCCGGGCCATCTAGTCTGACCTCCGGCACTAGCCGGCTCCGCTCACGACATGCTCACCATGTGCACGTCCAGCCTGTCCTTGAACACCCGCACCAAGGGGGCCTCAACGACCTCCTGTGGAAGCTCATTCCACACCCTCGGGGTCCTAACTGTCAGGAAGTGCTTCCTGGCATCCAAATTGAGCCTTGGTTCCTTGAGCTAGGCTCTGTTGGAGAGTGTCCTGCCTTCCTCTGCGGGGGAGAGCAGGTCTCTACCCACCTCCATGTGACACCCCCTCGTGTACCTGTAGGTTGCCAACAGATCCCCTCTGAGTCTCCTCTTCTCCAGGCTGAAGAGGCCCAGTCCCCTCAGTCTCGCCTCATACGGCATCCCCTGCAAACCGGCCACCAACCTTGTGGCCCTACGCTGCACTGACTCCAACCTGGCTATATCCTTTCTGTAATGAGGGGCCCAAAACTGAGCACGATACTCCAGTTGCGGGTGCACCAGAGTCATATAGAGTGGTAGTAATACCTTTCTCGATCTAGAAACATTTTCCCCTCTCCCTTTCCTGCAGATTCACCATTTCTTGGATTTTGTTAAGCAGATATACAAGGAGCTTCCAAAAGTAGTCGTAAGTACAGCCGTTCTCATTCTGATTCTTTTTCATTCTGGGGCATTTTGGACAACACAAGATGTGGGAAGGGGAAATGGGAGGGCGCTGGTTTTCTGAATGTACTGCTCTGGAGTGTGGCCTTTGTTCCTAAATGGGGGAGGGTGCTGCGGTTGCCAGCGCGGACTTTTTGAAGCCACCTTTAAAAATCTCCCACCTGCATTAATCGTCATGGCAGATGCATTTTGTAGAGCTTCGTTTTGCCCGGTCAAGGGTACCTATTATTGTGACAATGCGATCATTCATTTATAGCATCTTTATGCCACTTTAGCCAGAAAGGATGCCCAGGTAGCTTATAGCGGTAGGGAAGAAGGCCCTGTCTGCAGCTTACGATCTAAAAAGCACCAATTGAAAGGGAAGGATTGGGAGGGAGGAGAACTCCCCAGCCCCCGTTCAGGTACTAGGTTTCTAATTGCAAACTTGAACAAGCCACGGACAAAGTCGAAGGTTCCACTGTTGCCACTTCTCCGTCGGGCGCTTTTGCAGTGACGGATCCTAGCAGTAGGGAGTAGGGCTTAGCTGGAGCTGTACGAGGTGATGGAAGGGTGTCTGGCTGCAGCTGCTTCTGCTGATTGAACGATTATTTTGCATAGTTCTGGCCCTTGGCAGTAGCCAGTTTAAGCAGATGTGTCACTTGCTGAATGGACAAGGGATGGAAGGCCGACCCCATCTTTCATGGGGCTGCTTGTCTGGCCCGACTGCCCACAAGCAGCTGCTCTTTCCCCCCTCGCCTCCCAAAAATCCCCCCTCTGGGCTGGCCACCAAGCAGCCTGGCAGAACTTCTCAAAGGATCCGGTTGCTCCCGGGTCTGCCAGTAACTCACCTCTGTTCTGTTTCCCAGCGAATCAGTCCTCAAACAGCGTAAGCTCGTGGAGCGCTAGGGAGTGTGGCCATATCCGCAGGGACGGTCAGTGATTCTCCTCTTTTGCTTCTTGCCGTAGAATCGATACTTTGAAAACCCTCAGGTTATCCCCGACAATACTGTTCCCACCCCGGAGATGGTTGGCATGATCACGACGATCGTGGTGAAAGTAAATCCGGACCGGGATGACAGCGAGACCAGAACGGTACGTGCAATCAAAGAGCGGTGCAGTGTGCGAAGCGGCCCTGCTTTCATGCCGCAGCTCTGCGGGCACGAAGCTGGGGCAGACCCGACCCATTTCCACACGGGAGGCACCCAGCAGAGGCCACCAGCAGTGAAGCGACGCCCCGGGGGCTTGTCTGCAGTGGAGGTTTTTACGAGCACAACCAGGCTGTAGGTGCAGGTCACGTGCACGAGTGCAGGAGGATCCAGCGGGCCAGGCTGTGGCCCCTAGGTAGCCTCAGCATGGCCTGAGGTTGCTGGTGATCCCCCCATATGGCCTTCTGGGGGGAATAGGGTCAGGGGTTTCCCCACCCACACCTGCCCCCCCAGCCACCGTGCAGAGCGGGAGCGCCTCTCGCCTGCTCTGCGCTCTGATCTTGGGGAAAGGACAGAGAAGGGGAGCAGGTGTCACGCCAGTGGCTGGGAGGGGCAAGGCCAGGCGAGGCTTTCGGCTCTCTTTGCTGCGCTTGGCAACTGGACGGACTCAAAGGCCTGTCCAGAGCTACATACAGTTTGGGAGGAGTGGGAGTTGACCACCGCCAAAGGACCCTTCTGCCGCTTCTGCGCCCTTGCTTGGGCCTGGTCAGCAGTGCTTGGCTTCAGTGGCCTTCTTGGATCAACTCCCTCTGGCTCATGGGCACGGCTCATATCGGATTTACCCTAAGAAACTGGAAACATGCAGACTGTATTAAAATACAGAGGGCTAAGACAGCCGTATAGAATAGCAGGCCGTTACATTAAAAATGGGATGCTGTCAAAAGGTTGAACGAGAAACAACCTGTAACCTGTTGTGTTTTTCCAGCACTCCCTAATTCCCCGAGGCTCCCTGTCCTTGAAGGTGTTGGCTGAGCTGCCCATTATTGTCGTTCTTATGTATCAGGTGAGTGTGGGACAGTATCTATCACGTGCAGCTACCTGCACATTAACACATCACTTAAGTCCTCTCCCTTCTCCCAACTCATCGCCTTCCCGCCCTACTCCTCAGATGGGATGTGAATCAAAGGTAGTTGTAACCTGAGACATAAAGTTAAGAACACATGTTGACATTGAATTTGTTCTCAGTGTATCTAAGAGCAAACAAGGCTTGATTTTTGGGTTGGTTATGAATGCTTTTGATTTCTTTTTTAGCTGTACAAACTCAACATTCATAATGTGGTAGCTGAATTCGTGCCCCTGATCATGAATACTATTATTATTCAGGTATCCACACAGGCAAGGTAAGTTTTTGGAACAGAATTGCTCTATAACCCTTATTGTGTTTGCCTTGTTAACAAGCACAGAGCATTGTGAATTTAGGAAAGTCATGCCCAGCTTTCTAGCATCTAATTTCAGAGGGGCAGCCCTGTTCCCCCACTTCAACAGAATTTATGAAGCATCTTGTGACACCTGAAAGACTAAGCTGTTTATGGTGGTTGGAAATGTTTTTTGGATTAGTGAGGCAACCTTCTTTTAAAGAGAAAACTAAATAACAATTTGCTCAATTTTCAGGCAGCATAAACTGTACAACAAGGAGTTGTACGCCGACTTCATTGCTGCTCAGATAAAGACATTGTCATTCTTGGCTTATATCATCCGAATTTATCAGGTGAGGAACCATAAGAAGGTAACACTGCAGGTCAGACTGGCCAGTGGCACATAATGCCAATCCATGGTTTAGTCAACCCAAGGTTTGGCGCACTATTTAGAGTTTGCTCAGCAGAGGATTGAACAGCCCATGGCTCATTTTAAGAAAGCCTGGGCTGTTTGTTTCCCTCCTGCTTTTGCCCACTGTTGTATTCCAAATGAGTTTGCAGGGCTGTAGTGCTGGTTTGTAGAGCAGCTAGATTTTTTTTTTTTCTTTTACTGCTCTTGCCCTCCACCTCTGGAACCTGGTGAGACAACTAATGAACAACCGATAGGTCAGTGTTGACATTTTACAACAACCCATGATTTAAACAGCCTAGTGCTCACAACTCGTCATCAAGCCATGGGTTCTCTTTCTGGATTATTTATGATTAAGAAACTTTTTTTAAAGCAAGGCCACACATGACTATCAGGATAACCCACAAATTAAGAACAAACACCACCGACTACTGTTACGTACAAATTAGTCCGAGTGTTTAACCTTCATCTTGCATCAGTTTGAAACTTAGCATTAATTGTTTTGGGGTAACTTTGTCACCCCAGACAAATCCGCTAAAGGCAAGGCAAATGCTGCATACAAAAAAGCCTTTGCTTGACTGAATGTTTCCCCCAGGAGGTTTGAATGTGATAGTGTAATTTAGTATCCTGCAATAGCAGGAGGTTGGACCCGATGGCCTTCTGGCTCCTTCTGTCTCTACTACTCCATGATTCTGTGAATTGGCATGAGAATAACTTTCAGGTTTTAGCTACTACAGGTAATTTCAGGGTTAGGATTTGATTTTTCTTGAAGCTCTGCATACAAGACTTGGCCTATTGACCTATGGTCTGCCTAACAATAGTTTGGCCTACAACTTCAAATCACATCAAAAAGCTTTCCCTCCATGGATTTTAATCCTGTTTGCCGGAGGGTTTTGCTAGCACTCCTGGCCTTGGGAAGAGTCTAAGATGAAGTCTAACCTCCTTTTGGGCTCCTTGGAGTACCTTTAGATGCCAGTCTTATGCAAACTTGGAGGAACTTTGTTCTCCAGCTTTTATAAACCGTAAAAAGAAAGAAACCAAAATAGAAGAGGCTTTTTTTTATAACCTAAATTTGACAGCGTCCTAGAAAGACTAGATTATAGGACTACTTATGTGGAAATGACACATCGTAAAGTGAGCCTGGGATTGTTTAGGCATACCGTGTTGCAGAAATACATATAACAGGAATATGTCTTATGTTTTCCTTCTTTACCAGGAATTGGTGGCTAAGTATTCACAACAGATGGTAAAGGGAATGCTACAGTTGCTGTCGAATTGTCCAGCCGAAACAGCTCACCTGAGGAAGGAGCTTCTTATCGCTGCCAAACATATTCTTACCACAGACCTGAGGAGCCGTATGTAACTTTTGCAAACTCAGGTTGAAAGGAGAGTATAAGATTGGTGCTGCTTCAACACTCTTGTGATTTCTGATCATAAACCTACCTCTGTTGTGATTGCTGCAGGAGTAGTTTGAATAATTGCCTTCATTTGGCGTTAGTCCTTTTGAAGTTCGCTTCTTTGCTCCTCTTTTGATGTCAGGTGGTCACACCTGGCTAGGAGATCTGCTTTGCACAACAGTATCTATCCATGCATGAAGTTGGCCAAGCCAATTCTGCTATCTGGGCATTTTCTTGCACTAGTACACAGCCTGAATCAAGGGATGGCTGAACTAATGGCATTCGCCTTCCGAAGTTCAGGCAGACCCACTGAGGAAAGGAGAGACTCACATTCGTAAAGTTTTCAATGCACGACTTTCCTCCCACGGTTCCACTGTAGTAGGAACTTTCAGCGAAGCAGAGAAATCTGGTATTTCTTTGGGACGTCGTGTCTCAGGCACTTGCAGAGTGAAATTTTCAGCTCTCGGCAAGGAGCCGCCTGATGTTTTCTCTTTTTCTTAAGTCAGAGCCGAAGTGTGGTGATCTTGGAGCAGCCCCAAATCAATTCAGCCAGTCTAACCAATTTAACTTTGGCCATTCAGGCAATTCAACTGTGTGCTCGTTTGCTTTATTGATACAGAGTCACTTGAGCACAGGTTGATTTTGTCCATTTCTGGATTCAAGCCTTTGTGCTCTGAAAGTGCATCTGCCAGCGCTTTAAATTTTCTCTGTCATTGCCCACTCCAAGCATTTGCAGTATGAAGAATAGAAATAATTTCAGATTTCTGGGTACTTCTGGATACCTCCCCTCTGCGCCACGCCCTTCCTCTTTTTATTATTTATTTATTTAGGAAGCTGCTATGCCGCCCCATTCGCCGAAGCCTCGGGGGCGGCTCACAATAATAAATAAATAATTTTTCACCCAGAATGGGTAACTGGGAAATCGTGGCAAATGTGGGGTGATTGGAGGACACTGGAATGACATGAATTTGTTTTGCTGCCTTCATTTTGACAGTTCTCTCTTGAAAATTATTTGCAGAATTTATTCCGTGCATGGACAAATTGTTTGATGAATCCATACTAATAGGCTCTGGATACACAGCACGTGAAACTCTGAGGTGTGTACTGGAAGCGGGGAGAAACACTAGGTCAGCTGCCTTGGGTTCCTTGCAGGAGGAGGAGGACGACGACAGTCTGGACAATCAATTTTCCGGTCAATTGATCTCCAAGTTGCCTGCAAGCAATTTGAATCCTTGCCAGGGATCACGGCTAGCGCTGTCGCAGCCTGGGCTGTTTAATAAGTGGATAAGAATATGTTTGAATTGCACCCCAATTTTTTTTTCTTCTTGGGCTGAAGAAGGTCAATGGGGCTGTTTGCTTGTCAGTGTTTTGGGTGTGTGGTGTACCTGTGGAAAGGGCTTCTGGCTGTGCCGCACCCCACACATGGGCCCAGTCTCTCTCTGCCCTATATCTGTCTGCTGGAAGAGCTTCTGCTTTTAGGTAGAGAGGAGGATGTGTGTGTGCTTGATGCAGTTTGCAGTCTCCAACCTGTGGGGTCCCTGATGGTGAGGGAACCCTATGGCGAGGTGGGGGCGCTGAACCTTCTTCAGCCCTGAGGCCGATTTTCCCTTTGGAGAAGCCCTCTGGAACTGTGTTCCAGTGCTGGGCAGCACCAGAGCGGAAGGGGCTTTCATACAAAAAACAGAGCAAAACCAACACCTTGCATGCTGTAAAATATTAGCACCAAAATACAAGCACCTTTTAAGTTAAATGCACATTTTAGTTTAAAGCTTGCACCACCAGCAATTTAGGATTAAGAGTGGCATTTGTGCATTGGTCCTAGGGTATCCCCAAAGGATTAGTGGCGTGTGGCCTAGCTTTCTCGAGAAGCCCAGGGGACTGGATTTGTCTGCCCAGCCTTGAGGCTGCGTGTCCCTGGGCTGCAGGCACAGAATGGTTGGCATATAGGCTCTCCTTCACACTGGCCTCCAAAATATTCCGCCGGCATAATCAGTGTTTCTCTTTTTTTCCTAGACCCCTTGCGTACAGCACATTGGCCGATCTAGTTCATCACGTCCGCCAGCATTTGCCGCTCAACGATCTCTCCCTTGCCGTCCAGCTCTTTGCCAAGAATATTGACGATGAATCATTACCGAGCAGCATCCAGACCATGTCCTGCAAGCTCCTGCTAAACCTGGTGGACTGCATTCGGTCCAAGAGCGAACAGGAGAATGGAAATGGCAGAGACATTCTCATGAGGATGCTGGAGGTAGTGGAGTGTTTCAGGGGCACTTCTGGAATTTGCAAGGCTCAGAGAGGGGCTGTCCATCCGTCGGAAGCACGACTCCAAGGCCGTGGCTTCCGAAAGCTGGCATGTATGCTGTGCCTGGGCCCTGTGCTCAGGCATGGCTTGAGAAGCCACGTGTCCTGAAGCAGCTGCTTTGATTGCTCAGCGTGTGTGATTGCAGGATGGCCTCATGCCGGGAGGTCCAGCAAGTCCGCACAGCGGTTCCTGAGGGGGTGTGAACGGGAGCTTGGCCATGGAGCTCTGCTGGTGGAACAGACAAAGAAAACTCCTGCATTCTTTCAACGGGGTTGGACTCTAAATCTGAAAGAGTCCCTTGTAATTCTGTCTTCCTTAGGGAGAGTCTCCTTTGTTCTTAAAATACTTGATTATTTTGAATGCACTGACGTGTGGGAGCAGTTGGAAGTGCACAAGAACAGTTTCAGACCCTGCAGGCGCTTTGTCGCACCTGAGTGCAGCCCCCTGCCCAAGCGGGGCTGCAGCCCGGGACCTGCCTGGCTGCTCCCGTGAGCACGGCTTCCGTTGGTCAGGCAGGGCGGTCCCAGCATGTCCAGCTTGGACAAATGCCGGACAGGTTGCCCTGCTTATATCGAAGTAAGCTTAGTTGCTGGGTTAGAATATTCTTAAAATGACAGGGTGGCCAGAAACAGGAGTGCCTGACCGAAGACCATTGACAATGTTGGGATTGAAGTGAAATATAAAAAAATAGGGACACATTCGCATGGTCCACTGTCCTTTTTAAGCTTGAGGTTGTGCATTGTTTTGCTTCTGCACTTTCTTGTGTCTGTTTAAGAGGCAAAACCTGGTGTGCTGTTGCATGTGAATGAGACAATCTTGGAAACATCGATAAGTAGAGCTGGAGGGGGGCAGTAGGCCACCAGGTTCAGTGCCCTGTTGGTGCAGGACACCAAGTTAAACCGTCCCTCCCAGATGGCTGTCCAGTTGCATCTTGAATGCTTCTATTGTGAGAGAGCCCGCAACCTCCCTGGGCTATTGGAACCATTGTTGTACTGCTTTAGCAGTCAGAAAATTTTTCCTGATATCTAGCTGGAATCTGGCTTGGTGTAGCTTGAGCCCATTCTTCTGTGTCCTGTATTCTGGGGTGATCGAGAAGAGATCTTGGCCTTCCTCTTTGTGACAGCCTTTCAAGTACTTGTAGATGGTGTCCTGATCTCCCGTCAGTCCTTCCTGAGGCTAAACATGCCCGTGGTTCAGCATAACACTAAACCGGGCTTGCAAATGCCACTTGGAAGTTGTTCTGTAACCTTGGGCCATGTGAAAACCACACTGTGACCGTTCAGATGTAGGGTCAGCTGATTTATTATTCATTTATTTATTTAGGAGACTTCTATGCCGCCCCATCCGCCGAAGCCTCGGGGCGGCTCACAACCATAAATAAACTTCAAAATAGAATAATATAAATTAACAATATAAATTAAGTTGCCCTGGCCAAAGAATAAAATGAATAAATAATATTAACAATTAAAATAACATTTGATTAAAAAGGTCTTCGCCTGGCACCGAAAAACAAATAACGACGGTGCCAGGCGGGCCTCTCTGGGGTCTGATGCCTTGCCTCCTAGCCAAGGGAGACCATTATGCACCCAGCAAACCACATACAGGTCATGAGTATTAGCCACAACTCTTTCCTCTTGTTCCACTTCAGTCTGTTAATTCCTGAACCATGCTTGCGCATGCCTCAGCTTATTTTCCTGTGTAGTGAGCATACGTTTTCTTTTTCCCCTGCTCCAGGTTTTTGTCCTCAAATTTCACACCATCGCCCGCTACCAGCTGTCCGTTATCTTTAAAAAGTGCAAACCGCAGTCGGAGCTTGGGGCGGGAGAAGCAGTTTTGCCTGGCGTGCCCGCTGGCGGGAACACTGCTCCGGTCCCGGTTCCATCCCCTGCTCCCACCACCCCCGTGAGCGGCCCTTCCTCCGGACCCGTCTTTGAGAAGCAGGGAGAGAAGGAGAAGGAGGATAAGCAGACCTTTCAAGTCACGGATTGCCGAAGTTTGGTGAAGACGCTGGTCTGTGGCGTGAAGACGATTACGTGGGGCATCACCTCTTGCAAAGCTCCCGGAGGTAAAGTTGCACGAGATCTAATCCTGTCCATTTTTATTTGCTGGGGCTGTGGCCCAATTTAGGACATTTTAACTGGTTCACCATAGGGGTTTAAGTCCATTAATTGATCATATAGGCTTGAGTCAATTGAATGGATGGTTCATATGGGGTTCAGTCAGTGAATTCGTTGTGCGGTTCTGAGTTAATTGATCGAATGGGTTTTAGTTCCTTAATTTGTTCCCGTGGGTTTTAGCCAATTGGTCTATATATTTCAATGTGCACATTGATTTCTCAAGGAGGAAAGGCACTCTGGTCAGATCATCGTCTGCGATCGGCCATCTTCCAGATGTGTTTGGGAGTTGCAGACCGGCACATCAAGAGGGCTCTAGGTTGGGCCCATCTGGGGCAGATGTATCCCTTGTGTTGCACATTCTTTGAACAAGTGTGTGCTGCTTGTGACTCCTGGTCTACCATTCCAGTGATTCTTTATCATTGGCCATGCTGGCTGGGACCAATTAAGCTTGTTGGCAAAAACATCTTGGGGCACAAGTTGTGCACCTCCGTTTAAAGGATTTCCTTCATATGAAAGCCAAGGACTCTTTTAAGATACTTTATTGACATGTGATAGATGCATATATAACAACACTTAAATCTGCTACTCAAGCAGATTGAATTGATTAAATATTAAGTCTTCGTGTTTGCAAACCTGTTCTGTAAAACACGCAGTGTTTGCATACAGATTCTTCTGGTTTTTCCTTTTAGAGGCACAGTTTATTCCCAATAAGCAGCTGCAACCTAAAGAGACACAGATCTATATAAAATTGGTCAAATATGCAATGCAAGCTTTGGATATTTATCAGGTATGTATAACCTTTCTTATAATTACTCTCTGTGTTTTATTAATTGTTTTGAACTACTGTCAATCTGACTTGTCTCTTTTCAGTGTCAAGCAGTTTTTTTTCCAGTTGGTTCATACATTTTGGGAAAAGAAGAAAATATGTTAACTCGAATTCTGCAAAATCTGCTTGGCACCTACTCTTTTGGCCTTCAGGTGCTAACCAGATTTTGCAGGTGCTAAAGATATACTTGTTCCACAGTTATTTTAATAGGTGAAGTCTTGATTTTTCAATGATGTTTTAATCTTTATGTTTTCTGTTGCCACAAATACGTTTTTTTTAATGCTGGATATCGATAACTAAATTTTAAGAGGTTTTGTCTTATTTTGGGATATATATTTCTGTTTATTTTTTCTATTTTGTTTATTTTGGCTTTTTTTAGTTCTGATAGCTTACTTATGCTTTTACTGTTATTGGCTCTTTGTAACTGTGTATTGTCATATTGTGTTTTGTACTGTTTTATGCCGTTTATGGATTTTAATATGATGTAAGCTGCCCAGAGAGCCTATGGGTAGTGGAGTGACAAAGAAATCAAACAAAGAAACGAACAAATAATGAATAAATATTCTCTTTGCAATAGGTTCAAATAGCTGGAAATGGGCAGACGTACATTAGAGTTGCAAACTGTCAGACAGTCAGGATGAAAGAGGAGAAGGAGGTGTTGGAACATTTTGCCGGCGTCTTCACCATGATGAATCCTCTGACTTTCAAAGAGATCTTCCAGACGACTGTTCCATACATGGTCGAAAGAATCTCTAAGAACTATGCCCTCCAGGTAGCATGTTTTGTGCACTTGACAGTCACATGTGCCCCTTTAGTGGTTTGGGTCAGGTTTGAGGTTGTCTTTCTCAGAATTGTATATTTTCAATGCCGCTGTGTTTTACCCACCAGCCAGGTTTGGGTGTGGATGTTGCAGCTTGAACTCTGAGAGCCAGGGTGGTGTGGTGGTTAAGAGCACGGGATTGGGACTCAGAGGATCTGGGTTCTAGTCCCCGCTCAGCCATGGAGCCAGCTGGGTGACTTTGGGCCAGTCACAGACTCTCAGCCCAACCTGCCTCACAGGGTTGTTGTTGTGGGGATCAGATGGAGGAGAAGAATGTTGTAAGCTGCCTTGAGCCCTTTGTAGGGAAAAGGCAGGCTATAAATTGGAAAATAAATAAATAAATAAGTAAGTACCCAAACTTAGACTGGTGGCATGGCCCCTCTTTCAGCTGGAGGGCCAAATTCCATTTTGGAGATTTCTCTCACAGGTGCCGCATTCCGGTGGTGGGCACAGGCTGAAGATAAAAGCAGGGGTAGGTAAAGGGGAGAGAACGCCATCCTGTTGGAGGTTAATACCTTAAGGCGGCCTCAAGAGAGGCTTTTCAGCATCTTCAGAATGGGAAAAACCATGCACAAAACCCGGAAATCCCCCAGATGATGGTGGTTGGGGCAAAGAGGGTGACACCAGGTAGGAAGCATGGTGGTCTGGGGAACCTGCGGGGTAGGTTCGGGACCCCAGTGTTCCGATGGTCCGAAACCCCGATTTAGACCATGCAGAATTCAAAATTAGCACTGTTACTGGAAACGAGGGTGGGTTTGAGGAGCTGTGATTGGATGCACCACTTACCCTTGTCTTCCCCTCCTCACAAGGTTGATAGACTGGGAGCAGGAGGCCAGCAAAACAGAACGTCGAATAAGACGAGCTGGCCGAAAATAAAGGGGGCGCTGCGACCCTTCAGGGGTGAGAAACACTGCTCAGGGTTGTTCCTAACTGACTCATGCTCCCCTTTGACAGATCGTCGCCAACTCCTTTTTGGCCAACCCCACCACCTCGGCCCTGTTTGCCACGATCCTGGTGGAGTACCTTCTCGACCGCTTGCCTGAAATGGGCTCTAACGTGGAGCTCTCCAACCTGTACCTCAAGCTGTTCAAGTTAGTTTTCGGCTCCGTTTCACTCTTTGCGGCAGAAAATGAGCAGATGCTGAAGGTATGGCGGGGGAGAAATTTGGCTGTCTCTCCTTTATCCTGGGATGGTGTTTGGATTGCCCGTGTGTTGGGTGGAAGTGCTTCTTATGGTCATTCCCATGGGATGGTTGGCGCACCGGAAGCTGCTTCAGGCAGGGTCTCTAGCCTGGAATGATCAACACTGGCTGGCAGCAGTCGCATTTTGGGATGTCAGGCAAGGTTCTTTCCTACTCTTACCTGCAGATACCTGGCCCTGCACCTGGGACTTTTTCCTATTGAGCTACATCCCTTCCCTGGGGTGAGAACTTAGGAGGCCCCCTCTGTGTAAAAGAGCAAGTGAATGAGGTTCAGTTCAGGACTGACCCCAGAGCTTGCCAGTTATTTTTTATTTAAGGGTGGTTTGTGCAGTGCAAGGGAGCTTTCATTGGCACACACGGGAAGCTTAGAGGAAGGTCTTTAATGTAAGCTTAGTAATTCAGGCTTAGCAGCAAGCCATGGTGAAGTTGGCTGAGGTCTGGCATGTTGTTGTGTCCAAACTGCCTGCAAACAAACATCATATGAATCACAAAAACCCACTGTGTTTTGTTGTTGTTTTTATGAACTCTGGCTCGTTTAAACCATGGCTTGTTGATGTCTGAACCCAGATTCAATGGCTTATTCCTGACTTGTTCACATTGACATCTGTCCTGAAGCAGAGGCTCCTGACAAAAGCCACCTGCAAAGGCAACCACTGTGGAAGTGCACAAAATAGGTGAAACTTCATAGAGGAGAAGTAACCTGTTGTTGGTTTTCTTGCCTGCAAGACAATTCATGGCTTAACTAGCAACCATGGTTCAGATAAATCATGGTTTAATGTTATGTATGAACACAGCCATGGTTCTAGCCTTTGACTGTAATAACATATAGCATTCTTCCTCAGCCGGGTGCCTTTCAGCTAGGTTGGACTACAACTCTCATATGGGAATTATGGGAATTGTAGTCCAGTACATCTGGAGAGCTCCAATCTGGGGACGGCTGACATGCAAAAGAGTGCAAAATGGAGTTTGTGCTGCAGCTGGTTGCTGATTTTAAAAATGGGGTGGGGGAGTTCAATTGCACAACAACGCATAGCATGCTGGTGAGGAAATCCAGTGTGAGCGTTAGCTAAAGCCAGAATACATAAAGGCAGTTTCAGTGCCAGTTGTTTCAGTGTTGTGCTTAGCCATCAGAACAACAGCACACATCCCACACTTTGAAAGGAATGCCGATCAAAAAAGCAATTGTGATACACCATGGGGAAGCGGTGCTGGGGGGGGGGGGGAGGAGCTGAAGCCCTTAGACGTGCTTGAGTCGCTCTTTGTATCTTGGCCAATGTTTACCAATCCGCTTTGCTTCCAATTAGTATTTATTGACACAATATATAATTTCCTTATGGGACTGTTGACTTTGAACACTTGGTCTTTGGTTTTGGAAACGGCACAGTCTTCGTTCCATCTGCCAGGAAGCCCCGATTACTAGTGGATGAATAATTTAACCCAAATACTTCCTGCCTTATAAAGAAATCCAAAATGCGCGCGAAGCCCCTGCATGGTGCATTGTGCTGCCTTTATTCTGCCGCCAGAATCAAGGTCACTTTCATTTTATAAACGGCAAATCCAATTTAAATGGTGTGATATACTGCCGTCACCAACTCCGTGCCTGTTAAATTATTTGATTCTCAAGAATTGATGGTGTGGCCTTGAGTAGACAATTTAATTTGAGGGATGAAAGCGATTCGCAGCTATTGTGGAGCAAGGTCTGTGGCCTTTAGATGTTAATAAAACCCATAATTATTTTGGAGCCAGTACCTGTGATGAGTCTGTCTGCCCGTCTGTGTCTTTTTCCTTTTGTAATGGCTTGCTCAGGGCTTTCTGTTTTTCCTCCATCTTGGTAAGGATGCATTAATCCGAACGCGAATGCACAGAATCTCGTGCTGTTTCTTGTTGCACTGCTTTGCAGTGCTGAGAGGTACAGCTTGGCTGGTAGAACCCGTGCTTTGCCCATGGAAAGTCCCTGGTTCAATCCTTGGTAGCTCCAGGTAGGGCTGGAAAACCTCCCAAGTCCCTGGAGAGTGAGCTGCTGCCGGTCAGTGTTGGCATTATTGGGGTGGGTGGGCCAAGGGTCTGGTTCAGTGAATGGCAGCTTTCTCCAATCAGTCCTGTGTTCTGTGAGAAGGGGGTAGCATAAATGCATTTAAATGAATGAGGCATGCGTGAATAACTTAGTATTCTAATAACCATATAATTATTAATAAAATTCTATAATAGAATTCTAATAATTCTAGTGTTGTGTATTCCGTTTATATACTGCCCAATAGGTTAGGGCCGCTCAGAAATTATATCTTAAATACCTGGGTGAGAACTAACCAAAAAAAAGGAAGAAACACTTTGAGTCGTTCTTCTTCAGGATGGATTTTGTGGTGTGTGTGTGTCAGTGAGTCAGGGTAGAATAAGCTGGTTTGGGGCGTAACGGATGAACCCCAAAACTCCTCCCTCTTATGTCTTGTAGTGGTTAAGAGTGCGGGACTGGGACTCGGAGGATCTGGGTTCTAGTCCCCGCTCAGCCATGGAGCCGACTGGGTGACTTTGGGCCAGCCACAGACTCTCAGCCCAACCTGCCTCACAGGGTTGTTGTTGTGGGGATAAGATGGAGGAGGAGAATGGTGTAAGCTGCCTTGAGCCCTTTGTAGGAAAAAGGCAGGATATAAATCGAAAAATAAATAAATAAATAAATTGAGCCTCGAAGTGCCAAGGGGAGGAAACAAATGGAATTAATGCATGACTTGGCTTTTGTCCCAGGAGTCTACTTTGTTCTACTTTGGTGCTTCCTTTTAAGTTTTGAGAGCTGGTAATACACCAACCGAATTGCCCCTGACCTACAGAGGAACTCTCACGACTAGAGAATTTCTAAGAAGGAGCATTTTGTGCTCTCGATCCAATGTTGTCCTCTCTTTTTCACAGCCGCACTTGCACAAGATAGTGAACAGCTCCATGGAGCTGGCCCAGACGGCCAAAGAACCGTACAACTATTTCCTGCTGCTGAGAGCGCTCTTCCGATCCATCGGAGGGGGCAGCCACGACCTCCTGTATCAGGAATTCCTGCCGTTGCTACCCAACTTACTGCAAGGTCAGCGCAAATAGAGGAATGTAGGTCCCGTTCGTTTGGGGGTGACAGGTCTGCAGGTCAGATGCTGCTCACCTGGAGCCACAGTCCAGCCACCCGTGGTTCCACAACTGGCCGCATCCGCCTTCGTCTAACCACTGCTGGCGTGCTGTATTCCTGGTTTAGCCCCCTTCTGGGAGGGTGAGATGCCCCTCCAGTGACTTAGTTGATGGCAGTGAGAGGTTGATGTTACATAGGCTGCGCTTTTGGGCCACTCCTCCTCTGGTCTTGCGGCCCGCCCACTGCTGTTGCAGCCCCCGAGAGCGTCTGCGTCATGGGATTTGGCCCTCGGACTGAAAGAGGCCCTGCACCCTTTCTGTTCTGTCCACCATTGTTGGCTGGGAGAGCCGGTGTGGATTAGTCGGTTGCATGCCAGGCTGGGACTGAGGAGTCCCCACTCAGCCATGAAACTCACTGGGTTACTGACCCTCAGCCTTAAGCACTTCCCAGGGTTGTGCGGATAAGGAGGGTTACCTTCATTCTTGTCCTCATTGTTATTGCATGGCATTTCTATCCCACTGTGCTTTCCTCTTCCAAGGAAATGAAGGTGGCTTACCTAGTTCTCCTTTACTCCAAGGAAATGAAGATTTTATTTTATATTATTTTATTTTATTTATCTCCCAGGAGCCCATTTCAGCACTCACTGTACTGGCTTAGGTAGGTTGCCGTCAGTTCCTTGCAAGAGGCAAAAAGGCAGTGGAGAAATATGATCCATTATCTAGATTTTTATCGATGCCACCTCTTGCCTTCCAGGTCTTAATATGCTGCAGAGTGGCCTGCACAAGCAACACATGAAGGATTTGTTTGTCGAGCTTTGCCTCACAGTCCCGGTTCGACTGAGCTCGCTCCTTCCGTATTTACCCATGTTGATGGATCCGTTGGTCTCAGCCCTGAACGGGTCTCAGACTCTGGTCAGCCAGGGCCTGCGGACCCTGGAGCTGTGCGTGGATAACCTGCAGCCAGACTTCCTGTATGATCACATCCAGCCCGTGAGAGCAGAGCTGATGCAGGTAAAGACCGTTCTGAGGAAGTCCACTAGAGGTCAGTGCCTGCTCAGCTGTGTGGTCAAGTTTTGCTTCCGTGGTGGTTATTTCTGTGATGAATTCAACACAGGAAAGGCTCCAATATTGGGCAAGAGCCTTCCTGGAAAGTAATCTTACAAAAAAAACCAGTGTGCAAATATTTGCCTTTGGGGCTTGGATGGGTGAAGGAGAGTTGAGAAACTCTGAACTTGTTTTCACCATGTTGGCTTAAAATTGCTGAGTGGCTTGCTCTGTTTCTTTGACTTGTACCCACCTAAAACTGAGTTTCAAAAGAATGCAAGTTGGGATGAATGATGCTTAATGTCTTCCTTTTAAAAAGCACTTATTTAAAGCTTACTATGGCACTGCCCTCCAACAGATTTACAAAATAAGTCTTTAAAATGCTCCAGTATGCAACAGAAGCAAAATTATCCGAAGTCACACACAGGCATGTTTACCTCTCGCTTGCCAGGCCCTGTGGCGGACTCTGCGCAATCCAGCCGAGACCATTTCCCATGTTGCTTACCGTGTGCTTGGCAAATTTGGTGGAAGCAACCGAAAAATGCTGAAAGAGTCCCAGAAGCTGCAGTATGTTGTGACAGAAATCCAAGGCCCCAGCATCACAGCTGAGTTTTCTGACTGCAAGGCCTCGATTCAGCTTCCGATGGAGAAGGTGAGCGTTGCTGCTGCTGTTGCTCATGGCAAACTTCCTTTCAACTCTCGTGTTGCAGTTGTGCTTCTGTCGGTCGCCATTCACAAGACCACCGCCCTTTGGTTCAGCAGTGGCGCTGCAGAATTTCCTTATATTAGCTTTATTTATGCCATTAATAGCCAAGGGAATTGTTCAAAGTTCATATCCTGAATAGGAACTGTCAGATAATAATGAGTTCATTTCTATACTGCCCCATACCTGGAGCTCTCCGGGTGTTTTACAACAATCCATAAAATGGATAATAACATGCAATAAAATATCATAAAATCAGGGAGACGTTAAAACATTTAACACAGCCGAAGCGAGTAATAAGCCATCCCAAGACATTTGCAGGGGACATGTTAGAAAAGCTTTGAATAAATAAATAAAATAATAGCAAAGAATGACTCGGTAAAACTTCTGGGGTGGCTACTTCCCCTTGAGCTTTGGGTTGCCAAGCAGATCTTGCACAAAGGGCTCTCTTAACCTGGCACCCAAAAGATGACAGATTTGGTGCCAACATGGCCACAGTGGGGAGGTGGTTCCATAGATTGGGGGGGCACCAAAAGATATCCTTCCCCCTTGTTGCCCCTTTCTGCACTTTTCTCGGAGTTGGTACTTGGAGCCTGGGGACCCCAATCTGTCAGTTTCTCTTTCCTTCACCTTTGGTTCCTTTTAGTTTCATGTTCTCCCAAATAGGATTTTTTGTGGATTTTGGTAAATTCTTGCCAAAAACTGAACCTACCTGACGTTCTTACCCTGTGGACTGTCTAAGTGTAATATGTAGGGTTATTCGCATCGCAGAAGGGATCCTATTAAATCCCCCTTTCATGGATCTCTTCAAATGAGGAGCGCATTAGGGACAACCGTAATTCAGTGGTCAAGGTGGAATCAAAGGAATTCAACCTCGGACTTTTAGGATCAGAGCCCTTGAGCTTGGCCGAATGGACATGCCGTTTTCTCCCACATTTGATTGTTTTGTTCCTCTCACGTTGCTCCCGTCCCAGTATGGACAACTGTGCAAATGCTGGCAATGTCTCATCAGAAACAAACTGAAAGAAAACGCTCAGCCGTCCCTAGTTCTGACTTGGGTGAAGTCAGGAGCCAGGAGAAGGCACCTCACGGTTGTGGGAGATCCACCTGGTGCTCCTACCAGGAAGAGCTGCAGCTCAGCTGGTCGAGCCCCTCCCATGATCACAGAGGGGCCCACGTGCCACCTGTGGCATCTCCCAAGAGGGGTGGGCCAAACTCCTGCCTGGAACCCTGGAGAGCGCTCCTCCGACCAGTGCTGCCCATATTGGTCTGGAGGGACCAGTACCCCAGCCCTGCGTGTGTACGTGTTGGCTTTCCGCATCCCAAAACAGTCTTGTCGGGAGACGTGGCTCTCAGGCTGGCTCATAACACACCCAAGAGACTTAGGCCTGCTGAGGCTAAGCAGAGCGTTGCGAAAGGTTATGCGTACGTAGCGTTATTGAAAAGACTTCAGCGGCTCCCTTGCACCTGGAATGTAATTAATAGCATTTTCCATTTGTCTGAGGGCGATGTGGCCTGCCTTTTGGCGTACTGGGGGCTGCAACGCAGCTGCAGCTCTTGACCCTGAGCGGCAGGTCACTGGGCCTGAGCCACTGTGGTCCAGTTTGGCCTCTCCGTCCCTATTAATGCTTTATGAATGCCACTGACTAACATGCTGTACCAGGGCTGCCGGCAGGTTGGTGGAATCCATTTTTATCCGATCGGATACCACCGTGCTGTGTGTTGTCGTCGTTATGACGGATTTGTTTTTGGATTTCTGGTTTTTGTAAGCCGTCCGGAGACTTTGAGTATTGGGACGGCATATGAAAGTTTTAAATAAAACGAATAAAATTTTTCCTCCCCATGCATGCTCAGATAACCTGTGCTGCTCTGAGTTCTGCTGCCCTCTTACCTTACGCGCAGTATTTTCCCCTTGAGTCACATGCTTTGTGCAGAGATTCCCCTAATGAGAACTGTTTGAGGTTTGCCTGTGTAAAACAAACTCCTCCGGCTTCTCGGGGTCGACTAGAAAGCCATCTCTCTTTGCGCTACGCATCCGTGGAGCCAAGAGTAAAAGTCGCTGAACTCTAAGACCTGGGATGGAGCTGCAAGCGAAGAAATCCATCTTTCGTGTTAGCCCCATAGTGGCAGTGGTTCCACCTCAGTGGTCTGCGGAAACCTCATTGTTTTCTTTCTCTCGCTGAGCACTTGATGAACGTTGTGTAAAAGGTGTGAGTGGCCGGTATAATTGAGAGCTGGAATGATATTTCCCTACAAAAGGGGGTGCAAGGGGTGTGAGAACAGGGTGGGGAGTCCGAAGCATTCAAAGGTCACCTTATCTGCATAATTTTATATCAAGCATTTTAAGCATGGACGATTGGACTCCCTTCTGCAATCATTTAGGCGACAAAATTTCTTATTTCATGGCTCTGAAATGAATTTCGCAGTTGGGCTGCATTTGATCAATGTCCTACTTTTTGGAGGGATTGTGCTTTTTTCATTTTAGAGAGAGAGAGGGAGAGAGAGTGTGTGTGTGTATAAAAAGAGGGAGGGAGGAAGTGAAGATTATATCTTTTATTGGTCCACCTTCAACTGGCAGAACCGTGAGCTCTGGAGCTTCACAGAGTGCCTGCTGTAAAAGGACTCCAATAAATCGTCATTAAGTCGCTTTCAAGGTCTAAGTTGCCATTCCGGAGCCTTATTTATGAAGTGCTTACGCTGTGGTGGAAGTTTTTTCCCCCCATGAAAGACTGAATTTCTTTATGAGCTGCTTAAAGCTGCATTTTGCTGCGTTTACAGTGTGTGATATAGACAGTTTTCTTTCTGCTTAACACTTCAGAAGAAGCTGGGCAGGAACCTGGGATGTCATCATGGAAAAGCAAACTTTTGGGGTGTGCGGCTGCATCCACAAAATACCTGTGAAGCTGCAGCAACGGAGTGGGACAGAGGGGAAAACAGGTCCTGCAGCTGTGGACGCCTCCAGGCTGGGCTGCAGCACTTCTTTCAGCCTCAGAGCTGAATTCCCCTTTGGGGAAACTCTTTCGGGCTGCATGTTTCAGTGGTGGGTGAGACGGGAGGCAAAAATGGTGCAGCCCAAGGCACGAAGGGAGGAGCCTCAAAAACTCACCTTTCTGGGCTTCAAGCTCTTCTTGCAAGTAATTAAACCTCAGGAGAAACATTTCGACCATTCAGATTAGGGAGAAGAACGCAAAAAAGCCACAAAGACAGCGAACAACCCGTATGCAAGCGAAATGGGGTGAGGCGATCTGAGGGGGCCACGCTTGGCTTATTCTGCAGCACTCTTTTAGGCCCATGTGTGCATTAACCTTCCGTTGCTAACATGGCGACAGAGCAGCTTAGATTTGTCTCGCTCCGGCCCCGCTGTTGCTTTTTCGAATATCGGACGTTCCTTGCTCAGAGTCAGAGCAAAGGTCTCACCGGGCTGGGATCCTGTTTGCTCACAGTAGCTCACAGACCGCTTGGCGGTGTGGCAGGACCAAGGTGTAAAGCCACAGCCCATGTTCTGTGTTTTGGCGGTCACTCCGTGATGCTTCCTCGGAACACCGAATGTCCTGCTCAGCTGTTGCAGCCTTCGGTGAGACGACTTCTCTTGCAAATTCATCGCGTCCTCTTCAGAAGTCATCCGTGTGTGCAGAGCTGGGCACATCTTCATCTGCAGACCTAGCCTGGCATGACAGAGCGAAGGTGCTTCTTGGTTTGGCTCTTGGGTTTGCTCCATCTTTTCTTCCCTTTAGGCCATTGAGACGGCACTAGATTGCTTGAAGAGTGCAAACACGGAGCCCTACTATCGGAGGCAGGCCTGGGAGGTGATCAAGTGCTTCTTGGTGGCCATGATGAACCTGGACGATAACAAGCACGCCTTGTATCAGCTCCTCGCACATCCTAAGTAAGCTGTCACATCTGTTTTTCCAGAGGTGTATCAAATCACAGTAGGCAAGGCCTGCTTCCTGGGGTTCCTCCAGGACATTTGCCGTCAAATTGGACGGTGTAAGAAACAAGGGAACAAACTGGTGGGGAAGCAGTTGATTAACTTAAAAGTGGGACGCCTTCTAAAAAGTCAGGATTCCTCTCTTACAACTTAGCTGCCGGAGGCATTGGCTTCAAGCGAAAACAGGCTGCGTATTTGCCATTTATGATGCTTGGGCCTTTCCCCATTTGCTTTTGGCCTGCAAAGGAAGGCAGTTGCACTGAGCATCTCCAAAGCAGAGTCCAATCCTCAGGCCAAAGCTTGTGGCAGGCTGCGTGGAGAGGAGAGGCAGGTGGTTCTCCGACCCACACAGGTGGGTCCCACCTTGACTCGGAGCAAACAGTTGCCGCTCCCGAAGCCAGCCTTGCCCAGTTGCTGACTGCATCCCAACACTGCATTTCTTGCCTCCGCAGCTTTACTGAGAAGTCAATTCCCAATGTAATCATTTCCCATCGGTACAAAGCCCAGGACACACCTGCCCGGAAGACGTTTGAGCAGGCCCTGACTGGGGCATTCATGTCCGCAGTGATCAAAGATCTCCGCCCCAGCGCTCTTCCTTTCGTGGCCAGCTTAATTCGTCATTACACCATGGTGGCAGTGGCCCAGCAGTGTGGTGAGTGTTCGCGACCCTTCATAATCGTGGGCAAGAGAAGAGCTCCTTTCTCTGCAAATATGCACCTTCAGAGAACCATCCAGCACAAGTTGTGAGCATCTGGTCTTTCATCTGGGGAAAAAATCCTGAATAAGCCGGGGACATGGGAGAGCTGCATAACATTTAAACAAGGTGGGATGAAAGCAGGCGAAGTGCAATGATTCTCCATGCCTTCTTATAGTAGGCATGTCATGAGCGGAGCTGGCTGGAACTGGGGGTCAGACTAGATGGCCTGGGGGACCCCTCTGACCCGCTCTGTTTCTTAATGCTTGAACTTGTTGTCATCTCATGGAGTTGATGGGCTGGAGATTTGGGCCGACCCAAATAAGGTACTTGCACTCTGAGGAATTAATACAGTTCACTGCCATTAGACAGTAGAAACGATGTAGATGGTTTCATTGTTTTTAAAATGGGGCTGCCCAAATTCTTTGAGGTAAGAATAGAAGAGCGTGAGCGCAGGGAAGAGGGTGTTGCCTGTGGACTGGCTTGGAGAGACACGAGTCTCTGATCGCTAGAGTCACACATGGCCAGGGTGACAGCCTTCTCCATGAGAGGAAGTGTGGTGTAGTGGTTAAGAGCATGGGGCTGGGACTCAGACGATCTGGGTTCTAGTCCCCGCTCAGCCATGGAGCCAGCTGGGTGACTTTGGGCCAGTCACAGACTCTCAGCCTTTTCCTACCTCACAGGTTTGTTGTTGTGAGGATAAGATGGAGAGAGCGGGGAGCAGAATACTGTAAGCTGCTTTGGGTCTTTTAAAAAGTACTAGGAGGGATATAAATCTAATAAATAAAAAAAATTCTCAGATCCTCTTTTAACTCTGGCTAAGTTGGCAGCCCTCACTACCTCTTCTGGTAGCAAATTCCGTATTTTAACCATTTATTTACTTATTGTTCTTAATTCATGATTATACTGCCCGAGAGCTGAGGCTCTTCTTTAAGAAGATCTTTAAGGAGGTTCTGTGAACAGCTGTTTGAAGTTCCACAGTCCGAAGCGGCAGGGCTAGCACGCATCATGTGCTCTGTAGGGTGACAGGACGGGGAAATGGTTTCATGCCCTGCTTGAGCTTCCCGGGAGCATCTGGTCGGACCGGGAGCCCTTGCGAGGCAGAAAGGTGGGCCTGGTATGCTCATCTGCCAGGAGGCCCTCACTTCCTGCGTCCTGCTTGCCTTTTCTGCAACCCCCAGGCCCTTTCCTGCTGCAGTGCTACCAGGTCGGCAGCCAGTCCAGCACGGCCATGTTCCACAGCGAAGAAAACGGGTCCAAGGGCATGGACCCCCTGGTCCTGATCGACGCCATCGCCATCTGCATGGCCTACGAGGAGAAGGAGCTCTGCAAAATAGGAGAGGTGGCGCTGGCCGTGATCTTCGACGTGGCCAGCATCATCCTGGGGTCAAAGGAAAGGGTAACGCCACGCTCTGAGCTCGTGGGGCCGTGCTCTCCCTGTCGGAGCAGCAGCTGGGATCCTGGGCACGTGTGCTCGCTCGCTCACCGAAGCCTCTTTCTCTGATTCCCTTCCAGGCTTGCCAGCTTCCCCTGTTCTCCTACATCGTGGAACGGCTGTGTGCCTGCTGCTACGAGCAAGCCTGGTACGCCAAGCTCGGAGGCGTGGTGTCCATTAAATTCCTCATGGAGCGGCTGCCCCTCATTTGGGTCCTCCAGAACCAGCAGACCTTCCTCAAGGCACTGCTCTTTGTCATGATGGACTTGACCGGAGAGGTGCGTAAGCGTGGACCCATCAGCGGCTTATCGCTGGCTTTTGAAAAGCGGTGGGGATGGGCTTCCGGCGCAGGGGAGCTCCGATGCTCTTCACTGGCCGGTTGCTTCCGTATTGTCGGTCAGGTTCCGTCACTGTCGCTGACCCATGTGCAACCCGCGCAGGTTTCAAACGGAGCCGTGGCCATGGCCAAAACCACCCTCGAGCAGCTCCTGATCAGGTGCGCCACTCCCCTCAAAGACGATGAGAAAACAGAGGACATCTTCACCGCCCAGGAGAAGTCTTTCCACCACGTGACCCACGACCTGGTGCGAGAAGTGACCTCGCCCAACTCCACCGTGCGCAAGCAGGCGATGCACTCCTTGCAGGTGCTCGCGCAAGTCACGGGGAAGAGTGTCACGGTGATTATGGAGCCGCACAAAGAGGTGAGGGGTCGCTCGCCTGGGCAGCACCGGCCGGAAGGAGTGGGAGGGTGGTGGGGACGCGACTTCTGGAATGCCTCCTGCCAGGGACTGCGTGTTCAAGAGACTTGTCAGCCTTTTGGAACAGGGTGACGGGGATTAAACAAATGCCTGGGAACCACCAAAAGTTTGCTGGTTGGGGGGAAAGGAGCGGTGTCCACAGAAGGGCACGTGGTCATTGGGTGCTGCCGAGTGCCAGACTGGAACCCTGGGAGTTTGGGACTTGACCCCAGGTCTAAGGTATTCTGCAGTGCTGCCAACACACACTTCCTTGCTTTATTTTACATCGCATGCCCAAGATTTAAACGACATTCCTCTTCATGTTGTGCTTTGTGGAACCGTCTAGATTACTTTTGAGGCCTAGTTGCTTCTTTCTGAACCAGTCCGTGCCGCATCCTCAGTGTGCTTGGCACACGCTCCCTCGTGTCTTGTCCCCCTGCAAAACCAAGGTTTTTCTTTGGCAAGATGCTTTTCTGATCTTTTTGAAGACACTGGAAGGTTTCTCGGCGCAGCCCAGCATTTGATCAGTTCAAGCCACAGATGTAGCTTGGAGCTTATCTAATCATGGCAACTCGAGGGATTTGGCAATGTTAATTTTGGAGGGGTCTTTCAAGGCAGAGGTGTGTTTTCTGTGCTTGATTTGCATTTGGTGAGGCTTTGTATGAGCAGGGGAGAATCACGCTGGTGTGTTCGAAGAGGCAGCGAAGGCCGCTTTTCCACTCTGCTCTCTCCTAGGTTCTCCAAGACATGGTTCCGCCAAAAAAGCACCTGCTCCGGCATCAGCCTGCAAACGCGCAGATCGGTCTGATGGAGGGGAACACGTTTTGTACCACGCTTCAGCCCAGGCTGTTCACCATGGATCTCAACGTGGTGGAGCACAAAGTCTTCTATACAGAGGTAGCCACCTTCGCTCTGCATGATCAGATACCTGAAAACCGGGTACGGCAACCTAGTTCCTTCCAAATACTTTGGACCACAGCTCCTCTTGGCTCTAGTCCCCCAGTGTGTTGGGATGATGGGAGCTGCGGTCCAAAGAAGCTGGAAGTGCAGGACGTTGCCTGCCCAGGTTTTCAAGCCAGCCTCTGGGTACCTCCCTGGGGCAGTCTAGGGCTGTAGGTCCTGTGTACCACCTGTTGGAGTACAAGGAGCCTTTTACCCCTTCATTGCTAAACTGGCATCCCTGGGAAGTGTAGCTATGCTTTATATCAGGAATAGGTGGTGTGATGCCCGTGTACACCAGGGTTTGTCTGGACTCCTCCCTGGGTGAGCCAGGGTGGTGTAGTGGTTCAGAGCGCAGGACTGGGACTCAGGAGACCTGGGTTCTGGTCCCCACTTGGCCATGGAGCCAACTGGGTGACTTTGAGCCAGTCGCAGACTCTCCTCCCAACCAACTTCTCAAGGTGGTGGTTGTGTGGACAAGATGGAGAGTAGGAGGAGGAAAAAGATGTAAGCTGTTTATGGAAAAAGCGGGATATAAACCTAATAATTGCTCCCTGAGGCAGCTATTCTACTCCTACCCAACTCCTTTTCATTTCTCTTGGGGAAAAGAAAGAAAAATCCATTTATATTTTCTTACTGGCAGTTGGGTCTGTTCCAGATCAAAGTGGGATCCTCTCGCAGCTGCCATCTTAACTTCCCATAATGCCCCTGGGCCACTTGTTGTCCTTGGCAGCTGGCTATGCTTACCCACAGCGGCCATTTTCTGGGTGGACTCTTGACAGTCACTCAAATCTGCATGGGCCCAAAAGGTTGCCCACTATAACTCCATTTATTTGTCCTTCATCGGCTCTTAAGGCATGGGTGCTTTTATGTTCCGAATCATTTTATACCTTTGCTGGGTCAACTTGATATCCCCCCCCCATTGGGTTAGATGTCTTTTATTTTAAGAGGGTTCCCTGTTTTTTCATTTTCCTTTGCTCCTTCGTTCATAAGGTGAAATGGAGTGCAATTTTAATGACCTGGAGCTCTTTTTATGTGGCTCATGCACGCTCAGGAGCTGAAGTTGGTCTAGGAGAAAGAGAGGACACAGAATTTCAAGGAACCATTTCAGCCAGTTCCTTAATTACAAGGCAGGTTGTATTAGCCTGGTCAAATTAAAAAGTGGACCATGACAAGGGAAGCTTTCCAGAATGCAACAGTTCATCTTTTGGGGTGTGTTCCCTTTCAACCTGTCTCATTAAAATAATTAGCGAAGTAATTGTACAGTTGGAACTCATGCCAGCATTCAGAGGTTCCTTCCCTAGCTATCAATTTTCTGACTTCAGTCAAAAGCTGTGAGTGGGCTAAAGTTTTCCCCTGCGTTAATTTCCAGTTATTGAATTTGTGCGAGGCCGAAGACAGCGCCCTGATGAAGCTGCCCTGCTACAAGAGCCTCCCTTCACTGGTCCCGCTAAGAATTGCCGCACTGAGTAAGTTGCTGAAGCTTCAAGCAGCAGCTCTTCAGGAAGGACCACGCCAGAGCTGCTGCGGCCTTTCGTTCCCACAGCCCCGCCTCTGCTCCAGCATGGGAAAGACGCCTCCTGCCACCATGCCTTGAGAAGGGTTTTCGTAGCACTGGGAAAATGGGCACATGACCAAGGAGTTACCCTTGGGGCTTTCTAGTTTAAGGAAAAAGTTGAGGAGGGGACGTGAGGGAGGTGTCTGAGATGCTGTGGAGACACAGTGCTGGAACCTGGAGGCCACCTGGTGGGGCTGAATGGTGGGGGGTGGCGGTAGAGACTCTGTGGACGGACGTCTTCATGCTGCACCTCATTTCAGACTCGAATGCCGCGCAGTGTGAGACGGTGATCCGCGTTCCCAGCTTTAAAAGGGGGTTCGAGGGACCCGTCAAGGGTTGATGGCTTTGGGTAGGTTCAAAGGTAATAGGCCAGGGTCACACCAGTTGCTGGGGGAGCCCAGCAAGAGTCCATTACTCTGTCTGTGCCCTTCCCGTGGCCTTCCCACCGGGGCATCTTGTTAGCCCCGGTGGGATCCAAATGCTGGCCATGGCAGCCCCTAGCCTGAGGGGGCACGGCTCTTATACCCTCTTCCGCTGGCCTGCGTGGTTTCCATTCTGTTCTCAGAGAAGGGGCCCCCTTTCCTTGGCCTGGCAGGGAAACCAGAGGAGCTGGCTGAGGAAGCATGCAGAGATCTGCCTCTGGTCCACCGGCTGGCCGGCTAGCTGGCTTGCTTGTGCTGCGCTCCTGCTTGCCTATGGGGAATGTTAGTTGCTTAAGTCCAGGGCTGCCGGAAACCATTTCAGCTCGTCGGCCCATGGAAAGCAATGCAGCGCAGGACTGAGCCACGGGAGCAGAGCTGTGCTCGATGTGTGCACCACCGTGTGGTGATCGTGGAGAGCCATGGTGGTGTAGCGGTTGAGAGTACGGAATTGTTCCTCGGAAGATTTGGGTTCCGGTCTGCACTCGGCCGTGAAGCTGGCCGACTACGGGCCAGTCGCTGCCTCACAGCCTAACCGACCACACGGGACTCTTGTATGAGGATGAAGTGGAAAGGCTGAGAACTTGGCCAGCTGCCTCAGGTTCCATGCAAGTAGTAGTAATGTTGATGCATCCATTGCATATTCGCAGTCCCTCTGCGTTCCTCTAAGGAGACCAGCGAGAGTTGGTGGATGAAATGCTGGTCCAGCAGAGTGACTTCCCCATGTGAGCAGGGTGATGGTCATTTGAAGTCCTGTGAGGTTAGGACACCGATCTTTTCTGCAGCAATAAACACAGTTGCACTTTTCTCTTGGTTCAGAGCTGAAAGAGAACATCTGTTGATCATGTTCAGCTCAGCTGAGGTGATGCTCATCTCGGTTCGGATTCATTCTCGGTGCAGTGATTTAAAAATGCTTTTGCAATTATATTTATGGGCTGTGCAGCAGCATATGAACGAAATGCAATAACAATAATAATAAGAAATGTATTTAATATTTCACTAAATTTAATAATTTCATTACATTCATATAAATTATAAAAATAGAGTTATTAATAAATTACAAAACCAGCAATGCAATTAATAACATTAATTATGTATCACTAATACAGTATTTATTAATAATTCTATTGTTAATTTTATTCTTATATGAAATAGTGCTCATATCTTGCCCAATTTCAGTGGGCTTCGTCTGAGTGATCGTTGTAGATCTAATCAGTTGTCCTCTCTCCTCTTTACAACATTTTCCCTCTCTTCAAACACAGCAATGCTTCAAAATTCTAAACGTGCTCCACTGCTTGAGAAACTGACAAACGATCTTTTTTATTTCCCCCCCTCCTCTGGAAGCCTGTTGCTGTTGGCAAAGCATGTTAAGCTGTCACTAAGCTGGGGAGAAATCAAAGGAGCACTGCACAGAAATAGAAAGAAGGGGTTGCTGCTCCCCCTTTTTGAATTTCCAGCTAATAAGGCAGCCCAATTTCCTTTGATTTTTGCAGATGCCTTAGCTGCTTGCAATTACTTGCCTCAGTCAAGAGAGAAAATCATTGCAGCGCTATTCAAGGCACTTAACTCAACAAACAATGAACTCCAGGAGGCGGGAGAGGCTTGCATGAGAAAGGTTTGTGGCACCTAAACAAAGTCACTTTCCATTGACTTTCTCTTCCCCCTCTTTCCTTTCTGCAAAGCAGAAATAACAAAGCCGTCAGTGTTGCTATTGGGTTCAATGGCTGCCCTGGTTCTGTCAGTGTAATTGGGGTGTGGTGAAGTGCGGGGGGGTTCGGAGGGGGTGGGAAGAGCTCAGTCTTGAGCACGAACTTTCCCTCTGCCTCACGGACCCGCATGACTCCCTCCCGGGCAGAAAATGACATTTTTCCAGGGTGCCCTTCCAGTGTCCCTTGGCTGCTGGCCCCGTATTCTAGAGAGTGGGCTGTTGAAGGTATAATTACAATGCGGCTCCTTCAGTGTGTCTTTAATGACAGATGGTGCGTTCTGTAGACTGTATCGCATTCAGCATTAATGGCAGGGTTGGGGAAAGGTGTGTTAACAGAAAAGAAGCGGTAGGTTCACTTGGCAGAGCAGTTCGCCTTTTCCTGCTATAGAATTTTATTTATTTATTTTTAAATTTGTCTGCCACCCACTAATCCAAAAAGGATTCCGAAGTCTTTGGAAGGAGCTGGGAAACGTGAGTGAACCAGGGGTGGGCCATGGGAGACGTGCAGGCACCCTTAGTGCCTTCAGCACCTTCACCTAAGATAACCAAAACCAACTTGACTTTATCTTCTTACTGCTGTGGAATTGGTTTCTTTTGGTGATAAAAACTGTGGGCTCCAAGAGTTGTTTCCTGTGTTGGGCCTCTGCCTCTTCAGCAGATCGGCTGTCTTTTGCCATGCCTCCCAAGGCCACCACTTGGTGCTGGTGCCCAGGATGGTTTCTCCCATGGCCGCTTGCATTCATGGCTCCACAAGGTCGCTGGCCCGGGAAGTAACATTCGACATCGAGATGGCAGGTTTTGCAGGACTGAGTGACTGCTGTAATGAGCCACAAAAAGTTTTGGTGATGGTAACCTCTAAGTGCCCCAAGGTTGGAGAAGAGGCACCAACGGTGCTTTCATGTATGGTCTTGTTTACCTGAACTCACAGGTGGCATATCAGTTTCCCAGCTGGTCTTGCATCCAGGCCCCACCCCTATCTCTAATTACATAGGTCCAGTAACCTGGAGGATCTGGAGGACAAGTTGCTTGTAGAAATGATGGGCTGCTGGTCTTGAGTTCTAGATGGGCGTCTTCAAAAGTTGTACCTGCAGGGAAAGATTTCCGCATCAGCTTAACTGTGCAGTTACCCTCCAGCATCTTCCCTGGAAGGCCCTTCCTGCCTCAGAGCACTTGGGGCAGACTTGCCATCTTGAGTGCAGGCGTTTAGGCATCGGTGTTGTAGGCTGCAGGGGAAAATTTGTCGTGGCCAGCCAGCCTTATCTCCCTGTAGCTTGTGTGCCGTTCCTAAAACAATAGTGGGCTTAGAACAACATCTGGAACTGCTTAGCTGAGAGATGGAAGTGCCCAAAATTAAGTCTGCATGAAGAACGTGGAAGGGGAGTAATGTTTCTCCCTCTCTCATAACAGTAGAACCTGGAGGCATTCCATCAAGCCGAACAGTGGGAGATTCAGGACAGATAAAAAGAAGTTCAGATAGCACATGTTTAAACCATGGAATTTGTTTCCACATATTGCAGGGAAGACGATTAGATACATTCCAGGAGGAGGGGGCCATACATGGCCACTGGTGCTGACCGCTGAATGCTTTCTTTAGCATCGGAATCAAGATGTGTCAATGAACACCAGTTGCTGGGGAAAGTGTTGTACATACCTTTTCAAGTCCATTAGGCAATTAATTAAAAGCCACCGTTATCGCAGTGGGGTTTGCATTTTACGGCTTATGTTAGCATCCCGTCTGAATTCCAGCAAGGTCAGTTTGGGTGATACGTCTCTCGTTTCCTTGCAGTTTTTGGAAGGTGCTACGATAGAAGTCGACCAGATTCACACGCACATGAGGCCTCTACTGATGATGCTGGGCGATTACCGAAGCTTGACGCTCAACGTCGTGAACCGCCTAACATCCGTGACGAGACTCTTTCCGAACTCTTTCAATGATAAGTTCTGCGACCAAATGATGGTAAGAACGGCAGGCTTCTGGAATGATCTTTACAGAAATTCCATAAAGGTCTCAAAGAGGGCTTGAAAGCCATTGAAGAAATTTTGCATGAGGAATCCTTTTTCACTGTCATCGTGAATATATTGGCTAGTTTGGATGGGGCCATGGAAGGAGAAAGCAGGTGCAAACAGATCTTTCATGGGAAGCTAAATATGAACTTGTTTAATTTTGGGAGGTGTTTATCTACATGAAAATGTGCTGCTTCGGTAAGAGTTCATGGGCTTGGACACTCTGTTTATAACAGGATAGCCACAGAGACCTCCTATTTCCGCTCCTCTAAGTGGTTAGTCAGCATTATGGCACAAGCTTAGTTAGTTCCACCAGACTCTCTTTTGTATCCCACTGCCCTGTTCCCCCAATCACAGTGGGGGACCCAGATGACAACGTGTGAAACTTTGATGTGACATTTGGTTTGTTTGTCCATTCTGGAGGAAGAAATACCCAGCTGGAAGCAAGCACTCTTTCGTCAGCCCTGGTTCCTTAATAGTCTTCATATGGGATACCCCTGTGGAGTAGTTCTTTGATCCTGGACTGCGTTACGATCTCTTGTAAGAATGTGTTCCTCATTGGGGAGCACATGGCAACCTTATCGTAGATTAAGAAAGATCTCCGCTGCTGCTACCTGGACAAATACGAAAAGCTCCTAGGTGACCAACCCCACAAGCAGCAGGCGTGCTTCCTCCGTTAAAAAAAAAGCTAAAGTGACTTAAATATCAGAGCACTCTTCCATATTATGCAGAATTCTATTATTGGCAGTAATTACAGAGACTGCATTCTCTTGCTTAGCTAATGGGCATTGCAGGAATGCGAGAAATAACTCCTAATATTGAATTTCCCTGCAGCAACACCTGCGTAAATGGATGGAAGTGGTAGTCATAACACACAAAGGAGGACAGAGGAGTGATGGAAATGTAAGTCGATGGTTCTTTCTCTCTGGCATGTCAAGCTGAAATAAACCAGGCAAAGTGTTAGGGAGAACTGTAGCCATTAATGATCTGTTTTGATTTTGAGTGGCTTCCTTGCTTAATGACTCCTCCTTCAAATGGGGTGCATGTGAAAGAGGGAGGGAGAAGCTGTTGAATAAAAGAACTTCTGCTAATAGTCTTAAAACTATTTCGGGATTGGTATATACGATGCTTGGTGTTCCCCTCCTCCATGGTACTCAAGCAGTGAAGAGGGACGGGGACTCAGGCGGGCTGGGTTCTAGCCCCTGCTCTGCCCTGGCACCAACTGGGTGACCTTGGGCAAATGACGCACCCTCGGCCCCCCCTGACCTGCAGATTAGGGGATAAGACTGAGAGCAGGAGGAAGAGGATGATGCAAACTGCTCTGAGTTCTTTAAAAAAAGAAAAAGTGGGATATAAATCTAATAAATAAATCAGTGCAATCTTGTGCTTGCTGCTGAATGTAACCGTGGCATAAAACAGTTTCGAAATGAGCTCCCCAGAGAGGTGCGCCTGGCATCTGTTTTGGTTTTGTTTTGTTTTTTTGGCACCAGGTGAAGACCTTTTTATTTTCGCAGTATTTTAAATCATTTAACTTTTTAACTTTGCTTTTATATATTCCATTTTATTCTGCCACACTGCTATGCTTCTATGCTGAATCATAGCAATTGCAATCGCTGTTACGCTTTTATTCTTTTAAATGAATGTGTGTGTCTTTGTACTGTTTGTTTAATTTTAACTTTTGCCAACTGCCCAGAGAGCCTCAGCAATTGGGTATAAAAATGAAATTAAACATGAAAATTAAATAAATAAAGAATAGATCTCTTGCATGATGAGTCGAAAGCAGGTTGTTTTGGCCTTGAAAACGATGTTGTTTGGGGTAGACCACGACTGTAATGTTTTCATAGTCATTCCTGACTGATGAGCGTCAGGGTCCTGCAGTATATAATCCCAGACATAGAAGTCCTAGATTTTTAGGCCCACCATTAATGTTTACTTTTAATGTTCTCATCATATTTTATGGGCTCCAGCAACCTGATAGTTGAGGAGGAGGCTACAGCGAGGTCTGTGCACTTAATCCTACTAGCAGAAGAAACCAGTCCTTTGCCCGACCCATTGAATTAGCAGGTGCCATTGACATGGGGCAAATGTTGGCGAGCGCTACATCGGTAGAACTCATGCGAGCACACCACCAGTGCTGCTTCGGCTTTGCAAGAATCGCCAACTGCAATGGTCCTTTTGGGCTCTTGTTCACCTGTACAAGATCCATTCAGAACGTAGGATTTTCCCAGACATATTCATGAGTGTGGATTTTGGCAGCCTCGTTTTGTCTAGGTGTAGCTGTTCATTAAGGACCATTTTCTCTCAACTCTTGATTCTCTTTTGCTTGTCTGGGTTAGGGAATGATGGGAGCTGTTGTCCCACACCAGGTGGGGGAACACTTCGAGTGCTGCCCCACTTGAGCTGCCTTGCTCCCCCCCCCCCCCCACGCTTGTAGTGGGATGTATTAAGATAAGGGCTTGGTGGTCGACTGGAGGAGAGCCTTGCCTGTTGGGAAGCGAAACTCATCTCATCCAGCATTTCTGCATTGGCTTGTCAGATGCTTCTAGTGAATCCAAAATAGGGGCTAGAAGGGAAGAGACCTCCCCACCTACAGCTTTTTGGGTTTTTTGGAAATAGGTGTCTTCTCCCCAGGATTGGCCTGTTGCAATTGGCTTCTCTCGTTACTGGGTACCTTCCGCACCCTTATGTAAAGGTGGGCTCAGGGGAGATGCAGTGAAGAAATAAGGAACGGCATCTGCAGTGGCGGCAGGGCCCCCAAACGGTCGGAATCGGCACCCTTTCGGGGCATAGCTACTGCGGAGCACGAAATGGGTCAAAAAGGACGGGCTTAAAAGCAATTTCACCAAATGCTTCTTCCGTTAAAAAGAAGGGGCGGCAGCGTGGGCACACGTGTTGCCCATCTTCATCCCACGATTAAGTGCCAGCAGGGGTGGCTTCTTTTCTGCTCTCCTGGGTGGCCCACACACTTGCCCAGAAGCAGCTTTCTGCTGCTTCCCAAGGGTAGCCAGCCCTTCGCTTGAGCAACGGTGCTGCTTCCTTGTCTTTGGCCATGCTTGACCCCCAAGCCAAGCCAAGCCAAGCCAAGCCAAGCCAAGCCAAGCCAAGCCAGCACTTTCCTGGGGCACAGTGGATTGGAGGGCTGCTTGACCATGGTGGGGCTTGGATCTTGCAAGCACTTGCTGCTTAACCGTCATGAAGATGTAACTGTGCGCGGCTCTAAGCTGAATCACAGTGCCGTTTCCATCAGCCTCAGCCAGCACGGCCAAATTTCGGGAATGCTGGGAGGTCTGGTCCAAAAGATTTTGAAAGCAGCAGGTTGGAGAAGCCTGCCTTAGATGGTTTTTGGTCCTGGGAGGGGTTGGATGCAGGGGTTCGTCTTCCCATGGTTGTATTTCTTCTCCTGTTGTGTCAGCTGTTGGGAATCACACCCACGAGGGTCATCGGAATAGGTTTTCCTCTCTGGAGATCTCCTTGATCACAGGAGGAGAAATTCCTGCAGCAAATTGATTTAGCTGCTGCTTCTTCACCACCTTTGCATTAACCAGTGCTCCTCACTGTGCGGATGCTGTCCAACATGGCCTTGCGCTAGTGAGATGTCGCAAGGCTGGGAGCCGTCAGCCCCCTCCCAAATCTCAGCATCCCAAGGAAGCCAGTCCCACTTTAAAGGAGTAAAAAAGACCGCATGACCAGATGAAAATCTAACTTGCAGTTTCAGGAATCAATGTGACGTTTATGCTCCTCTTCTGTCCAACTTTTTGGGCTGTTGGGATACATTTCACTGAAATGCTTGGATTTCCTGTGATACCAGTGGGTGGGGAGGAACTCCCAGCCCAGTTCAACCCACCCTAGATTCTTCATAGTTTAGTATGCACTGACATTTGCATTCCCTTTGCTAATTAAGCTGTGATTTATGGTTGAAAGCTGACACTACATTATGGGATGCAACGGACAGCAGACTACCTGTGCAGCCATTACATTTAGCTGCAGGCATAATGTCTCATTCAATTAATTTTCAAATGCATTATTTTATTATTACACTTTATATCCCTCATATCTCCGAGGGGGATATGCTTTATCCCTACAACAGCCCCGTGAGGGTCAAACTACATGGGGCATTAATTACATAATGCATAGCTGCAGATAATTTAGGGTTTGCGGGGTTTTATTGTCTTTGCGTTCAAGTTGAAGTGCCTGTGCCACCAGATCAGGCCACTGAGAGCGGAGGGTTAAAGCTTCCCTCCAGTTTGGAGGGGAAAGGGGGTTTGGGGGAAGGCATTTGTGGGGGAAGAGGTGTGGTGGTCCTGACGTGAATATGGCCGTGCAGACTTAATAGTAAGCACATGGGGAGCAAAACCAAAACCACACTGACACACTGTGAAATTCATGTGATGCAGAGTTGGATTCTGAGGTGGGCGAGGCTGAAGGGAAGGGTCCCGCCCAGAGTTGTCTGCTGAGCTTCAAATTTAGCAAGGCGCTTGAATGTCTCCTCTTTAAGCTCCTCCTCCAGTGTTGTTGATTTTTTTTTTTTAGAACATCTGGCTTTGGTGCCGTAGTCCTGGCTGAGCCCTGAATTTGTGGGGTGCTCCCCACCCATAATGTTAACATAAAAATAATTCTATCCATCGTACCGTAGAACACCGAAAGGGTCCTATTTAGCTTGCTATGGACACAACTTCCTGCCCGATGAATCTTCTGGGGAGGGACATTGGAGAGCAATACGTGCCCCCCCAACCTCCCCAGCTGCCCCTCCTCACCATGTAGCCATTTATGCCCATCCCACGATTTTGCCATAACTTTTTATCATGCTGCTGCTTACGAGCGCCTCCCCTCCCCTCCCCATCAGCACTGGGACTCACGCCCGGGTCTGCATCAATTATTCTTTTATTCACACAGCTTTATTAAGGGACCCCCAACGTATTTTCCAGCCGCAGGGTGGGAGGGGGCCAGCGTCGGTTAGTCCGCTTCGTTCCGTTCCGCTCTCTCCAGCGTCGCAAAGGGTTTTCTGCTGTTGCCACGTCCGCGGACCATGCCTGTCTCCGCAGATAACCCGAAAGCCGCTTTCACTGTCCTGTTCCTCCCTAACACCTTTATTTCTCTTGTGTGCAAGTTGTTGTTGTTTTTTTTTAAATATGGGAAGCTGTATGTATTCGGTGTGTGTACAAATAGCAAAAAAGATGCTTTTCCTCTCCATCCTCAGGAGAGTATTTCCGAGTGCGGGAGATGTTCCTTGTCTCCATTCTGTCAGTTTGAGGTGAGAACATAACCCTGCTCAACTCAAGTCAGCCCCGGCTGCAATGTGAAGCACAGCGTATATGCATTTGTTTTGCATTTGTGTTTTGTCGGTGTCGTCGTTGTTCTTGTTGATGCTGTGAATTTTGTTTCTGTTTTGGTTCAGCCTGCCATGGAAGGGGTAGAGGTGAGAATTTTCAGTGGAGGTGCCAGGCGGTTGTTCGTTCCTTTGTTCTTTTGTCTCGTTTTTAAATATGGTTCATTAGCTGTATTCGTCATGTACTGGGGCAGAGTGAAAATTGGGCCTTTGAGTGCAGTGCTGTGCCTTGTCCTATGTTTTTTTTATTTTTCTGTCTGTGGCAGAGGTGTCTGAGTAACAATTACTGTGACCTGTGAAGGACGACTTAAGCATGTTCTGTCGTTATTGTTCATTGGGAAGTTTGGGCTCTTTCACCGCTAAATGTTTTGAGTCTTAAAAGTTTTGTGTTGCCGACATCCAAAGGAACTGCTTTAAGATGAGGTTCCAGTCTTCTAAAGGAGCATCTCTTTGGCAGCTGCAAAGGTTCCTCTGTCCAAGCCAGCAGAAAGTCATACTCCATATTCGATTTCAGTTCTGGAACTTACCCAGTGTAATTGTGTGCGTGCATGCACACTTCCACCCTCTTTTTTCATGGCAAAGTTTGTGGTAACTTGGCATGGGACGCTGTCAAAATTGCCACCTGGGGCAGGGCAAAAGCTAGAAGGGCAGAGTTGCATTTAGAAGGCCGCAGGGGCAGTTGCATTCTGGTGCTGGAGGATTACAGGTCGTCTTATGGCCAAGCTGAGCTTCCTGAGTATCTTTGTGCAGGTCAGTTTCCTATTCCAGGTGTTGCCTTTGAAAGGTGAGCTCCCCCATTTGATCACACACCATTGGATGTTCACAGCTCCCCATTCCACTGTTGTCATTCCATTTTAAAAAACACAACCTTCTAAATGCCATGACTGAAGCCAAGCCGAACGATTTAGCCTCCCCGGCTCCCCGCCCTGTAGCAGAACTGGCCTTTTAACTTCCCCCGGGGTAAGTAGCAGCAGTTTAACTCCTTGCTCTGGTTTGCTAGCCGTGCTGAAACCTAGAAAGAGGCACTGAGAGACTCCAGTTAGCGGCTGTTGTGTGCAAAGAAAAAATTGAGAGAGAGAACGGAAAGTAAATGGATGCTTGCTGATGTTTTCACTTTATCATCAGGAAATGAAGATTTGCTCTGCAATTATAAACCTATTTCATCTGATCCCAGCCGCTCCACAGACGCTTGTTAAGCCCTTGCTGGAAGTTGTGATGAAAACAGAGCGGGCCATGTTGATAGAGGTAAAGTGCCTCTTCATTTCCAGAGTCACTTCTGGCTTTTTTTCCCATTTGTAATATTACCTTGAATTGTATGTTGGATTGTTTGGCGTCCCCCGTGCAAGCCGTTGGATTAAAAGCATTGCTTTGTGGGCGCGCCTTTTGTTCTTGGTTTCATTTGTAAACTAGCTTGGAACCAGATTCTAAGGGTCCAAGTTAGATGTGAACCCAGGCCTCCAGCTGTGTGGGACCACAGATGACACAATCTTCCACCCAGCGGTAACTTTGCTCCCCAAACTTCATCAAAAGCGATGACAACTCAGGCACGGGGTGGTAAAGCGCTGTAATTCTTCCTGCAGAGCTGCTGGTAGGTTCGTGACTTACAGAAAAACGAATCCCAACCGCCCAGCTTCTTTGAGCTTGTCTACTTGCTGGTCGACGCTTCCTCCTCTTTACATTTTCTCTCTCTTCCTGTAGGCTGGCAGTCCATTCCGGGAACCACTCATAAAGTTTCTGACGCGTCATCCTTCCCAGACGGTTGAGCTGTTTATGATGGAAGCCACCTTAAATGACCCGCAGTGGAGCCGGATGTTTATGGTGATTGACAGCACACACCTGCACACCACACATGCAGAGAAGTTTAGGTGCTTGCAGAAGGTCAACATACGTGCAGCTGCGAAGGGATGCTGCAGACGTGGCAGTCTCGGCTCCATAACAGTGGTCGACATGCTGGGGGTGGGGCAGTGGATAGAGACGTTCAGGGCAGGCTTGGTTGAGCCGCTGCAGGGCCCCTGCCTGGAAGCCCTGGAGTGCGCGCTTCTCTTCCCTTCACAGCCACCTGCAACTTGTCTGTCTTTTGCTCTGGGCATGACAAACACGACCAGTTCTAAGCATAAGATTGCAGGAGCCAGTCGACTCCACATCCGCATGTAAAATCGCATCGTGCGTCTTGTGTGCACCCTTCTGTCTGATACCATTCCTTGCCTCTGTCACACTTGGCCTTATCTCCCCCCCCCAACAGAGTTTCTTGAAACATAAAGATGCCAAACCCCTGCGAGACGTCCTGGCTGCTAATCCCAATCGCTTCATCACGTTGCTGTTACCTGGAGGCACCCAAGCAGCCGTCCGGCCTGGTTCTCCGAGCACTAGCACCATGCGCCTTGACCTGCAGTTCCAGGCTATCAAGGTATAATGTTCCTGCCACGGAAGTCCTGCACTCGGGACACGATCCTGTGCCTGTTGAGACAGGGAAGAGCCTGCAGTGCCCAGCATTCCCCAGCTGCCAGCTGGGAATTGCCTAAACACGCGTAGGATCTCTCCTTGAAGGGTTCACCATGTGCCTCACTCTTTGGGTACAAAGATGCTCCTACCTGTATTGAAACTGTTGGCTTTCATCCCTCCAGCATCTGGTCCCTCAGGCTAGTTTAGTTCTATTTTATTGTATCGTCTGCCACATTTTTGTTGTGCTGGATGGACCCAGTATGAATGTGACCACAGACCCTCCTTCTTCGTATCTTCTCATAGTGCTTAACATCCTAACTAATACATATTTTTAATTACATTTCTCTCCCACCCGTTATGTGGAGCTGTCTGGTTGATTTGCAGGTCAAAGGTTAAAACCGTATAAACTATCACATAGTAAAACATCATGAAAATACTTAGAAGAAAATGTAGCCAGAGTAGGTCATCAGGATAAATGCCAGCAGCACTCCAAAGCTGTAAATACCTGAAGGGCGAAAAAGCCTGGGAAAATAAAGATGGGTCCTTACCTGGTGTCAGATCACGATGTAGGTGCCAGGCAAGCCTTTCTTGATTTCAGGTGCCACCACAGAAAAGCCCCTTCTTTAGCAGTCATATGGAAGGGGCATTTGGGGAAGGGCTTCAGAGGACGATCTTAGGCCTGGGCAGGCATAGGGTTAGGGTATAGTATAGGTATATCCACTTGGTCTTTTCTTTTTTCCTTGTATTCTCCAAAAGCACACGCTTCCTTTTTGTAACACTGAGATTGAATTGGAAAAAAATCAGGAAGGGGCAGTTAAGACAGTCCAAGGGTAGAAGCCGCGCCTCGGTGAGGAAGGTGGCCACAGCTGAGCCGGCTGAGCTTACAAAAATGGTGAGGGAGGGGAGGCACGAGAGAGGCAGACAGAATTCTGCAGATCTGGAAAGCACAGCTTTTGGGATCTTTGTCACTAAAGTTATGCCATGTGTGGATTTTAATATTTTTTTTCTATAGTGAATGTGGCTGACTTTTAAAATGGAAGATAATAGCATCTTTGGGGCTTTTTTAAAGTCAATTCTTCTATGCTCGGTATTAAAAAATCTTGTTTGATTGGAACGAAGGGGGAACTCCCCAGCAAGATGCCATATTTTCCCCTTTGGTTTCCTTCTCTTTCTCCCCCTCCCCATTTTTTAAAAAAAGACCTAATTTCCCATATGGTTTCAAAGAGATGAGAGGCTCTTAATATCTTTGTCTAAAACTACTGGGAAGGAAACATTAAATGGGTGTAACTAATAACCCGCTTAAGGCTGTTTAAGAACCACATGCATCTGAATGTCCTTGCTTTTGTTTTGACAGATCATAAGCATTATAGTTAAGAATGATGAGTGCTGGCTGGCGAACCAGCACTCCTTGGTGAGCCAGCTCAGGCGCGTGTGGGTCAGCGAAGCCTTTCAGGAAAGGCACCGGAAGGAGAACATGGCTGCCACCAACTGGAAGGAGCCAAAGCTCCTGGCATACTGCCTGCTGAACTACTGCAAGTAGGTGGATCGGCGGGGGCCGTCGCCCCTGCCAGCGCATGCTCGGTTGCCGCGCGCCCCTGCAAGTGGGGCCGGAATGTGGCCGCTGAGCATGGCGAGGGACGAATCAGCACCCTGGCCAGCTGGGAGGCTGGGAGGGAGAAGGACCCTCCCCGAATGAATGAATGAATGAATGAATGAATGAGAACAATTGTTCTCAGAAATGCGAATGTGCCAGAGAGGCCCTTTGCTTATCTGCACATCCTTAGAGCTGCGTTTGTGAAACTTGGAAACGAAGAAACGGAGTGAGTCAGAATGGGCCTCCTGGGCCATCTCGTCGGACCCCCGGCTCCACTCATGACATGCCTACCATGTGCCTGTCCGGCCTATCCTTACACACCCTCACCTCTGGGGCCTCCACCCCCTCCCGTGGAAGCCCATTGCACACCCTGGGGGTCCTAACCATTAGGAAGGGCTTCCTGGCACCCACTTGAAATATGTGGGCGTGCCTGCTCTGGGACATGAGGGGCAGGGTCTGCGACTGAAGCACAGGGACCAGGGGCGATGGGGGGCGAGGGCTTGGCGAGATGCAGCAGGGACAGAAGCAACATTGGATGCAGCGGAAGGCGGGATGCGAGCAAGGTCTGGCAGGGCTAGGGCTGAAGGCAGAGCCTGGGACGGGGCAGGCCCAGGCACTGGGCAGGTGTGGCGGGTCCAAAGGGAGAGTCCAGTGCAAGCGGCGGCCAGATGTCAACACGCCTGTGGAGGTCGGGAGGCGCAGACAAGGAGCAGATACCTGGTCAAGGTGTGGAAGGAACCGAGGTAAAGGCGGAGTCCGGAAGAGGCAGTAAAGGCAGTGTGGAACTACAGGCAGGCCCCCGAAGCAGCCAGCAGGAGAGTTCCTATTGGCAGGGCGAAGGTAGGCCGGGCTTAGCAGCGTTTTGCAGCCCCTCCTGTGGTTTCCATGCCTGCAGTGGTTCTGATCCTGCAAGCACCCACAGGCCGGATCACAATCCTGCAAGTACTTGCAGGATGAACCAGGTTGTGCTGCCTTGAGAAGGATTCCTGCTTCAGAGGTAGATACTTCTGGTGGAAGAAAAGAGAGGGTTGCATGTGTTGTCCACGAGAGCAGATATTGGGCCAGATGCTCACGTAAGATGAGGCAGCTTCCTGCTTGTCACTAATACGAGCATGGAAGGTTTGGCTGCTGCTTCTTGGAGTGCAGCATCTTTTTCAAAACGCTCTTTTTTCTTGATGCATCTCAGCTTTTCATTTTTTCCCTTTTTGCTCAGGAGAAATTACGGGGACATAGAACTGCTTTTCCAGCTTCTCCGAGCTTTTACTGGCCGCTTTCTCTGCAATATGACTTTTTTGAAAGAATACATGGAAGAAGAGATTCCCAAAAATTACACCATCGCCCAAAAACGGGCTCTGTTTTTCCGCTTTGTCGACTTCAGCGATCCCAACTTTGGAGACGAGCTTAAAGCCAAGGTAAAAAAATCAATTACATAAATCTGGGCTGGTATTTAGGTTTCATTTTCTTGGAGAACAAAACTTGTTTGCTTTAAATGTCAGCAGGAAATACCTTGCCTTTGACTAATTGATTCTACACCATTTCAAGGGGCTTTGTTGTGGGTGGCGGTGGAAGGGCTGAGGGGTAGCATGCAAACACGTTTAACCCGATAAATAAAAATGAGAGAGGAGTGGTAATAGTGCAAAGTCAGGATTTGTCACACTCAGCTTGGAAAACGCCTTACCTTGAATCTTGGCTTACCGTGAGATCGTTAGCCTTTTTGGATCAGTGGGCTGGTTGGAGCTTTGGTAGTATAGCGTGGGCACTGTCACAAAATGGCTGCCATGGGGTAGAATCAAAACCAGGGAGGGCGGAGAATCTTGAGCATGTCAGAGGCACCTGCGCTTACTCCTTCATGGCGGTACGAGCACCGCCGAGCCGCGTCCCGGAGGAGCATGCTGCGAGCTCTTCACTCCCCGCTGCATCCCACCGCTCTCTTCCTGGTCTGCAGGTCCTGCAACACATCCTCAACCCTGCCTTCCTGTACAGCTTTGAAAAGGGGGAAGGGGAGCCACTGCTTGGTCCAGCCAACCCAGAAGGAGACAACCCCGAGAGCATCACCAGTGTGTTCATCACAAAGGTAGTTCATCCAGAGGAGGAAGGCCGCAGCCAGGTGTCTGGGTGCCTGCGGGAACCGTCAGTTCAAAGGCAGCCGTGTTGTCGGAACCCTCCGTGAAAGACGTTAGGAGGCAGAGCGCCCGGAGGAGGGCCTTCTCTGTGGTGGCGCCCCGCCTATGGAATGCGCTCCCCAGGGAGGTCTGCCTGGCGCCGTCATTACATGTTTCTCAGTGCCAGGTCAAGACCTTTTTGTTTAATCAATATTTTAATAAGTTTTAATATTGAATTTTATCATATTTTAACTGCAGCCAGAGTGGGTCGTTAATTAATTTATGTCATTTTAGGTATTATATTTTATTTGTGCAAGCCGTCCTGAGGCGCTTGCAAAGGACGGCATACAAATAACTTAAATACAAACAAACAAACAAACTACTCCTGACTTCTTTGCAAGAGATGCAACTTTTGCATTAAGGCCGACGGGTTGCATCTGAGTGCATGAGGTGGGGGGGATGCGTGGCCACCTTATATCTTGGTGGCTGTGGCCAACTCTTGTGGCTCTGCCACCTCCGCACAACTTGCAGGATGAGTGGGTGGGTGGGTCTGAACCCTCTTTTCTGTTGTCTGAACGTCTTGGATTGCAAACTGTGGTGAAGCCACTTGGCGAAACTGTTGTATGCCGCGGTTTTACGGATGAGACCAGAGACCAGTTGGAATTCTCGAGAGAAGGAGTTTATTTACCTGCCTGCAGGGACCATCACTCGTTAGAGTGCGGTGCTGAGCAGATCAAAGGCAGGATTTTTATACTCTTTTACATGGACGGCTGTGCAGGTGCTTGAATAACAGCGAACAATAGGGGAAACCCACTGAGCTACATTCGCACATTTGTTTATGCTAAAGCAAGCAAGCGAGGGTACAAGGGCGTAACGTTATGCTGGAGCGTAGCAACAAAGGCTGCTTTGTGGTCAGCCTTGCGTAGCCTGCACATTCGTTGGGGTTCTTGTTCTTACGCGAACAGGACACTCTGATCATGCTTCTTACCCGTGACGAGCCATGCCCTAGCTGCACGTTCGATGAAGAGGGGGGTTGCAACAGAAACCCAGTGCTCTCAGCAGCTGGCTAACTGAATGCATCCCTGGGGGAACTGGTAGCAGCCCATACAAGCCCCCTGCTTCGCTCCAGCTCCCGTGTTCCGTGTCTTGGATCCAGGCTTTGTGTCGAGCATTAAAACCCACGGGACTCGAGTGAGGAGTAGCCAGTCTTCCTGTTTTCAGTGGGTCTCCTCACAGTGTGGCTTATGACTGGATCCGGCCCAGTGGGATTGGCAGAAATGAACGGTCAGAGCTGACCTGGTTGATTGGCCAGAGGTTTGGGGCTGGGTTGTCAAATTCGGAGCCAACCCAGAGCAAAGGCAGCTTAAACAGGAATGCTTTAGAGCGTTCCCTGGGTAGCCTCCCGCATCCCAACACCTGGGAAGACTTTCCTGCCTAGGATGGTGCTGCTGTTGCTGCTGTTAATATTAGACGTTGGCGCTGCAGCCGCCTTCTCCTCTGTTCTGCTAAATATAGTAAGATCTCTAAGTGGTTTATTTATATTCAAAACATGTGAAAAATCACTGCTATATACACAGGGTTGGATCAAAATTCACCCTAGACACACTGCAACGAGGGAAACGGAAACGCTTACACCCTTCTGTCCACAGCAGTTCCTCTAATCCTCAGAAAATTCTGCAGAGGGGGGAGAACTTGCTGAATGGGGGTGAGCCATGGCAGTGGGGAAAGGGGGATTCTCCCACCTCTGGGCAGAGCGACCCTTTGCAGGCAGACCCTGGATCCAGCCCACTGCCAGTCAACAATAACAGCCGCGATCGTGGGATTGAATGTGCAAGAAAGCGGAGCAGCACCATCTCAACCCAAGCTGCAGGCCGGGGAAGGTTTGCCTCATGCTCTGGCTGGCAGCCTTAACGGCTTGACATTGTGGCTAGCTGTGCACGGAGCCGTGGGTTGCCAGTTAGCAGCTCCTCCTGAAAACTTCGGAGGGATCATGCCCTTGGTGGCGCTAAGCATTCTTTTTAGTAATGCTGATTGGAATTACTTCTCCCTCCTCTCTTTGGGCGCAGGTACTCGATCCAGAAAAGCAAGCCGACATGCTGGACTCGCTCAGGATTTACCTCTTGCAGTTCGCCACACTCCTGGTGGAGCACGCCCCGCACCACATCCACGACAACAACAAGAACCGCAACAGCAAGCTCCGCCGCCTCATGACCTTCGCGTGGCCGTGCCTGCTCTCCAAGGCCTGCGTCGACCCGGCCTGCAAGTACAGCGGGCACCTCCTGCTGGCCCACATCATTGCCAAATTTGCCATTCACAAGAAGATCGTCTTGCAGGTATCAGATGCGTGTGCCAGGGAGTGTCTGAAGCAGGGGTGTCTAACTGCTCCCTCCCCCCCAGAGGGCCGAATTCCAGTTTGGAGACGCTTGTGGGTGGGGGACAGAGTTCAGTGGTGGGTGGGGTGAAGGACCAAAGAGTTTGCGGCCAAAAATGTCAGCTCGTTTTAGCTTGAATCGCTTACTGAGTGGTCTTCAGACCTTTTCGAATGGGAATGAAACGGGGGTTCTGGGCCAGGTGGGGGAACTTGGGTGCTGGACTGGGGCCTTGGGAGGGCCGAAAGGTCTGCAGTGCGTTCAGAATGCTGTCAGGTAGCTGGAGGTGGAAAGATCTTCGAGGAGGAGCTAGACCAGGGGTGCTGATGCCTTTACAGCCCAGGTGGCTGAATTCTATTTCGAGACACTCCGGGGCTTGCAGGCCAGAGCTGAGCAAGGGCAAAAATGCCAGCCGTGCCAGCATTCTCCTGTAGGATAGTATGATTTTCAAGCTGACCATGAGAAGTCAGTAATGAAAGAAATCTAGTTCGAATACTGGCCTTTTGGGAAATGTGGCTGAATGATGTTTCTTTCAAACTGAATGCCCCTTTCCCTTCCAAAGTGGAAAGAGCGCGCCACACCTTCGGAACATGCTGCTGGAGCGTCTGGAGTTCTTCGTGGTCTATGCCTCACACACACGCATTCTTTTTTTTTAAATTTTATTAAAATTTTTAAACTAATACTAGAAACATCAGTCATCAAATACATCGGATGTACTGGGTCAGCCCCCTACTCATATTTTTTAACATTCTATAGACATAATTCAAATCCATTTATAATAACTTAAAAACACTTTTAAATCTAAGCCAAGTCCCGTTTCTCTAGCCAATAATAAAAAAAATCCCAAGTTTGATAGAAGTCAGTATCTTCTTTCTCCTTCAGTGACGAAGCCAATCTTTCCATTTCTGCACAGTCCAGGATCTTTTTTAGAATCAGTTCATCGGTGGGTAGTTCCTCACTTTTCCAGTGTTGAGCAAATGCCATCCTCGCCACGGTACGCACACGCATTCTTTGCCTGCATGGAGCCTCTTGCCTTGAGCCCTGGGTTTAGTGGCCTGGGCTGTGGGTTCTGGCCCTATATCTTTGTCTGACCCAGAATCTCTTTCCAAAGCCAACAAAGGCTCTTTTATAGAAAGAGTAAGCCCACACCGTAACTAGCATATGCTGTCTTCGGGCTCCCGCTGTCGAAAAGAGGCAGGTCAACCCTTTAGGATGGGGGGAAATGCACAAACATGGGGAAAGGGACATGGCCAGAGGAAGGATACATGGCCAACTGGTGAACTCCAGGTGAGCTGGAGTTCACCTGGCACTATTCAGGTAGACATCGAGGCGTTGGAAGATGCCCTTGTCGCATGACCGCCAATGGCCGCCACTGGATTAGCTGTTCGAGAGCCCCACGTTCCCAAGATTGATGATGCAATTACGCTTACCTTTTTCTTGATGCGCCTTTAATTAATTTTTGCCTGCTCTCCTTGTCAGGTGTTTCACAGCCTCCTGAAGGCTCACGCGATGGAAGCGCGGGCCATCGTGAGGCAAGCCATGGCCATTCTGACGCCAGCGGTGCCTGCTCGCATGGAGGACGGCCACCAGATGCTGACCCACTGGACGAGGAAAATCATAGTTGAAGAGGGCCACACGGTCCCGCAGCTCGTCCACATTCTGCATTTAATAGTCCAGCACTTCAAGGTATTTGTGCAGTGCTCATCCCTTTAAGGCCTGTTGCGAGGATGGGATTGTGTGGTTTCCCACTGTTAGACTTATCTATGGGTTTTCCTTCACTGATTTTTTTTTAAAATGTCAGATGTGGCTGTTTCAAGGTTGCAAACTTTCCTCCTTATAGTCCTTCTCTTGGAAATCAGTCAGTCAGTCAGTCAGTCAATCTCTCTCTCTCTCTCCGCGTGCGTGTTCGTTTGTTCGTTACACTGCCACTTTCATTAACTCAGTTCATCTATTAACTGGTGATTCATGGGTTAATTAATCAATCCCTGATTTGCCATTTTGAATAGCAAGTCCCCCGTCAGACCAGCCAAGGATTGCTGTGTGGAACCCAAACCCAGACACTGGCCCCTGCCCACACCAAAATTCACCACGGTGGCAAAAAATGGCAACAAACGGCTGCAGAAGTCTAAATCCGTCAAAATCCCCTTAAATTCCAGCTAAATTTGTTCTTTTTGTTCCTCTGCTGTGGTTCAGTGCCGAAATTTGGTGGCCCGTTGCTGATTTTTTCGTCTCCCTCCCAGGTTCGGCCATGTGGCAGGAGAAGGGCCTGATGTGGTGGTGGAGGGGTGGGTTTCGGGCCCCCAAAGGGCTTCTTTGTGCATGCCTGATGCAGATCTGTGGCAGGATGCCTGGGAGCATCTCTTCTTCTCCAAACATTAGTTTTATGGCTTGGCTGTTAATGTTAGCTCTTCTTGGGCATAGCTTTAAAAAAGCTCATAAAGCCAGCGCCTTCCCCAAAGAGCATAAATCCACTGAAGTGGAGCTCTTCATTCGAGCAGTGGGTTAACTTTCCCCTGATTCAGGCGGCGTCATGAACTGTCTTTGCATGGTATAAAACGGCTCACATAGGAACCCTCTGAGATGTTCGTAAATGGCGCAGAACACAGATCAAATTTGGAATGGTCTATTTTGGTATAAAGCACTTCAGAAAGGGTAGTTTATGTTGATTTTTAGTCTGGATTGCTTGCGTGCCGGGAGAGTAATCTTTGTGCAGGACAAGAACTGTTTCTTTTTCCCTCCCCGCTTCCCATCCTCACCAGTCTTTGGACCACTATAAGAATGAGGGCACTTGGTTGGTTTTGTCATGTTAAAATGATGCCTCCAAGGCTTTTCGCTGTTAGTGGGCTTGAGAGAGAATCTCAAATGAAGATGAAAGAAGTCCATAATCAAGTGGCCAGAGGCACTTAAAATACAATACTTAAACGAGAAAGCCTATTTTTTTCCTCTTGATTTGTAATACTCCAGTCCTGCTAGATTTCAAAGAAATTGGGGAATAAGTATGTCAGTAGAGGTAGTGCAGTGTGAATTGAGGGAGACGAGCCGGCCAATTTCTGTCCTTTTCAGTTTTGTAACCTGCAGAGTATATTTATCAGCAGCATAGATTGGAAAAAGTTAGGCGCCTGGGCTTGAAGACCACTGCCTCTCTGCGAGTATATTGCTGCCATTCCTGTTTAGCAATGTTGGGCGTAATAATTCTTTTACTTTCCAACGAAGAACGATATGAAGAACGTATGTATGTATGAAGAACGATCCACTGATCCTTTGTTCAGATACCCCATCAACCATGGTTTGTGCTAGCTGCAGTTTAGAACTTAAACCATGGTTTGCGCTTCCTACTGATTTGGGCAAGCTGTGGCTTATAATCACCTGGTTGTCTGACCCACCCAAATCTGCTTAGTGCCCCTTTGGCTCGGTGCAGGTAGCACAAGGAACGTAAACAGGTTTCTTCAATTCCGAGCGTGTGCTAAAGCAGGCACATTTGATGCTGATTTATTTCTTTATTTCGGTGCTGCTCAATAACGGACGTTTTCTGTGTCGTTTACAACTGTGGTGGAGCGAATGCTCCTTCTTTGGAAGCTCCTGAATTGTCTTCCTAAGTTTGGGAAATAACTTGAGTTTTTCTGAGCCAAAATTGGACCAGGTTGCATCCCTAACATTGCAGGCAGGGCAAAGTCCACCTCCCAGGTGTCTCGAGTCCCTCTCAGACTCCGTGCTTACCTTTATTGCTGCTTCTCTGGTAGGAGAACAGAGAAAGGGAGGGTTGGGGTCTCTCCCCCTCTTAAATGTGAATAAGTAATAATAAGAGAGCGTCTGTCAGCGCCATAGTGTCGAGACTGCAAAACCTATACACCTGAAACTGAGGAAACCTTAAGGGTGTGCACCATGGGATTATTTTGTTTTTAAAGTGTCTTTCCTTTAATTAGATTTATTGTATCCTTGTGGCCGAATTTGCAGTAGTACATTTGCAGTCAGTAGGGACAGACTTCCGTAGCTGGTACATAGATTTGCAGTTGATAAGTGTGAAGCTAAGGGAGAGTGGAGAAATAAGAGGCATGGCTATGTGGCATCCCCCTCCTCATTACTGTGGAACCCCCCCCCCCCATGGAATGGGCAGACCCCTCTTTTGGGGGCTCTAGGGCAGTACCATAGCAGGGACTGTAGGCATGGCTTTATTTCATTCATTCATTTATTTAAAACTTTTGCAGACCGTCCCATTACTGACGTCTCGGAACAGTTTAACAGTACAAAATGTAATCTATATATACACACACACATACACACACACACTCACTCATCCAGGGCAAGCACAGTGTGCCTAGCAGCCCTGTAAGTCTGCCCAGATGCTTCTTCGTATCAAACCAGGGGCGACCTGAACCCACGGGAGGCCAGGTCTGTCCACCAGTAGTTAACCTGTGCAGAAGGTGAGCGTATTACTATGTGGGAAATCATTCTGTTCCCCGAAAGAGTGTCTTCTCACATATATACTTCCCAGAACCTTAAGATTGTGTGTTGTCTAGGAGCCCCTGCCACAGGAAGCAACCTGGGCAGCTGTGAGGAAGAGGGCCTTTCCCCTCGTCACTCCCGGGTCCTGGAGTAACGAGCAGAGAGGCCTGCCTGGCGCCCAAGTGGTGCTCTTTCCCACACTGAGCCAGGGTCACCTCCGTTTCCCACGCGTCGTAGCCCTTCCCTTTTTTCGAGCTCTTCCTCTATTCAACATCTTCGCCTCGCCACTAGATTTTACTTTTATTCTCTACCGTGCGTTTAATCTGGTGTGTATCCTACGTCTTACCACGTGCTGCGCTCTTTCGAGAGCGCTCCAGCTCCAGCAGTCAGCGAATTGCAATTGACCTTCCCGCAGGTATACTATCCAGTGAGGCACCATTTAGTGCAGCACATGGTGAGCGCCATGCAGCGGCTGGGCTTCACCCCCAGCGTCACCATCGAGCAAAGAAAACTGGCTGTCGACCTGGCCGAAGTGGTGATCAAGTGGGAGCTGCAGCGGGTCAAAGACCAGCAGGTACGGGGGCTGGCGCGCGGTTGGCGTTGGCGGTGACACTCTGTCCGGCTGCGAGAAAACGCCGCACTGAATCCCTGCTCTCTGACTTGTCCTGCTACCCACAGCCAGATTCGGATATGGATCAGGGCGCCAGTGGTGAGGGAGCAGCTTCTGCCTCGTCCTCTGTGAAGCGGGGACTCTCGGTCGACTCTGCACAAGAAGTGAAGCGGTTCAGGACAGCCACCGGGGCAATAAGCGCCGTAAGGATCGCGTCCCCATTCCCCCAAACTTCCTTGCGAGTGGGGCTCACCACACGTCTTTTTGCATTCGGTGTTTTGCCCCCTGAGCTCCTGTGTGGAATGCTGACAGACTCACTGGCTTGTTGTGCGTATAAAGTAAACCCCACACGGTATGGGTTGTCAAATTCTGGGTTGTCATACTGTCTGAACCCTGCCTGGCAGCCCAGAAAGAGAACCCATGGTTTGTGCATTGGGTGTGAAAACTGGCTGTTACCAGCCCAGGGGCAGGCAGAGTGTAGATCTCCAGATGTTTTGGACTTCAACTCATAGTATTCCTGACTGATGTCCATGCTGGGGTTTGAAATCCAGAACATCCAGAGAGCTGTATTCTGCCCCTCTTTGGTTTAAACCATGGATTTTCATAATTTCAAACCCAGACCCATGGGTACTGATGGGCTTTTTTCCCAGGCTATAAAACAAGTGCATTCAAAGAATCCAGCTGCTTTCCATGCTGGTACTTGGAATACAGGGAGAGGGCAGCAAACAACCCAGGGCCTGAGCAGATAAACTATACTTTGTTGTCTGCAGGTCATATCCTGGGCAGGGCAACAACCCATGGGTTAAATGTTATGTGTGAACCAGGTCACCCTGTGTTTTGACATTAAATATGCCTTCAGGTGTTTGGACGCAGTCAGTCCTTGCCTGGCGCAGATGCCCTGCTTTCGAAGCCCATCGACAAGCAACACACGGACACCGTCATCAACTTCCTCATTAGAATTGCGTGCCAGGTACTGTGCGCTTCTGAAATGAAAGTGGGTCAACCTTGCTTTGGATTGCGAAGTCAGCCTTGCAGCTGCAGGGGTGGGAGGGGGGCGCTTTGCAGTGGAGAAAGAATCCTGTAACCCTGTTGAGTGTTTTCTCTTCTGCATGGAATTATTCATGGGCAAGACAGTGCAGTAAACGGGCAGAGCAATGTCTTCAGTACAGAACTTGTCCCTGGCAGGCATGGAAGGCAGCTTTTTTATTATTATTATTATTATTATTATTATTATTATTATTATTAACATTTCTATGCCGCCCCTTGCCGAAACCTCGGGGCGGCTTACAACATGATAAAATACATTGAAATACAATAGTACATAATAAATTACCATTAAATATAAAAATACAAAAAAATACATTGATTTACAAATACAAAATTAAAATTATCAGTATAAAATAAAAATATAGGAGGAGAAAGAAAAGGAAGAAGAAGTTGCCCAGGCCAGATCATATGTTTTCCATGGTCATACCATGACCTGCAGTTTGCCATCTGGGCACAACTGAGGGGGGACGTGATATCCCTCTGTAAGTACCTCTAGAAGTACCTCAAAGTACCTCAAAGGCTGTCACAAAGAGAAAGGCCAAGATCTCTTCTCACTGATGGCAGAGTGTAGGGCACAGAATAATCAGTTCAAGTTGTGACCACCCATATTCAGGCCGGACATCAGGAAAATTTGCTCACTGTCAGCGCAATTTGACAGTGGAACCAGCTGTCCGGAGAGGTGGTGGGCTCTCCCACACTGGAGACATTCAAGAAGAAACTGAGTGGGATGCTGTGACTTGGTGTCTTGCAACAGCAGGGGGTTGGACTCAATGGCCTTCGTGGCCCCTTCCAACTCTACTGTTCTGTGATTCTATGATCCAGAAGTGGTGGGCCCACCTTACAGAACACCTTCCTTGCAGTATTTGGGAGGTACCAGCTGTGCTATATTTGGGTTCAGGCATGCAGGTTAAAGTCAAGTTGCTAGTCATTTTGGACCCTGCTGGCCTCAGTTGGAGTCTTGTGGCTGTTGGGGAAAGTGGTCCTTTCCTGTCCCCTGAATGTAGATCCTGTTTGCAAGGCAGATCTGCACCCGGAACTAAATTGTTTCTGCCGGCCTGCTCTGTTCAGCATGACCTTGATCATGCTGCCCTAAATTACTTTTAACGGAGCCTTTTCAGAGAAGTGAAATGAGGTTACTGTTTTCACAGGAGGTATGATGGCATTAAAATATTAATGAGTTCTAAAAGATTAAGATGATAAATGTTTGCTACTTAGCAATTATTCTGGTTAATTGCCAGGTAAATGACAACTCAAACACTGCGGGTTCTCCAGGAGAACTGCTTTCCAGGCGCTGCGTTAACCTTCTGAAGACAGCTTTACGGCCAGACATGTGGCCAAAATCGGAACTCAAACTGCAGTGGTTTGATAAGCTTCTAATGACTGTGGTAAGTTGTGTTTTGCAGCCTTAAAGGCAGTCGTAAGATGCAGTATAATTAAATGCTTAATAAAGTATCGCAGGGGCATTATGGGTTGTCATGTTCCAGCTAACGTGTTGATTCATTTTGAAACCAGGAAGACCCTGGTGTGTGCACTCCTGTGTGTCAAAGTAAACAGCGTGCTGTAGAGAACTTGAAATGTCATGTTAGCCCCATTTAATTGCCAATTTAATTTGGTGTCATGACTTGGAAGATGTTCAGCTTAATGGAATTGATTTATGGCCTCAAATAATTACGCCTGTCCTTCTCTTGACATCCGGATTAGGATAAAAAAAGTCAGCTGGTGAGTGTTGGAAAGGAGTGCCAGGCTGGAACGCTCATCTTTCTGCTGGGCCATTGATGGGATGCTGGCATTTGTAGACACGAGGGTTTTAGGAATGGTTGTGCGCAGAGAATTGCCTTGGGGTGGGCAGATCCCAACACTGCTGGGCAGGACTCGGGTGGCTTTCCGATCCTGCTCGTTCCTTCAGCTCGGTGCAATCATCCCCCAAAGCAACGCTTCTTGGCCGGTTCCCAAGAGCGCTGGTGGCTGGCTCAGGGGTCACCCAGTGCGCTTAATGCAGGGAGGCAGAATTGCTTCCTGCCAGGGCTGCTTTGTGGAGAAGCTCTGACAGGTCACACCGTAGTGGTGGACGGGGCACAATGCCAACTTTTGCTCCCTGCTTTTATGCTGCCTTTAACTAACCCTACAAAGGCAGGTCAGCCTTTGAGGACGGTTGCAAGAAAGTCAAGAGTCCAGAAACCACCAGTAAGCTTACGGTTGGGAAGAGGGGTGTGGCCATTTGGGGCTTCCAGAGCACTGGATTGGGACTCCAGGAAGGCCAGACCTGGTCTCCAGGCTGGAACTTCTGCAGCTTTGCTTAGTGGCTGAGCCAGGATTTGAACCCTGGTCTCCCTGGTCAAATCCAGATCTCTAGCCATGTTATTCTGGCTTCCAGCAAGAGAGAATTAGTGTTTTCCTCTGAATTGCCATACTAGATGTGGGACACTTGTGCATTGGCAAGTGTGATTAAAGTCCTCCTTGCACCGAAATTCTCCTGGGCCCCTGGCTGAAGCAGTATGCACCTCCCACTTGAGATTAGAGGCAACTTGGTAGCCCCCAAGTGAGAAGCGGAAGAGATCTGAGCAGCCACCGTAGATGATTTGAGGTTGCAAGGTACATTCAGGCAGCTGCCGGAAAGGGAAATTGGAATCTTTGAACATGTATCCGCACCACTAATGTGTAGTGCTGAACATTTTCTGCGCATCCAGATCGACCCTTAACAGCTGCCTAATGAACGTCACTGTTATAAGCAAAACCCCTGCTCAGTGCTTCCCACGGATGCTAATTGCCTCATTTTGCATTATAAGCCGCAGTCTGGAATATTTATTTTATTCATTAACGGGCATGTGTAGCATAGGCCTCGTTTCGCGTGTGCTTATTAATGAGTAGAATAAATATCCCCAACTGCAGCTTCCTTTGCAAAATGTGACAATTGCGTGACGGAAGGGTTCCCCCTGTGTTTCTGGGCTCTGAGCACATCCAGCTCCCAAAAATATCACTAAGGCTTTGAGAGGATGGTCCCTTCCATGGTGTTTCAGCCCCTGACGCGCACAGCAGGGCTAGGCCGGAGTGGCTCATAAGCAGCTCCTCTTTGCCCATGCCCTCCTCACTCATTTCTGGCGGTGTGGTAGGGTGGCAGGAAGGTTGGCCGGGGGTTCAGGAGACCTGGGTCCTAGGCCCCTCCTGGCCCTGAAGCTCCCTGGGTGCCTTTGGACCCATCACAGCCTGCCTTACAGGGTTGTTGTCGTGAGGATAAAGTGGAGCTGGGTAAGCCCTCCTGCAAGAGGCCAAAGGGAGGGCTAGAACTGGTGTGGTAGCGCTGGTGATGATGCTGAGCAAAGTTTGGGCTACGCGTGAAGGCCATCACCCCTCCGTCTCGTCTCATTTTATTTCTCTGGAGTTGTGTGCTAACTTTGTGCCAGTTTTGTGTGATTGTGATTGGAGAGACCCGTGGGACGTACTCGAGTCTGCTTTCCTGCCTCTGGGGTTTTAAGGACGTTCTTCTGAAAAACGGTGAGGCGACGTGGGGATGGGACACTCCGCCCAGCCTTCCTCTGAAGCAGCTCTCCATCCGTCACTGTCTGCTTCAGGAGATGCGCGAAGTATTGGCCAGAGCTGCACATGTGTGTGTTTGTGTACGCAGAGACCAACGCTTGGCAATGCTAAGCAGTAAGTTCAGAGGGGAAGGAAGTGCTGAAAGGCCTCTCAGTGTCATCATCGGCCATTCGGTCGAGTCTGGCTCTTGGCCGCTGCATGGATCACTGCTCTCCGTGCCCGTCTGTCTCTGGCTGCTTTCTTCAAGACCGCCGTGTCCATCCCAGCGTCTTCCTGTACTGGGGCAGCCCGTTTGCTTTCCCTGCTGATCACGCCCTGCGTGATAGACTTTTCAACTGAGTCAGCTCTCATGGCATGGCCAAAGAATGACAGTCTCGTCTTTCTTTTTGGCGATCTAGGCTTCAAGTCATGCTTTTGATGAGGCTCGGTCTAAGACCTTCTTTCTTTGTGATTTTGGCAGCCCGGGGAATGCATAATAGTCGGCTCTCCCCCTTTCTTGTATATTAGCACATTATAATAAATTGGTTTGTTCTTAGGAAACGGAGCTGCTTCTCTGCTTTGCCCGCAGAACTGCTCCTTAACCTGTTCTTTACAGGTCATTATGACTGTAGGTTTTCCATTTAACCGTTTGGCTTTAGAGCTCAGCCCTTTCCCTTGCAGGGACTCCTTCCTTTCCTTTCTTTTTAAAAAATTCATGTGTCATCCTCTGATTGCTCTATAAGTCAACTTGACAGCATTTCCATTAAAATTCAGTGCTTAGTCAAGAACGCCCGGTGCGCAGGGGAAGATCAAACTGAATTACTTAGCAGCTACTCTGCACGTTTTCTTCGTTCTTACAAATGAAGCGGTATTACATCGCGCTGGAAGAATTATCTTTGGCCTACCTTCCCCATCCTGAATAATTGAACGCAAATCTATTATTCTAGTGCTTGTCAGAGGCTCTTGAGTTGAGCTGCGGAAGCTGCGTCGCTTGGGCGCCGCACAAGATGCTCTCGTTCGGCCTTTGTTCCGCAAAGGATCTTTCTGGCACGGGGCAAAGGGAGCGGGCTTGGGGAATGAGAGGCAGGCCTACTGAGGAGGAGGAAGCTGAGGTTCCCACGAGCGAGCTTGGACAGAAGGAACATGTGACTGTGGAGCACCTAGACGAGGGGTGGGAAGCTTTGGGCAGGTCCTCTCCATGCACCCGTCCCTGGACCAGCCCTGGGTTTGCGTTGCCGCCTCCCCATCCCATTAAAAAGAAAAGAGGGGAATATGTTCATTTTGGCCTCTGTTACGTGTTCTCCTCCGTATAAAAAGAAGAGGGGGGAATTGCACTGGCTGGGACAGCAGAGGCTGCCTACAGATGACCTGAGACAGAATATTACCGTCATGATATTGCATGTATTACCCTGCCTTACTTCTCTTGGGAGGAACCCAAGTGTGATTTCCATAACTGCATTTAATCCTCACAGTGACAGCCCTGCGAGGTAGGATGGGCTTGAGAGTCTGTGACTGGCCCCAAATCGCCCAGTGAGCTCCATGCTTGAGTGGGGACTTGAACCCAGGTCTCCAAGGTTCCCTGTCCATCGCTCTGAACACCACACCACACCGGCTGTGCTGTTGTTGTTGTTGCTCACATGCCCCCGAGTCCACCCGTGGGTTGTCCAGTGTGGTTCTCTAGAGGGCTTTGTTTACTTTGACCAGCCTTCTTTACCTTGGCTGCCCATCTCTGCCCTTAAATGCTATGTGTAAAAATGTGGGAAAATGCAGAACGTGTTGCTAGATTTTTATTATATTTCCTCCCTCCTTTTTTTCTTGCGAGGGCCCCAAGGCAGCTTTCAAAATCCTCCTCCTCTCTCTTTTTATCCTCACTACGAACCTGTGAAGTGGGCTAGCCTGAGTCACCCTGTTCGCTTCCTGGCCACGTAGAGCCGAGCACCCAGGTCTCGAAAGCTTCCGGGTCCCCGGTCAGACTGCCAGCGTTGTGACACGCAAGGCGGGTGTGCAATGGGAGAGCTGCAATCCAGTGAATACGGGGGGCACCCCACTGAGCAGGCCTCATCCTGCAACATCCCGCTTCCTGCTGCTTCGGTCTCTCGAGATTCCGCTGTAAGCGGTGGAGAGAACCGAGCGCACGCTTGTATGAAGGCGTCGGGGGGCACATTCTAAGCTCAAGAAGTTTGTGTTGTTTTTAATTAAGGCTATCGCGCCATTAAACAAGCCTTAGTCATGAGTTTTAGCCAATTAAGTAGCTGGGTGAATTTGCATAGCCGTAAAAAGAGCTCCGAAGCATCCCCCCCCCCCCCGCTTTCCTGTTCCCAAGATGCTGCGTGCTTACGTTGCCGCTGGTGGCATCTTCAAGAAAGCCGTCTCTTCTGCGTGGAGGAAGGACAGGGCAGGGAGCTGTTGCTTGACAGCGTTTGCTGAAAGGCCCTGTACCGAGCACAGCAGAATTTCCTGGTTAATTGTGTGTATTTGCCACATCTATATATATATATTGCTATACATAGGAACAGATTCCAGAGCCATGAACCATAGCAGATAAACACAAAACACCATATCAAGACATGGTTTTTAGAAACAGGCTGCCAGCAAAGAGAGAGCCTCCAGAAGCATGGAGTCCACAGAAGCGGGGGATTGTCTCTGGGCGGGGCCACAGGTCCGCGTGGGACCGCCAGAAGGATGCCGTCCCATCAGCTCAGTGCTGATGGGGCCCGAGTTCCTTCGGGCTTCATTCACCAGTGCCAGAAGCATCCCCCTGGCCCGGCAGGAATCGCCAGTGCTGCTCCCTCAGCAAGAGAGCTGCCCCGAGGAGCGCCCTGCGGGGTTCTGGTCCTGAGGACGCTGGCACCTGGACCATGGCAGCCGCCGCCATGGGAGGTGGGAACAAGAGCCAGGGCACTGCAGTGGTTAGAGGGCTGGACTGGCATCTGGGTGATCCGGATTCTAGTCCCCGCTTGGCCTCAAAGCTCCCTGGCTGCCTTTGGGCCAGTCATGGACGCCCAGTCCAGCCTACCTGACAGGTGGTTGTTGTGGGGGTAAGATTGCGAGGACGAGGGTTAGGGAAACGGCCGTGAGGTCATTAAAAAGAAAAAAAGTGGGCTATGAACAAGTAGGTGCTGAAGGGCACTCTGAGTTGCCGCGGCCGCTCGGATCTAGGAGTGATGCCAGACTTTGAGCCCGACCTTCCAGAGCGGCTGCGGACGAGGAGCTTCACGGCGCCACCGAGGGCGCTCAGGCGCAACTGAGCTGCGGGGCCTCCAGCCTTGGCGTCCGACAGTGAGACCCTGGCCTTGGATTGGTCTCCGCCTTTCAAAGCCCCTCTTTTATCATTGCATGCTTTAAGAAACATTTTAAAAATCACACTGTAGGAGAGTTTATTTTCCTGTTCAGTGGAAGTAGGCCCCCATTTTGAAAGAGTTGTTTGTCATTCTTTGTATTGTCTATTTTTATCATCTGCTTTCCGCTGTTCTAATTTTTTCCTGATATTTTTATTGTGTTTTGATCATTTGCTTTTATGGATTGTGTAAGCTCCCCAGAGAAGGGGTAGTGCGGAAATGACACAAAGAAGCAATAACAACCAAAGTGCTTGTAGGATTATTACTTTGGAACAAGACAGAGGGAAAACTGGATCCTGCTGTTCCTGCCCCTGACAGGTGTTGACTGCAGGGCTGGAGGCTGGAAAGATTCAGATTGCGTGGCTGTGGCCAGGGAATGTGAGGGGTTGTGGATGGTTCCTTCCCTCCCCATCCCTTCCACACGCTGATTCTGAACCTGATTGGGAAAGGGTGTGCGCTATCCAGAAATGGAGTGGGGTGGCGGGTTGAAGGTGGTTGCTGTCAGAAGCAAAGCCCCCCCCTTTTCTTGTGGAGGCCTGGGTGCATTGTCCATGTCAGAGCCTAGGTCCGTTTAGGCCAGTCCAGACCAGGAATGGCTCAGTGACCAGGTCTCAGGAAGATTTTCTGCCCAGCCCCACCAGGAGAGGCCGGGGAACGAAACCGCAACCGTCTGCATTTAAAACGGGCCGTACCGCTGAGCTAGTGCCCACGCAGAGTTGGCGAGTCCCGTTGGAAGCGTCTCTTCTTCTTGGTGTTTTGTTCCAGGAGCAGCCCAACCAGGTCAACTTCGCCAACATCTGCACCGGGTTGGAGGTTCTCAGCTTTCTCCTAACGGTCCTTCAGTCCACGGCGATCCTGAGCAGCTTCAAGCCTCTGCAGCGAGGAATCGCGTCTTGCATGACCTGCGGCAACACCAAAGTCCTGCGAGCGGTCCACACCCTGCTCTCCCGCTTGATGAGCAACTTCCCCACAGAACCAAGTATGCTGGGACAAGGGTCCCCCTACTCCCCCCCCCCATTGTAAAGAGGCGGCGTTACTGGGCAAAGACGATGGATCGTAATCAGCAGTCATCCTATTTCTGCTGGGCTTTATGGATCCTTCCTTACGAAACAAGCGTGCACTTTCAACCCCAATTAAAAGAAAAGTAGAAATAAGTAATCATGAGGAATACATCATTATCCAGCAGCATAAAAACTTAATAACCTGTGGCAGTTATTAGTTTGGCTCAAGAAATGCATGTCATAAATTTAATGTCTTTTGCAATTACCATTTTTCTGCTTTGAAGGTGCAGTTTTTCAGTTGTTGAACATGGCCGTTTTAATAAGACAAGAAAGGGAAATTGGGTGTAAAGACAGACCTTGGGTAATGGAGAATAAGTGAAAAAAGAAAGGAAGACGGCTAGTGGAATAATTCTGTGCATGCTTGAGCAGAGAAAAGGTCTTACAACTTCCAGTATCCCTGGAAGCACATTTTCTGTCTAAACATGGCTAAGTTTTGTGCCCCTGTTCGTAGCAGTGAGGTGTTAATGCTGCAGTAACTAACCTGGGAATGAGCTCCATTTAGTTTAATGGGGTGTATTTCTGAGAAATATATATAGAGGGTTGCATTGTGGGTTGTTGTGACCAAATTTAGAGTATTGTGGCCAGGGAGAAATTGCTGCAGTACATCCCCCCCCCCCCCACACACACACACTCCTTGAGAGATTGCAAAGTTTACAAGAAGAGTCCTTGGGTAGCTACTAAACACTGATCCCCAAAGCCATGGAAACATAAGGAATGTAACTCTCTGCTTGTGCACACGTGACAACTTCTTTTCTTTCTTTATTTGCATTTATATACCACCGTAGTAGCCCAGAGGGCTCTCTGGGTGGTTTAACAAACATTAAAACCTACCAATCCTGAACAAATAAATAAATTGGCCATACCACGACAGTGTAAAATAACATAGTTAAAACGAATTAAAAAAATAAAAATAGCATTAAAATGAACTAACTTTAAAATATTGGTTAAATAACAACTTCCTGCCTGCATGACTGGAAGAGCATAGAAATAAATGCATATACACCTTTTTTGCATTACCGCTAATCCTGGTGTAGGTACCTCAAGCGTTGCCTCCAAGTATGAAGAACTGGAGTGTCTCTACGCTGCCGTTGGGAAGGTGATTTATGAAGGGCTTACCAATTACGAAAAAGCGACTAACGCCAACCCTTCGCAGCTCTTCGGTAAGTTTCCGACGGGGCGCGTTGTTACAAGCACATCTGGGTGGAAAGAAACAGCTGCAGCCTCAAGGTGGCGGTGGGTTGAAGGTGGCTGCTGTCCGAAGCAAAGGCCCCCCTCCGGGGTTCTCTGGAACGTCGCTCTCCACATGCCCCGGCCGGCCTGCGTAAAGAGCTCGCTTCCAAGTGCCGAGCCCGGCTTGGCTGCCCCCATCAGCCTGGCTGGTGAGTGCTCAGGGCGTCGGTGGAGGAGGCACGTGAAGCCAAGCCCCCAGACCAGTTTGCAATAGGATACCACCCTGTTCCCGGGAAATGCAGCGAGCCCCTCATTGTCAACTTGCAAGGCTGTCCGGGGATTGGAATATGCTGCCCCGGCCTTACGTAGACCTACTCGGCACTAGCTGTAAATGATAGGAAGTCATCCCTCTTTTTTCTCGTCTTTTGTTTCCAATATAATGCCTTGGTTTCAGAGGCAATTTCAGATTTATTCAGTTTAACTTTCAGATCTGTGGCCAGCGGTTCTGCCTTTTGTGTTGTTTTGTTCACAATATTAACTTTTGATTAAACGAGGGGAAGACGTGCTTCTCTTTGGATCTTGTCAAAGAGCTTGGGCTGGTACCACCAAGATGCCGAAATGATTGAGCAGTTTGGCAAGTTGGGTCCATCCTTGCCTTGCCGCAGAATTGCTTCTGTCAATAACGCAGGCCTGAAATTGGAATGGTTTGGAGCATTGGCTGCTTTAAATGGCAAATGTCCTTCACTATCCTAGCCTCTGATCTGTGCAGACAGATGTAATTTCGCTTTGGGGATTGCCTATTTGTCAGGTGTCAGGTTGCGCTGTAGAGCCGGCTAACCAAGAAAGATCCTCCTTATCGTTTGTTCAGAACACTCCAAGGTTATAGAGCCTACCTTAAAAAAAAAGAGAGTTCATCCACAATATTGCTGAAGATTTCCTGCCCCCAGTCAAAATAAGTCAACTGGGTCCCAGAGAATGAGAGCACAGACTATGGCATAGGATGATGGTCTGAGTGGGTTCTCATAAAATTTGCGAGTTATCACTGACTTGCTAATCGTTGTTACATGTGAACCCTGCATGTCTGGTTATCTGTAGATTGTTTACCATGAACAACCCGGCATTCAGATCCCAACAAGAAACTACGAGTCTCTTCCTTTTTGTTGCTCATAATTAACCCCAGTGAATAGTTTGCCTATAACGACAACCCATGATCCAGTTGACAACCCATATTCTGAGTGGTTGCATGTGAACCAGGCCAGTAACTACAAGTACTTAAAAGATGCTATAAACATCCTTGAGGGAGGAGGGAGACAGAAGCGGGAGACTTGGGCAAAACAAATATTTATTTTCTTTGCTGTCAAAAATGCAAATGACGTGTGCATCTGGACATCATGCTAAGCCACCCTGCAAAGAAGTCATGGCGGGCTAGTTATTTTCCGAGCAAGCCACTTCCCCCCACTCATTCCTGCAGCCAGAATCTCATTGCCCTTTGCAGTAGAACCCTTTTAATCTCTCCACCTCCCTGTTTGACTCTCCACTTCTTTCTTTTTCGCTGTGCGCTGTACCTGTAACGTTTTATTCTTGTTGCCAGTCTTTTTCGAGCGCACACTTAATGGCTGTGTGACGTGTAATGCTTGCTTGTCTGTGCGCTTTAGGGACTTTAATGATTTTGAAGTCAGCGTGCACCAACAATCCCAGCTACATCGACAGGCTGATCTCCGTCTTCATGCGATCTCTCCAGAAGATGGTGAGGGAGCACTTGAACCAACAGTCCCAAGCAGTGACTGCAGAAGTGAACACAGGTAACCGGGACGAGGGCAGCCCTGCCTGGCCAGCCTCGGGCTGCACGATGGCGGAAGGTCGTCCTCCAGTGAGGCTCCCTGGCTGCACTTGAGGAGGCCCCGGGCATTCAGAAGAGGATTCACTGCGAGGCACAGGGTTGGGAAGTTGCTTCTCTTCTCCTCTAAGCAAACACACGGTTGCTTGCATTTTGTAGAGGGTGGCAGGAGTGTGTGTGTGTGGAGGGGGGGATTGTCAAGGGGCGATCCTCAGGCATACTCCCACCATGCCTGCCAATCTGCCTGCAAATATTCCTGCAAGATCACTTTCCCAGGGCCAGGCGTCTTTCTGAATAATGAGCTTGGTGGAGGGGAAGGTATTGGAAACTGCTGGAGGGTGGAGAGAGGAACACCCTTGCCTGCCCACTAGCTTGCTGCTGCAGATGCCCTCCCAGCCCCCATCATGAGGAGACTGTGGGTCTGAGAGCCACTTCAACTTCCATGCAAAAGTGGCTGCCCTCAGACGCCACACTGTGGCTTCGAGAAACAGGGCAGAGCCATCCCTGCCACATGCCAGACAGGAAGAGTTTGGAATGTGTCTTTGCCTGTTTTGAAGAACTGCAGCAGGCCACGCCGTATGAACTGTTATTGAATCTTAATTATGGTTAATTTGTGAATTATCATTTGCCGTTGGCTTGTTTGGAAATTAGGTGAAGGGCACTTTGCTTGGTTCAGCATCATGGCAAGCTGTGGATAACCAGAAAGTTCTGGATTTCTTGCAACTGTGCTGGGGGGAGGGGGAGGGGGGAGGGAGGGGGAGGAGGAGTGGGGGCACCACCGGAGCACGTGAGAGGTTAAGTTGCATTTTAGTGTGACATCCAGTCAATTTGTTCCAAGCGTTAGTTAAGATGGTTACCCAAAGGAAAAGTTTTCAAAGAATCGGCACTGTGTGTTCTGCAAGCCATTTGTTCCTTCCTGTGCTTTTCTTGTCTCTGAATTAGATTCTGTGTCCTTTTGGTCCAAGACTTTGGAGCACAGAAGGACAGAGAACTCTGTATCTGTATATAGATGAGCTCATGCAAATATTAATGTGTAACTGTTGGCTGATTTCCACGTCTTCAGGGAGTGAAATTGATAAGTCACATTCTTACTTCCAAAGCCTGTTCGTACTTCCAAAAATCCTAGATTAAGGACGTTATCAAAACAGTATCCGTGCACTTGTTCAACTACTTGGTACCAGTGCTATACACATGCACTTCCAAAACCCTACGCAGAAGCTTTTATGGGAGGTCATTTGCCAGGGCGGTGCCAGTGGTTCTCTCCATCCTAGCACGCTCCACCCATGCATTGTCAAGCGATCCAAGTGCTTCTACTCTTCTTCTGCCAATAGCTGGTACCAGTGAATTGGTCATGTTGAGCCTTGACCTGGTGAAAACCCGTCTTGCTGTGATGAGCATGGAGATGAGGAAGAACTTCATCCAAGCTATTCTAACCTCCCTCATTGAAAAATCGAATGATGCCAAAATCCTCCGTGCCGTAGTCAAAATAGTGGAAGAGTGGGTGAAAATTAACTCCTCCATGGCTGCCAATCAGGTAAGACGAAGGCTGTCGCACTTACTGTAGAGCGCCGGAGAAAACTTCCGACTGTATCTTTCTTCTGCCAGGCAACAGCTTACCTAATCTGAAACTCAGCATGGTCTCCTGGTTGGAAATCAATGGTCTCAGTCAATGGTCTTGTTCCAGTAATTATTGTTAGCCTCTCCTTCCAAGGCTGTTGTGTAGATGAAACTGGGAGAGGCAGTCTTGCACTTCGCCCTGAGCTCCCAGAATCAAAGGCACCGTGGAAATCTCCTTTAAAAAATAAAGCTTTGGAAAGTCGGGCGAACCCCATAGTTCCCCCGCCTTGCCAAAAATGTTGGACTACCTCTCCTCCCAGCATCCCTGGCCATCGGCCGAGGTGCCGGTCAGTCCGAAACACCTGAAAGGACGAAGGTTGGAGGAGGAGGCTGCTTTTAGTTCCATGCTCCCGGTTTAAAAGATGCGTTCTAGAAGAGACATTGACACTTGGATAACAACCTTTGTTGAACCAGCAACATAATCACACTCTGCCCTCCACTGCCTGTGCTCAGATTTGGTCCAAGCGGCGCTCAGCAGCAGTGGCGCCAGGAAACGTTGTTTTTCCCCATGTTTTGGCCACATGGTCTGGGATTTCGTAGCAGAAATACCAGCTCCTTTTATATGGCTCCAAAGATAAAATGATTTCTCTGTGTGTGTGTGCATCATCCACATGTGCTAAAGGGGATGAGAAACTCTGGTATAGATGACTTGCAATAATTTGGTGGGCTTTTACAATAGTCCAGCACTTGAAAAATAAGCAAGACATTCTGATCTTTGTCTGTTTGCTGAAATCAGGCTCCTATCAATCATTTATCCACGTCGGAGTGATAACATTTCCAGGAATCCATGTTTTTCATGCACAGTGTATGACTTTTCTGTGAATAGAAGGGCCAGTTAATTGTACACACAGTAAACACTTGAAAGAAGGGGGGTTGGATGAACAAGACCAACTTTTTAATTAGCAAGTGAAAATAAGGATCCAGGTTGGCTGTGGATTATCAGCTGAATGTGTTAGAACAAGGTGGAGACATGCACGACAGCTTTGTGCAAACAACTCTTTGTTGGTGAAATGTTCTCAGATACGGCTTAAAACAACTTAATGTATATTCCTTATGGGTTGGGATGCGGGTGAGACTTTGGGTTGCCTAGTTTTTATTGCCCTGCAAGTGCCAGTACGCATAGCTAGTTGTGTCAAGACTTCTTATTGCTGGAAATCGTCTAATGAAGAGTTTTGAGCACTGTGCTCACGTGCTAATGCTGCGGCTGCATTCCAGGTTTGGACCTCAGCAGGCATCCCCCAAAATGCATGTGTTTGTGGGCTGCCCTTGCTCTGCCTCTTGAAAGACAAGTTGATAAAAATAACCTTGTTCTTTTTTTCCTTTTTAAAAACAGACACCCACACTTCGGGAGAAGTCCATTTTGCTAGTAAAAATGATGACCTACATTGAAAAACGTTTTCCAGAGGACCTTGAATTAAATGCCCAGTTCTTAGACCTTGTTAACTATGTCTATAGGTAAATTATGGCAATTAATCAACTGGTTCAGCTTACTGGTTCATAATTTGTGCCATGTGTGACCTTAATAACATACCATCCATCTTTTGAAGCTAGTGAGTATGGGGGGAGGGGTCGGTAAAATAATAGTCTTTTTCTCCAAGATTTCAATGAGTGTATTTTCATGTTTTTCCCTATTCAAATTCTAAATCAGTCTGCATCTGTTTTCCAAGTGAAAGGGACTTATGGGGTGGCACTCCTCATGCACCCTCATTTTCTTCTCTCTTTTTTAAAGTTTACTTAGCTGAAAAGACAACTTTTTAATAATATGTACAGAAGTATTAGATACCCAGCTTAGCCACACTCTTCTCCACGCTGCATATATGTAATTATCATTAAATATCAAATAGGTGAAGTGCGTTAAATGGGATGTTTTGTGCTAGGTTCACACCCATCGTTTAAAGAATAACAAAGCAAGAATTTATATAAATTTTTACACTGTAATTCTTTTTCCAGTACTTGGTAAAAGGTTTTCATTCCTCCATAAATGTGGTCTCCTTTGGTTTACCATCTGTCAGCCTGACCTGCCTCACTGATTTTCTCTAATTGTGCAGTTTGACCAACTTGAAAAAACAATTCTTTACATGTGATCGGTTTTGTAATTTTCCAGTTTTTGGCAATATTCATTTTTGCTGCCAGTAACAGCACATATAGCATCGACTGATGGAATAATATTCATTGCATCATTTCCTGTGTGGTGATAACTGCCAACATTATGCAGAAGTACCATAAATAATAGTGGGATTTCAGGAGTTTGGAATCTCTCGTTAAATTGGTATTCCTCTATAATTATTAGCTCAATTTCTTTTTTTTTCTCAATATAATCCATTAAAAACCTAATTGCTATTTGACAAATATTTGGTGGGTCACTTTCCCGGCCTTGCTGTATTTTATGCATGCAAAACATGTATAACTCACGGTTAAGAACCTTCCATTACTCTGCTAACTGTGCTTGCCAACTTGGTGCCTCCCAGCTGAGAGCCTGCATCACCACAGCATCGCTCTGGATTTTCCTACTGGAAGCCAGAAACTGAAGTCGCTTTGGTGTGGCTTTTATAGTGGGAGAAGCTGTGGACCTGTAAACACTGCTTCAAAATCAGAAGGAAGTGATAGTTCCATCCTAAAACTGCAAACTGATCAGTCCTCTGCTGGACGCTTGTGTCTCGTTCCAAACACTCTGTATTTTTGAATTCAGAGAAAGTGGAATGAGTTCAGAGAAGGGCAAAAAGATGATCGGAGGACATGAAATTGAGTCCCGCAAGGAAATATTGAAGGAACTGGGCATGTTTAGCTTTGAGAAGAGAAGGCTGGGCCACGGTGTACTTCTCAAGCAGCGAAAGAGTCCTCATAGAAGAGAGCCATCACCTGTTGTGTTTTAGCCAAGATTGTAGGACACACAACAACCGCCTTTGATTGCAGCGGGGGAGATTTTCGTCGAATGCTAGAAAACGGCACCCTAACATCTCATCCTGGGGTTTGCATTGCTTTGTTCCTCTGCTTTGGTTACCCCAAACCATTTCTGCTTTCCCTAAATGTACCTTTTCCCCCGTAGGGATGAAAACCTTTCAGGTAGTGAGCTGACAGCCAAACTCGAGCCAGCTTTCCTTTCAGGACTCCGCTGCGCTCAGCCGCTTATCAGAGCCAAGTTTTTCGAGGTGTTCGACAACTCTATGAAGCGGCGGGTTTACGAACGCCTCCTGTACATCACCTGTTCACAAAACTGGGAAGCGATGGGCAACCACTTTTGGATCAAGCAGTGCATTGAGGTAGGAAGATGTGTGATCAGACATTTTACAGTCTTTTTAAGACTTCAAAAAAAAAAAAATTCTTGCGTCCTGTGTGTTGAGTGGGTTGTCTGATTCAGGGGTCCCCAACAGGTGAGCGCATTAAAATGTGAGGAACTGTGATGTAGGCACCGCCAAAAGATGGCTGTCCTGGGGGATTTGGCTCGTCACATCAAGGCTGCTGTGGGGGCCTGGCGAGTCAAAGGAGGTGGTGGAGGGAAATAATAATAATAATAATAATAATAATAATAATAATAATAATAATAATAATAATTAGAACATTTCTATGCTGCCCCTTGCCGAAGCCTCGGGTTAACAAGAAATAACAAGGACGGCTGTTGGGAGGGAAGGTGAGAGAGCGGGGAGAAAGAGCAAGGCTAGCGGTTAGAAAGGGAGAGAAAGAAGATTGCCCTAACGGGTAAAATAATTTTAGGGATGGGAGGGCAAAGCTTCATGGGTGACAGTGGAGGTCCCTGGGGATGCTGCGGAGACCGTGAGCACTGCACTGGGAACCCATGATGTGACCTCCTGAATTCTTTGCCAGGTTTCATTAACAGTGAAGACTGAACTGTGGACCCTCCAGTCCCTTTCTCACGGGTGACTGAGGGGCTGTCTTCATCTGTGTTCTCTGTGTTTCATGTAGTCATGCCATGCCCTTTATTTTGATGTTACTGGGACTTTTGGTCTGTCTGTAGCTGGGTTTGCACACAGTACCTTTCCCATGGTTGTTAAATCCTGGGTTGTCATACCGTGCAAACACATTGTTCATTTACCAGGAACAACCTGGAGGAGAACCTGTGGTTTGTTGTTGGGTTGTTGAACTCTGGGTTGTTTAAACCATTGGTTGTCCTAACATCCAAATCCAGAACCGTGAGTGGTATTCTAGGTTATTTGGCACACCCTCCTGGTGGAGGGCAGGAGCAGTTAAAAAATCCAGCCAGTGTAACATACCAGTACAAAATTTGAGATGCAGGAAGCGAGCAGGTGAACCAGGAGGGAAACAGCTTGGAGGTTGAGAAAACAAACCATGGTTTATTTTCTTGTCTGCCAGACAAACCACAGGCTATGGGTTAATTCTTGGTTAACGTTCTCTTCAAAACTGGTCTTGTAGCATCCCCCTCTTTGATTAATTTTTGGAAAATTGCTCAGTAGGACCATTTCTGTGTGATTCCTCCCTTTTAAGAGAAGTCTTGTTTGGCACATGGTGGCAGCGGCGATGGGGGCGGCTCATGGTGAATTTTGCCAAACAAACAAGAAAATAATCCAAAGACAGGTTGAATATATTTGTGTGTAATTTATATGGGGCATAAATACTCATGGAGTGACATATCAAAGGAAAAGTTTCATCGGTGCAGAATTTATTTTCTGTTGGATTTGATACTTTTAGAATACCACTGCCGCTTGAAATATCCTTCCTGTACCCATTTCCAAAGAGTGAAATTGTGCATATCTGCAGCAACGAGAAGTGGTTTTGTCTCGGCGTTTAGCATCGACTTCCATAAACAACAGTTAATGACCCCTTTTGGCACTGAACTTAGGTGGGCCATGCAGGTGGGGTGTGCAGCCCCCACATCAAGAGGGGTATCGGTGCATCTGGGGGAACCCTGAGCTGGGGGGAGGTTTTTGAAGGAGCAGGCAACCCCTGCATGTGCACACTTGGGAAACAAAGCTGTGATGTTGTGTGTCCTGTGGGGCAAAGGGGGAGTGCTGGAGGAGTGGAATGCTTAAAAAGACCATGGGGGAAGAGGTGCTGAGATGCACGGAGAACTCCAACACATCAGCACGTGTGGGACGCCGCGTGATATTTAGCTGCGTGTCTCCCTTGCCTTCTTCCTGCTCCTGAAATGCACTGCAGGGGCGCTGTATGTGCTGCACTAAACAGGGAAATGTTGACAAATTAACATGGTTCCGGCATGTGCTACAAAAACGCAGCGAAACCAGCGAAAAGTGGCAGTCACCTGCTGATCGCTGCCATTGTTCCCGATCGTAACTTCCAGAATCTTGGCATTATTTAGGTGCATGCTGGATTTTCCTTGTTCTCCTGTGGTTGTTGACAACCTCCAGGTTTCATAAATTTCCTGTATCACATGCCTTTATGTTGGAACAGTGGAGGATAAATCACGTTAATAAGCCAGAAGCTTAAAGCTAACAGGCATACAAAGCACTTCCTGATTGAAGATAAAATAAGGTGGATGCAATACATAACCTATATGCTTGCTTTGTGAATACTAAACAATTATTTAAGCACTAAATGAGGAAGCCAAATGGGAAGCAATTGCTTTTATGTATTAAACTACCCCCTACCCCTCTGAATAATCAGCGTTCATATCCCCGGAGGCGGTATAGCTAGGCCTGGAAAGGCATTTGCCTTTTGAACCTTTAATCCCAAAATGTGTTGGGTTTTTAAAATGGCACTTTCACTTCACTTATGTGGAGGAACTTAGGTACAAACCCTGTCTATGCTTTTCCTCCTCCTGGCTGTGAAGAAGAGACTAGAATTATTAATATTCATTCTCTTTATACTCTTTCCAACTCTAGGATTGTATGGTTTGTGCTTTTCTTCCTGCAATGAACCTAATGTGGTTCCCATAACTCAGTTCTTCATTTTATCCTCACAAAATAAATCCTACAGAAAACGTGTCCATTAGGTTAGGTTAAGTATTAAACATTCCATTTTTAGGACAAGGTTGCCGAGTCTGACCTGGAAGGGAACTTGGGTTAGTTTCAAGTATGTTTATTCAAACTGTGGTTTTTGATCCTGGCTTGTTCACTAACCACACATTAATGTAATCAGGGTTTCCTGACTTGAGATGCTCCGATTAGTTCAAAAATGGGTGAGAGGCTTCCAGTCTTTGTGCAGTCCTGCCAGGAGGAGGAGAGGGAGAGTGTGTGAGCTCCAGGTCCTTTGCAAACCATTGTTTGCACCTGTGCACGGATGCCCGCAGCTGCCCTCTGCATCAGGTGCAGACCCAGGGGAGCTCACCTGTGTTGTAGGGCAGAATTTCTGTGGGGCAAGTTCTGCTTAAACCGTGTGGCCCAGGGAAGGTCAAATTCATCTTGGGAATGTCGACCTCCCTGGTGAGCATGGTGCCAGGGAAGATAGCAGGACTCCTGTGAGCTCCAGTGCACACCTTTCTTGATCCCCATTGGGATGTGCTACCCTTGCACAAGGGACAGAAAAGGACTTACCTGTCTATGAAAAAGGTTTCTGTTTGCAGTGAAAATTCTGGGTTCAGAGAACTCATTCCAGTGTGTTGGGGCTTAGGTCTCCCCCTGCCTTGGAACAAACGACTCTGTCTTGCAATGGGCTGGTGCACATGTTCCGAATGAGCTATCAAGGCTTAAAGAGAAGGTGAAATTGGGGTTCCAACATAAAAAGGAAGGAAGGAAGGAAGGAAGGAAGGGTGGGTGGGTGGGTGGGTGGGTTGACGGAGGGTTGACTCCCCCTCCAAAAAGCCAGGCCACCCAGCTTGGGACAATGCAATGGTATAAGTAAATAGTCTTTTCTAATTCTGCATTAAAAAAAGTTTGTTCAGAAAAATTACTGTGTAAGCTGCCTGTCACTTAGCCATCGTTACGCATGGATCCTCTTTCCTTCCCTGTGTGTGTGTGTGTGTGTGTGTATTTAGTCCAGGTTTATGAACCGGTGCAAGGTCTAGTTAGTCTAGTCTAGTCTAGCCTAGTTAGGTCTAGTGCAAGATCTGGTTAGTGTTGCTACGGATGCGGAACCCTAGCTAACGTGGACAAGCGTACCGGTCGTAGGAAGCAGACAGCTTGCAAATGATCTGTTTAAATATTCGTAGCTCCTGTTGGCTGTGTGTGAGAGGAACACTACAATCGGGACCAGTTGTCAAGGCGCTATGCTTCCCTCCATCACGAACGTTATCAACCTGGCCGACAGCCATGACCGGGCTGCTTTTGCTATGGTGACCCACGTCAAGCAGGAGCCTCGCGAGAGAGAAAACAGCGAATCCAAGGAGGAGGTGATTGCTGCTTTCATAGCCGATGATACCTTTTGCTCGCATTCGGCAATGTTCTCGACTGGTTTGCTCAGTAATGCCTGCTCTGAAGGGCAGTGGATCTGTAGCACTTCAGCCATGGGCTTTCCTGGCTCTGATGCTGGAATCACTGGGGTGGAGGACTGGAGCTGGTACCGTTTCCTTGCACCAGGATATGGTTTTCCCATAGCTTTGTGTCTGGGCCCACTTGCGCTTAGAGCAAAACTAATGTCTCCAGGTGAGCCTTCCTCAGCTTTTTCTCCTCAAATGTTGCTGGGCTACAGTTCCCATTGTCCTTTACCAACATGGCCAACGGGATGATGCGCGTTGCAGTTCAGTATCGAGGGACCTTGTTACAAACCTCTAGGATTTTCTTAATGTGCCTGCCAAGTTTCAGGTCTCTAGGTTTTGACACTGCCCTCTTCTGTGTTTGTAAATAAACTTGCTTGTCCCCTGCCCGCTTTTTTTTTTAAGGATGTGGAGATAGATATTGAATTGGCTCCAGGTGATCAGACTAGTACACCCAAAACCAAAGAGCTTTCTGAAAAGGACATTGGCAATCAGTTGCACATATTAACGAACCGGCATGATAAATTTCTTGACTCTCTACGAGAAGTAAAGGTGAGTGTGTAAATGCTGTTCTTATGTTTCATGTACAAACATGAGTGTACAGAAACCTTTTTAAGAATGTCTGTGCTAGTCATCAGTGATATGGGTTTTCTGGAAAAATTGGACTGGGAAGCTTTTCTGGAAAATTAAGTTAATTTGCATAGGGTAATTTGCCTGCTTATATTTCCAGTTTGCACCAAACATTTCTGATTCCTAGAGACAGCTCTCATTTAGCATGTTTATTTTACTTACATTTAGAAACAGCAAAGCTTAAAAGCACTCCAAGTTGATTTTTTTGTCCCAGTGCAACATGAATATATGACCTGACATATTTGAGAGAGAAAATTGAAGTGCATTAAATCTGATTAAAATGTTAAATTATGCAGAACGTTTTGTTTCAATATTTGTAAAAATGGAAAGACAATAATATGTACTTCCTTTACGTTGTTTACATTTAAGAAAACAAATGAAAGTACTGAAGGCTGTTGACACAGTAATTCATTTCAGCAGCTCAAAGAAATCTGCACAGTACGCTGGCACTCATCTATTTCATTAGAGTTCAACCATCTCGGACAAAGATTGTAGGGTTGGCTACAATTTTGCTGTCACTATTTATTAGTTCCATTTCATTTTGAGACTTAACATGTTGCTCATACATGTGTGCAAAGGATAATCACCTGCACTGTTCAGTTTTGAAACTGCTAAGCATTCCCAGTATTGTATTTTCAAATGGCATAGATGCATTTTTACTCATAAACTTATGAAATGGAAAAAAGTCTCTGGAAAAAGAACCAGAGCACTTTCTGCCCAATATCCCGACTGCTCGTATTGTTACCCTTTCTGTGCAGAGTTCAATGCACCACGGCCCGTTGATTTAAGACGGGGCCACAGTCCTGGACAGCATTGATACACAGTTGAATGAAGAGCATTTTACATTGGTTCAAGACAATCTTCTCCCTTCACTGTCTCCTGTCTTCTATAATCTTCTCTCTTATTGTTCTTCTGCCATTTATTCTCTTACCAAGTCTGAAAAAGCAACGGAATAGCTTTCTTTTATATGAAACTACTGCTGTATATTAGTTTCTTTTACCAGTCTTTTCTATCAGTTTTCTAGTTCTGACTCTCCTGACTCAGACATCGCAACCCAGAGTCTTTTAAAATCTTGTAGTAAAAGGGAACAAGCTTGCTGGCTTCTGCAGCAAGAGCGAGGAGCTAAACAAACCAGGCATGTTCTTACCCTGGGTTGTTAAACATGGCATGCAAACTAGGAATGCTGCATTGTTGGTGAAGAGACAACCCAGAGTTGTTCCTTACCCAACAATCTGGAAATCCCACCTTAACCCAAGGTGCCCCTAGGTTATTCATCACCAGTGCGGGAAACAGCATGCTCATTTATGGTAGTTTGATTTGAACAACCCACTTAAAAAAAGAATCCTTGGTCGTTGTGACGTCTGAACTGGGTCACGGCACAACGTGGGTTGCTGATCTCTCGTTTCCATGGTGTAATTCTGGGGGGGCGGGCGAGGTGGGAGCTCCTTCATCACTCCGTGTGCCTAACCAGGCTTTTTCCTCTCCAGACTGGAGCGCTGCTGAGTGCCTTTGTGCAGCTGTGCCATATTTCCACGCCCTTAGCTGAAAAGACTTGGATCCAGCTGTTCTCCAGAGTGTGGAAAATCTTATCTGATAGGCAGCAACATGTGAGTGTGAAAAATCAGAAACGCCGTTTTAGCCGCGCTGTGAAACTTCTGAAACATTTTGCTTTAGGGGAAATGATTGCAGATGGGGAAAGGGGGGGAGTTGGGAATAAAGAGCGTTCTAGGGCAGTCAGTCAGAGGAGTCTTTTTCGTTTGCCTGTGCTTTAATCTACTGTCCAATCTCCCTCAATGAGCATATGCAGATAGAACAGTAGCCCAGAAGGGGGAACAAAGACCTTCTGCCTCCTTTCCAGTCTGGTACCCTTGATATGCTTCGAACTTCAGCTTCCACCATCCCCACCCATGGTGGCCAGTGGGAAGGAATCGTGGGGTTTGCAATTCGAAACCTCTGGAAGGCACCAGGCTGGCACTTGGGATGGTTTAGATCTGAAGCACTTCACTGCAAGCACTTGGAAGAGGCATTCCCACCTGCAGCGTCCTTGAAAGCAAGCCAACTAAAGTTCACTCATCGGCCTAACCTACCTCACAGGGTTGTTTTGCGGATAAAAGGGAGAGGAGGGGGAACAGTGATGCCACTTGGACTCCGGCATTTAACAAATATTATTTCACAGATGGGCAGTACTCTTTTGGTATCACTGTTTGGAGCACTCGCTCATCAGTAGACGCAGTGTGTTAGCCTTTGCCAGCCTGTCCCCCTACCCCATTGCAACTCCCATTCGCCACCCTGGCTTGGAGTTATCTCTGGATAGCACCTCTGGATGGTGTGAGCTTGGGGACATGCAGCTGTGTGATAATTGTGCAGTCTTGGAATTACTGGGTGCTCTAACATGAAAGCCAGTATGATCCCCCCTCTCTTTCTCTTTCTCTTTCTCTTTCTCTTTCTCTTTCTCTTTCTCTTTCTCTCTCTCTCTCTCTCTCTCTCTCTCTCTCTCTCTCTCTCAATCTCAATCTCAATCTCAATCTCAATCTCAATCTCAATCTCAATCTCAATCTCAATCTCAATCTCAATCTCAATCTCAATCTCAATCTCTCCCCCTTCCCCTCTTTCCCCCTTCCCTCCCTCTCCCCCTCCCCACCCTTTTCTTCCATTATCCAGGCCCTCGCTGGGGAGATCAGCCCGTTCCTGTGCAGCGGCAGCCATCAGGTGCAGCGCGACTGCCAGCCGAGCGCGCTGAACTGCTTCGTGGAGGCCATGTCGCAGTGCGTCCCCCCCATCCCCATCAGGCCGTGTGTACTCAAGTACCTGGGCAAGACTCACAACCTCTGGTTCCGCTCCACTCTGATGCTGGAGCACCAAGCCTTTGAGAAAGGGCTGAGTCTCCAGATCAAGCCGAAGCAAACCACGGAGTTTTACGAGCAGGAAAACATCACCCCGCCTCAACAGGTAGGGCGCGGCATCGGGGTCTTGCGTCGCTCCAGAAGGCCCGGGAATGAGTGTGGGCGCAGCCGCTTTTCCTTTTGCCGCCTAAGGAAATGTCCCACTCAGATCCATATGGGTTGCTGCATTAATCCGAACACAACGCGGAAGCTGGCCATGAAGGAAGTGGCCTTGCCCACACAGTAATCCATGGTTTATTCCAACAGCGATTTCGTGCCCCACCCAGAATTCCTCTCAGCGAAACGCCGTTTGTTTTCTCAATCTGTGGGTCATTCCCCTTTTCCTTCACTTGTTTTTTCCCCTGAATCCCAGGTGCATCTGCAAAGGCTTCGTTTTGCCATGTAGGGATACTGCGTGTGTGTGTGTGTGTGTGTTTGTTTTTAATTATCGTCATTGCTCTTCCCGGCTGCCTCTGTATCCTGTTCTAACAACCTGTGCGTTCTGGGTTCCCATGTGATGGCAACCCATATATTTTGAATTTGGCTATATGGCAGCTTCATAGATTTTGAATTTCGTCTCCCAGGAGCCGCTGCCAACGGGGCTAATGGTTGTCTGCTTCTCAGAAAAGCACATTCTGGAGCCTAAAATAAAAGTAACTAGCCCCCGAACCCAAGCGCCAGATTGAGGTGGAGTCTGTGTGCAAAAACGCAAATTCACCCTCGGCACCCAGGCCTTTCCCCATTTTTTGCATGACAAACTGCAGGGGCTCAGACACTTGGCCAGGAAATTGACTACAAGGCAAACTTCCATGCTGAGACAGAACTGCTGAATCACATATTTGCCCCTCCAAAACAGAACCTGTTTCCCCAGAAAGCAGATTTGGCGGTGTTCAGAAACAGAACCATGCAAAATACCTAATTCCCTCCAACCCCTTCTCTCAGGCTGCATGCACTTTCGGAGCACCGAGTGAGGAGTTGGAGAGCATTTTGGGACCACGGAGACCATATCGGAGACCCCAGACCTGCTGCTTTTTACTGTTTAAATAAACCTTTTTATTTAAACATTATTTTAAACTTCAATAGTTTTCTTAGTTTAGTCGCTTTGTTCGGTTTATTGTTTTGTTCTGTTTTATTTTGATATTGTTGTTTAATTGTCCTTTTGAAATTTGTAAGCTGTCCTGAGATCTTGTATAATAGGATGGCATACAAAAGCTTTTAATAAAATACATACATACATACATACATACATACTTGAAGATCAGAGAAAGTCTTCTTCATAACAGAGAGCAATGACAAGCCATCAGCTCAGTGCTATAGGAGCAGCTCTGAAACTCCCCCACCCCTGCTTTTTTTTTGCCTTTTCTCTTCCCTCCAAGGAAATCCTTGATTCACTTGCTGAGCTGTACTCTTTGCTACAAGAAGAGGACATGTGGGCAGGATTGTGGCAGAAGCGTTGTAAATTTCCGGAGACAGCAACCGCTATTGCCTACGAGCAGCACGGCTTCTTCGAGCAGGTAATATATCAGGTTAAAAACTGACCATATAAATATGGTGAGCTCACAGAGCTGGCTCTTTTTTTGGTATCAGAAGCTTATAAAAAAACTTTCTTGTCTCGAAGAACAGGGCCGGTGCTTGTGACCTTGAGCAGAATAGCTTACAGGCAGGACTGTGCCAGAACAGTGCATCAGCAAATTTAATTAAAGGCTTTTTCCCAAGCTTAGGTGCTCAGGAGAGACCAGCAGGATTATGTCTGCTGTGTTGGCGTATCTAACATTCTCAGTATCGCTTTTTTTCTTGGTAGCTAAAGCCTGTTTCTCAGACAGCTGCAATGTTTGAACACCGATCTAAGTAGATCACTGTGTGATATTTAACCACCAGTGAAGCATAATGCATGAACCTGGCCTGAAGTTATCAGCCCTTCCGAGTGATCAGTATCAGGGTCTGGGAATAAAATGCTTACATTTATAGCTTGGAATTGAGAACAGGTTCAGTTTTAAAGATTAAAAAATAGGATGGTACCACAAACAGGAGGAAGAAAGAGGGAAGAACTCCAGATGCCAAAATAAGATTTATTTGTATTCCCAGAGCACTTTGGAAATCATTCTACATGATTCACCTGGACTCCTAGCAATAAGTGGTGATGGTGGGGGATATATGAGAATTTTGTTTGTTTGCAAGGCCCTTGAAATTGCTTCGTTCACAACCTCATGTAAGTGTGTGCGCGTTTTCCATAAATTCCCCATGCTTGCATTGGAACTTGAAAAGCGCACACTCCAAACCCACTCTAACATGCTCATTTTTTAAAAGTCCACATTTCAAAAAATGATATTCATGCTTTTTCATTGGAGGAAAAGTGTACACTTTTGAAAAATGCACACTTTCCCCCATTCAGGCAGGCAGAAAAAACAAGTCCCAGAAGAAGCAGAGAGCAAACCAAACTGAGGTTTGAAATAAAGTGTGGAGGATTCCAGCAAGCTGAAGAGGGCTCCGTTTGCCTGTGCATGGCTCTGGCCTGGGGATCGGTGCCCGAGCATCTTTAGAGCGCATGTCTCCCCGGTGCCTCCTGTGAGAGAATATATGCCCTTAATTTCTTCCAGGCTCAGGAAACCTATGAAAAAGCAATGGAGAAGGCCAAGAAAGAACACGAGAGAAGCAGTGCCTCACCTGCCATTTTCCCTGAGTATCAGCTGTGGGAGGACCACTGGATTCGGTAAGTCAATTAAATCGGTTCAGGTCCAGGCTCAGAGGCTGTTACACAAAATGAGTGAGCTCACGTCTTCAGAGGTGAAGGCTTTGGAGGCTGAACTGCGGGTTCAGAAAATATCAGGGGATGGGGAAATCCCATGGCGCTCCCTGTTGGTTCACTTATACCTCCAGCTCTTCAGTGGTGTAATTTGTTGTTCAGCTGGACCTCAGTAGAGAGAGATGATTCCAGCTTACAGGGAAGCAATTTAGCCTTGACCTTGCCATTAAGCCTCTTTTTAAATGTGGTGCTTAGTGAATGTTCTCACAGTGATGACGACGAAGCAAAGGAAAGCTAAGTATTTAAAATAAAATCAAGCCTCCAAAATGGCGTGGGGGGAGCATGGGAGTGCTGATGGTAAAGTATGATCCATTGCCTTTAAAGGGTATTGGAGGAACTTTCTCAAAGGCATCTGGGTACAGCTGCTAGCATTCCTGTAGTGCAGGGGTGAGGAACCTGAGTCCTGGGGACCAAAGTTGGCCTTCCCGAGTTCCTGACCTTCCGGAGTTCACCTGGGATCCTGTGTCCAATTCTGGGCACCAAGATTGGAGAAAGATGTAGGTAAATTTAGAAAGGGTCCAGCGGAAGGCAACGAAAATGACCCAGGGTTTGGAAATGCTGTCCTGTGCGGAGAGACTGAGGGAACTGGGCATGTTCAGCCTTGAGAAGAGAAGACTGAGGGGGGACATGATACCCCTCTATAAGTACCTCAAAGGCTGTCACAAAGAGGAAGGTCCAGATCTCGCTGATGCCAGAGTGTGGGACACGGAAGAACCAATTCAAGTTGTGACAACCCAGATTCAGGCTGGACATCGGGAAGAGCTTCCTCACTGTCAGAGCAAAACGGCAGTGGGACCAGTTGCTTAGAATTGGACACTAGAGACATCCAAAAGAAACTGGACAGCCCTCTGAGTGGGATGGTGTACTGTGGTGTCCTGCAACAGCAGGGGCTTGGACTCGATGGCCTTCATGGCCCCTTCCGACTATGATTCTATGGCTGTACTTTTTCCTCCACCCACCCATGGTCCACTGCCATGCTGAACCATCAAAACACTGCTCTTAAGGTTTGCAAATTACTCTGCACCAACCCATTGGCTTGACATTGCACTTTCGTTTGCAAGGTGCTCCAAAGAGTTGAACCAGTGGGAAGCGTTGACGGAGTATGGCCAGTCGAAGGGCCACATCAACCCCTACCTCGTGCTGGAGTGTGCATGGCGCGTCTCCAACTGGACTGCCATGAAGGAGGCGCTGGTGCAGGTGGGTGCCCTTCCCCCTTGCCTTGAAGAATCCGGTCTCACCTTTGCAGGTGCAGCTGTTGGAAGGCATCAGCAAAAGCCCCCTCTGCTTTTGGGGGACTATTTGTGGTGCAGCAAGCAGGTGGCATTTCTGGCAACTTGAAACTCGTTTTCTGTATAGGGGATGCTCTGATTTTTGGCAGGGGGACTCCTTCAAGGGAAGAAAATGCTGATTGGAGCATCCAGCGGTGTAACGCAGACAAATGACTCTGCTGCTGAGCATTGTTGTTCGGTGTCTGGGGAGGGGTCCTAGCAGAGGAGCGGAAAAGGAAGGGCATTGAAGTGTAGCTCTTTATGCACTGTGTTCTCCGGTTCTCAGGAATCATCGCTCCGTGGACTGGACTGCAGAGACTAACTCTAGTTTCCTTGGCCTCCATGCAGGCACAACATGCTACCGAATGGCCTATATTTGAGGTGCTTGGCACTGCCCTGAACTTCACAGTCCTACTAATGGGAAAATTCAACACATTGTCTCTGTTATAAGCACATTAGAATGAGTGAAAGCACGCTAGCACACCAAGCTTTATTTGGGGTGATCTCTTAACCGGCTTTGAGGTTGTGCCCCCAGACTCCAGATGGTCCCTGGGAAATTTATTTTGCTTTCTCCGTTTATGCTGTCAGTGTCCTGATTATTTCCCAGGAAGCTAAGGTAGGATTGCTTAGAGGAGTATACCTTTCCTTTCTCAACTATTCGCCTGTGCTCCCTTTTGGAGCACAACTCACCAGGTTCAACCAGGGTTCTCCGTGGCATCGGCATTTATGTGAACTGAGCTAGCCAGGGTTCCATTTAACCCCAGACTGGGAAGCAGCCTCACACCCTGACTTCAGGCCCTGGGTTAAGCAAGACGGCACCACTGCCGTTTCTCCAGCCACCCATGGTGAGTCCTGCCGGAGCAGTCTAAGCTCCTGAAGGGGGAGCCTGCAGATGCGGAATCAGTGCACAGGGTGACTGTGGTGTTAGTAGCAGTGAGAGGAGGAGAAAGCAGACTTTCCGTTTTATGATCGGTCATATGTCCCTGCCATACTGGTGGCCTCTTCTCTGCTCTTTCCGGGTCCAGAATTTGTGCAGCAGAGAAAATGCTGCCGTGACCTCTGGACCTTCTCTTCCTTATCTGCTGTTTTCTTTCTTAAAACCAGCTTTGGGAAGGGAAGCACAGTGCATTCCCTATGGCTGATCTCTCCTTCCTTCCCTTCCCTCCCCTCTATATCTATATTTCTATATCTCTGTGTGTGTATGAATGTGGATGGCATACATTCATCCACAAGTTATAAATCCAAGTTACAACTACATTAGTGATGTCTCACCCACCGCTTTGTTCCCGCGCAAGGTGCCCTGCGTTAGTCCTTCATGGTGCTGCCTTGCAGAACTTGAGTAGCAGAGCTTGGCAACTGAAAGGACAAGAAATCAATAATACGCACTTGAGGTTTTAGTTCACAAATGGCAAAGGTGGAATGACTTGGGCTGCTCATCGGTCAATGATCTCGGACAAAAAAAAAAAAAAGGCTAACTGGTCCTCTGACAATTAATATGCAACAGGCAGTATTACAGGTAAACAGGTGATGCACCTGTTTCTCTTTGTTTAGACTCATGTGGTGGCATATTAGAACCTTTTGCCGGTGGGTTTTTTAAAGCCCTGCCCTGCCATTTAATAGAGTGAATAAAAGCGATATAATCTGGGTGTCAAGAAAACATGTGAAAACCTTGTCTAAAAATGCACTTTGGAATAATTCTAGTACTACATGTGACTCTTACTGAAGCATGCAAATGTTGCAGTGGAGCCATGTTTTTGCCCCATTTTATTTAAAATCCGTTTTAGGCAACATTCCCCTTTCCCATTTTAGAATAATGAGGGCTCAGTGGGATGCCCAAATTGAGCTGTATTTTATTTTCAGACCAGAATTGGAAACCCAGTTTGGGGGTTTGGATACTATGACACATCATAAGCACTAAATGGCCAGTAAAAATCTCAGTAGAAGGGTGGTGGTAAATGGTTATTTCCAAAGCAGGCTGGGAGAGAATAAATACTCATGTAAGATGCGAGATGTCATTGGGGTACTCTGGATAACTGGAGGTGATTGTATTTAATCAGAATGCAGCATTCATTGAGCCTGTTCCAAGCCAAGCCCTATAAATGTCTTGTTAGAGGACTAACTGCAAGACATTCTGTGGCAATTTCTTAAGTGTGGACCTGTGAGATTGCATTGGACTAGTTCTGCTGTCAGTATTGTCTTTATTGTTTAATTTTGCCATTTTATATATTCTACCTACGTGAATTATATTTTAAACTTTTGTATATTTCCATTAATGTTTCAACAGAATAGATTTTTAATGTTGCAAGCCATCTTGAGTCCCAATAATGGGAATATGCAGAATATAAGTATACATATAATAATTAAGGTCAACATAAAATGATAAGCAATATAAATATCAAAGGTCAGGCATTATCGATGGAATCTACACATGCAAACACCAAGGTCAAGGTTATTTGTACTTTTAGTGTAGGTTAAAAGTACTGAAGGACAATTTTGGAAATACTGTATATTTGTTGAAGAAAAAAGTTGATCTTAAATAGATAGTCTGGGTGTCTCATTCACCTGTAACTAGAGTAATGGCAATCAACGCATCCCGAAAAGGATTGCTTTGAGAATTAAAGGGACTGCTTGTCTTTAAAGAGAAGCCCAAAACTTTGAGTTTGTTATTATGTAAATGTAAACTTTATGCATTTTTAAGAACTAAAGTCTAGTCATCTGGATCCACACCTGTCCCAGTGGAAATACCGTGGATGTTGCAAGTCCGCTCATCTAAAAACCTTACTCTAAAATTTACCAAATGGTGAGGTCCTCCCTTTCACTTCCTGTTCGTCTGGAGAAAAACTGCAGACGAAAACACCGCTTCCCATTCAAGCCAGTCCACTTTTGCATAATTCTGCAGTTGCTCTGTCTTAAGTGCAGTTTGGTGCTGGGTGTGTCTGCGGTGTGCTTTCTGCAGCAGTGCAATAAAATACCAATTGCAGGGTAGAGTTGAAGCCTTGAGTTGCAGCCAAGTGAATTGATCACGTCTGACAGCATCTTCTTGGGAAAGCTTGCAGCCTCAATCGATGTGGCAGCCACCGGTAACTGCAGAGGCACTGGAGCTGGGTTGAAGGAGAGATTTTTTCCTCCTCCTCATGAGGACTTCACTAATAAACAAAAGGGGTGGGGGGTAGTGCAGCTGCAAATTGAGCTGCTCCAATTTTTGTCACGTTTGTGTTTAAAAAAAAAACAGTCCGGAAACCTGTTTTTCAGAGAGGGATTGATGGAGGAATAATTGCCTCTGTGCTTCTTGTACATCTATATTTATGGACTGTCTTTCACTGGAAATATAGTACGCTGGTGTTGCTTAGGGTGATTCCAAGCAGCTTAGATAAAATGCAGTATTTTGGATGGGTTGACTCTTCATCTCTGGAAGAGGCCAGGAACTGGGAGGGTGGGTGCGGGGAGAGAAAGAGAGAAGCAGCGTATTAGCTTTTCCCATGTTGTGGCAAAGCAGTTTTCTTAAATCTCCTGAGCATGTTAAAGTATTAAAAACGGCATGTCCGCTTATAGAGCACCAGATGTGTTTAGATTTGCTCAGACTGCCACTGTGTTCAGAGATCCTGCCAATAACGTAATAAAGGGAGGATTTGCTTCACCCAAGGAAATAAGGTTAATACATTATTCTTTATTGGCCTAGGCATAAAAGCAGCATCTTAAAATTTAACATCCATTATGTGAACAGACAGCTATAAATGGGCATTGCTTTCATCCCTTGCTAGATGCTCTTGGTCAGAATGTGAAAAGAATCCACCTTTGCCTTTTTTTTAGGGTAAGTCTGGACTGAGTTCCAAGAACAGTCAGAGACAAATTCTTGGGCTCTTTCTCTCTGTGTGTCTGTGTGTGTGCAGGGATGAAACCCTTTGTGCTAAGACATTCCCAAACGGAGACTCAGATGTTACAGGTTTAAACCTTGACCTGTCATCCTGTAGCCTATTTTAACCAGTGCAAGAGGAATCGCCAGGAAGGGTTAGGATGAATCCATCCCTCTAGAATCTGCCGACTGCTGGCTGTGCTCAGCCTAGAAACAAGTCAGGTTAAGAGGGAGTCTGTGAACGCTCACGGACACCCAGTTGCGCAACTGGTAATCTTCCCCAGCTCCCATCCCTCACAGTCCACCTTCTTCCTCACTTGCTACCACTGGCTCAACCAGAGCGTTAGAGCAAGTTCGTCCCTACCTGTTGGCTTGTAATCTGAAAAGACACGACACACGAGCGAAAAAAGCAGTGGAGAAGAGAAGACAGGGGACGTTAGTTCTTTTAGCCTGGCTGGTAAACTGGTCCAGCCCTCGCTCTCAAGGACCACCCTCCGCTATTTGAGCGTTCCTGTATTTAAGGTTTGCGCCGGAGGCCATATGCACTGGCCTGCCTGTAAGACCAACTCAATGGGCAGGCATGAGGGACTTTGTATCCTCCTGTTCCGGGATGGGCATGTGGCCCTGCCCAGTTGCAATATTTAAAACATTTGAATTTTGAATTTGCCATGGCTCTGGAAATGGTTTTCCTAATGGTTGACTGATAATTTCAATGCAGGTGTGTTTGTTTAAATTTTAACATAATACTGTACCTGTATGCTTGTATTTTATTTGCTGCCTTGGCTGGGTCATAAAGATGGCTTATAAATACTGAAATGCGTCGGCAAAATGGTAAATAGAGCATCCAGGTTGGACCACCTTTTATTTTAGGTTAAGCTTGCTCAGGATGCATTTAGCAATACTTACATGATTGTTCTTTAGTTTGGAAAGGCAGTAGACAATGGCAGGAAATTAAGGGGTTTTTTCTGGTACCCATGGTTTGCTTAGTGAAACTCTGTCAAGTGCCTTTGCCTGTTTTAATGCCCGAGTGAACCTGCCCCACACATCTTGATTTTGGTGGGGTTGATAAAGCAGAATCGGACACATTGAATCAGGCATGCAAAGTAAAGTTGAGGCCCATTATGAGTGAGTTCCAAGTCGCAGTAGAGCCAGTTGCACCACGGAGTCTAGACCGACCTTCCAAACTAGGTCCTGAACTCACAGATTTAAGCCATGCTGTGAGTTCTTACCTAGACTTCGTTCAAGCCGTGGTTTCACGCTACCTTCGCACGATGTTTGAATCTTGCCACTCGCTCTCTCTGGGAAACTGGATGTGGAAGCCAGTTGGATGTGGATGTGGAAATTGGATGTGTGTCTCTTAGCTAAAGGTACCGTTTTGTCTCCAGGTGGAGCTGAGCTGCCCCAAAGAGATGGCGTGGAAGGTCAACATGTACCGGGGGTACCTGGCCATCTGCCACCCTGAAGAGCAGCAGCTGAACTTCATTGAGCGACTGGTGGAGATGGCCAGCAGCTTGGCTATTCGGGAATGGCGAAGGCTTCCCCAGGTGGTTTCCCATGTCCACACACCCCTCCTGCAGGTGAGACGAAGGTGCCCTCTGGGTTGCAATCACAACACAAAACCAAACAAAGGGAGCTCGTATGAAATACAGGGGATTCTTCTTCCTCCCGGCACAAGTTGCGGGGGATCTGTTTAGGTTACTTGAAGGACTAAAATGCGGCATCTCTGCATGGCTTTGTTCCTGGTCTCCTCTGCAGCGTTTGAACCATGGTAGGGTAGCAGCTAGTGTTGGACTGGGAATCCAAAGGTCCGGCTCTAGTTCTGCTTGGCCATGAAACTCAGTGGGTGACTTGGGGCGTCCCCCACCGATTGTGTTGTGAGCGTACACCAGAAAGGAGGAGAAGCTGGGAAGCTGTGTTGGGTCCCATGCAAGGAAGGGCATGACTGTAATGCGCAAATCATAGCAATGGTAATGCAGAGGAAGGTTTGGAAGGAAAGTGGCGTTGTGATTTGCCTCATTTGTGGAGGATGATGGGTCTGTTAGCAGCTGTTCATGACGACAGCGAAACAGAATCTGTCTTGCTGTCAGGGCTGGGTATGGCTTCATTTGCTGGATTCCTAAACCATGGTATATCTGACAAGATTTCCAAGTAGTGAACAAAATGCAGAGGAGACAAGAGGGGGGAAATGCAGAATTAAAATGGTTGAAATCAGGTTGCCTTGCCTAAAACCACGGCTGGTCAGGAGACCTGTTAAACTAAGCAGGTCTTGCAGGGGCTGAAAAGAAAGTGACCTCGTTTTCTGCCTGCCACCAAGAGGCAGAAGATTCTGCCAAGAGGAAGCTGGCGGAATTTGCTTGGTGCCTTCTCCCAGCGGGTCAGAGAGTACGGCTGGGAGAGGCTCCTGACCCAAGTAAGCTTTGTTTAGGAAAGACGCAAGCAAGGGGTGCTCAATTGTGCGTAGTGTGGAGAATAGCGGATTGGGAGACCTTTCCCCGCTCCAGTGGAGTCCTCCCACGAAGCTAACTGATGGAGGGAGAGAGAAGGACTTCTGCACAGCTGTTCAGGGGCATGGTGGAATTTGCCAGCACAAGACGGAGTGATTGCCACTTGGGTGGCTTTCAAGCGGGAGTGGACGAATTCCCAGCGAATGAGGCCGCTGCCAGTCCTGATAGCTCAGAATCGGGGCAGTCCACCTCCGCACTCCGGTTGCTGAGGTTTTGGGGTGCAGGGGTGTTTTGCAGTGCTTGTGGGGTTCCTGTGGGCAGCTGGTTGGCTGTTGCGTGCCCAGCATGCTGGGCTGGACGGACCTGCTGAGCTGGACAGGCTGGACGGCCACGAGCGTGGCTCCTGCCTTCTCAGTGAGCTGGCAGAAGTACTCCCTGCCTCTGTACGGCCCCGTTCATGAGGTTCGCTCCGGTTCGCTCCGGTGCCACTTTTGCTCCCCTGCTGTATTTGTCTGGGCATCAAGGAGGGGGCAGGTCAGTAGGTGTGTGAGTGCAGAGTCTGGTAGTTTCCTCTTTCTTTCTCCCCAGCTGCCCCTCTTCCTCAGGCTGCCCCTGCAGTTCACAGACTTGACAACGTATGTTGCTGTTGCTTTTTGCTTGGGTGGGGTCCAATGAACAGGGAGGGGAATGTTTGCCCCTTGTCTGTCCCTGATGGTAATAATTTTTCCCCTTTAAAAGCCTTCAATGGTACCCATATTTTGTTGTTGTTTAGTTGCAAAGTCATGCCCGACCCATCATGATGCCATGGACAACATTCCTCCAGGCTCTCCTGTCCTCCACCCTCCCTCAGAGTACATCCAAGCGCACACCCACCGCCCCAGTGACCCCATCCAGCCACCTCGTCCTCTGCCGTCCCCTTCTCCTTTTGCCCTCAATCGTTCCCAGCATCAGGGTCTTCTCCAGGGAGTCCTTCCTTCTCATTAGGTGGCCAAAGTATTTGACTTTCATCTTCAGTATCTGGCCTTCTAAAGAGCAGTCAGGGTCGATCTCCTCTAGGACTGACCAGTTTGATCTCCTTGCAGTCCAGGGGACTCGCAGGAGTCTTCTCCAGCACCACAATTCAAAGGCCTCAGTTCTTCAGTGCTTAGTCCCCCTTACGGTCCAACATTCACAGCCATACATTGCAACTGGGAAAACCATAGCTTTACCCATATTTTAATGGCATGCAAACACCTCTTTGCCCTCATTACCTCTTGAAGTGGGGTCATGTGTGGAAGAAGTAAAACGAATAGCAAGCGATGTGCCGTTGCTCCATGGTGGGACACAACGCTTGCCTTTCCTTAATGTGTGAAGTGACCTCTCCCCATAACCAAGGGTTGTTTAGCGTAATAGTTTCCTGCACCAAATCCTGTCCCATTGAGTCATGCTTGCTACAGTCCAACTGCTTCTGAGCACATCTCCAGGCCTGTTGAAAGCCTCCGTCTGCATTCTCGTTGTCAAATTGCCAAAATAGGCAGTGAATGACAAAGTTACCAACGCAGCAATGCAGCTACTCAGCAGTAATTACTTTTTCCTATATCAGATAGTGAGTGATTAAATACCTGCTAGAAAATTAAATTTACATGATGAATGGGAGTAGAATGAAGGTGAAGCTATTGTGAGAGCTGATACTGGGGAGATTGCGTGTGGGCGGGGGTGGTGCATATTTCTCTGCTTAATTTATTTTGTTTCCAGAGATCTGTGTGTGAATGTAGACTGGCTTTTGGGTAGGTGGGGGTGAGTGTGAGAGTTATTTTAGCTGATTAATGGCTAATGCAAGCATTTGTCTTTCAAGGAATATCTTCGTGATTGGTTTATATCAGTTTATCCTCTGCAAAGGAATTAAATTCCAGTTTGTCCATCTGGCAGAGCTTTATTTTGGCTCTGGCTTGCTTTATGAGTAGTTGCTTTGTGTTTGAGTTAGGTACATAGTGACTCCGTTCACACACAGTGACAGGAATTCACGGGTTCATTAAGACACGGGGTGGTTGTGAGAAACCGGAGATGTCTTCTGGCCATGAGCTCCCTGGATAAAAAGGTCTTTCGAAGTGGCGGAGAGAGAGATTGCACAAGACTCAAAGTCCACCCTTGGGATCAGAGGGTGGGGAAAAGTGAGTGGAGCCCAGAAGAGGGTGGGCATCTGGGGGACCTGGAAGGAGCAGGGGGGAGGGCGGATTTGGACCTTTGCTTCTTCTTATACTCCAATTACAACTTTTCAGCCTTTAGTGTATATTTAGCACTGCTTAAGCAACATCCATTGGGCTGGCTGGAATTCTCAGCTAATTTGGCATGGCCAGCGGACCCAGAGATATGCCACGCTGTTGTGGGGAACCAGACGATTTCATGTTCTGCCGAAAAATCTAGTGAGCAAGCGGTCGTGGGAGTGGGTGGACCCATCATTAACCCAATCATACGGCATCTCGTGAAGAGGGTTGACCAAATTCAGAAGCATCTGATTTCCCGGTCAGTTGGTCCATAAGCAGCCAGATCCACCCTGAAGGTGGAGTCAGCTCTTTTTGGCTTGGATGGGAGGAGAATTACTCAGTTTTGAATCAAATTTGTACCATTAAGCAGTATTTCCCTGATGACTCCCCTTCCAACTTTGCTTGTTTCCTTTCTTACTGACTTCTGCAGTCCTCTCCCCTTGTAGGGCAAAGTCAGCCTGGCTAGTCAGCTTGAACACAGGAAAGACTTAGAAAGCCTTTGTCCTGATCCGCTTGGAAGAGCAGCAACAGTACTGCATAATCATTAGCATTTTAAGTAACCGTTGGTTGTGCCCATTTACCCAGGACCAAGTAATCCCAGTCTCTTGTCCCAGAGTTCCTGCTACATGCAGCCAGGAATGGTGTCCCTTTTGAGAGTTCCAGAAGAGACATGCTTTAATTTTTATCACCTCCTTCCTCCTCCTAGGCTGCGCAGCAAACCATTGAACTTCAGGAAGCTGCCCAAATAAATGCAGGCCTACAGCCGGCCAACCTTGGAAGGAATAACAGCTTACACGACATGAAGACGGTCGTGAAGACTTGGAGGAACAGGCTGCCGATCGTGTCCGACGACCTGTCCCACTGGAGCAGCATTTTCATGTGGAGGCAGCACCATTACCAAGGTGAAAATGCCAAGTGCAGCACGGCTGCTTTCCAGGGAACTTCCCAGGATGGGCCTGCCTTTTCCAGCTTGGAGCAGTTCTGCTGGAAAGGAATTCTTTGTGGGCAAAGTGGCCACAGGATTTTCTTAAGCAGGAGCACCGAGCTCTTTCAGCCCAAGGGCCAAATTCTCAAGCCTGTGCAGTAGCAGAGAGGGCAGCCGAAGACAAACAGGGTAGGGCTGGAGTTCCAAGGAGGACAGTACAGGTTGACTTAAAGTTCTTGCCGCCGGTATCTAAGCCTCCAGAAGAGGCATTTCCACATCCCAGAATGGGGAAAATCGTCCCAAAGCTGGACATCCACAACAGGATGGTTAGCAGGGGTGGGGAAAGGTGTGTGGCTGATGGCAAGGCCTGGTCAGCCGAGAAACCCTGTGAAACTGGAGCAGGACCTTTGGTGGGCCATAATTGGTCCTTCAGCCTGACATTTTTCACCCCTCTTCTAACGATTTTTGCATCTGAGAACCCTTTTCCAGGGCTGAAATAAATTGCACCGTTTGGATGTGATTTAGCTTCCTCAGCAGCTCTGGGAAGAAAGTTCCCAGGTAACAAAGCCATTTATGCTGCCTGATACTTGGGGTTTGATGTTTTGCTTCAAGCAAGCTGTGTCTGAGGGTAGGAGTTAGGCATATGCAGTGTTTTTTCCGACCTTCTTAATGAGATAGGGAGATGGATATTTTGCAGTACACCTGAACCTGGACAATGAAAAATCCATAACTAGCACAGAGTGGACGAGTGGTATCTGTGTGCCTTTAGTCTTCCTTGTAGTCAAAATATTTTCAGAGCAACTTTACAAATAGATCAAATTTAAAATGGTGCGCTGCAGACAATAAGGGAAAGCAACAGCACAGCAAGGCATACATGAAGCGAGCTCAGTGGACTAAATTAGCCCATGCCAGCAGGTCAGAAAGAGGAGCTGTTGAATTTTATCCTCCCCCTGGCTCAAGTTCTATGTGTAATTTAAATGGAAGTAAATCTGCAGGCTGTTCCTTCTAGGATATCGTCAGAATCTGGGTAGTAAAAGAAAAGCCCCAGTTTCAGCCTCCTGCCTTTTACAGTTTTCGATCTATAAACCAAAGCATGCCTAAGATAACAAAAAATCACAACCTGTGCTTAGGAGCAGTGTTCTAGGGTACTCTTCTGCCCCAAACAAAAGGACAAGGGCAGGTTAAATGCGGGTCATCTTAGTCTCCTTGAATGCCTGAGCCAAAACCTACAGCAACAGAGTTAAACTCCATCTATGGAAAGCTTTATTATCCTTGCGGAAAGTTTGTAAGCCAGGCTCATGCGGAGTGAAGGTCGGTAGACCAGGCATTGTTATGCAGATGTTATTGTTATGCATAGCCTCGAGAAAGATTAAATCATAAATTACTTGGACCCTCCTCTCGGCTGAAACCTGAAAGCCATTCTTAGACTGATTGAAACCTCCTGGGGGAAAACATGCAGACAGAACAAAGGCCTTCTGTGTGAAGCCTTTGCTTTGACGGCCCACTTTGCTCTGGGATCCAGAGTGACCCCTTTTGTCTCTAGTGCTAGGTTTCATGTTGATCCTAGGGGAGAGGCTCAAAAGGCCTGGATTAAATAAAACAAAACGACTTGCCGGTATCTGAGAGCTGAACGATTCGGCATGAAGATGCTCTCCTTATAGAGCGTATTCCATAGTCAGGGCTATGACAGAAAAGGCCCCTTTGCCAATTCTTGCCAGACGGATTTCTTACTTTAGAGGCACACAAAGCATGGTCAAGGATGAATATGATAATCACCCAAATTTGCATGGCAAATGAATATGATAATCACCCAAAGTTGCATGGCAGAGATGGGTCTTTCAGGTGCCTACGTCCCAGGTAGTCAGGATTGAAAACGGCACTTGGACATGGCTGTCTGAATCCACTGGGAGATGCCGGGCCTTGTTCCAGCACGAGCTGCTGAAAGCGATGGGGAATTTTGTCAGTGGCCAAGGGAGACGATTTGCGCAGTATCGTCTGACGGCATGTGATGCAAGGATCTTGCGGGAGCAAAGCGAGTCCTGTGTATGCCACCGTATGTGTCATCATTTCTTTATTTGAAATGGTGCTTAAAGTAGGGGGCAATAATTAACCAAGTTTAAGCTAAACTTAGTTTTAAAAGACAACAACTTTGAAACAAACGGGTACATTGGAAGCAACAATAGGAAGAAAATAGCCTTGCAAACCAGTGAAAGCCACTTGAGCCACAGGCCACCTTACGTGCCAGAGGCTACTTGAATAAAGCAGCTTCATCTCCTGCAGAGGGACTATAAAGGTGACACATGCCTAGCCTCCCTTGGCAGGGAGCCCCAGAGCTTGGGAGCAGCCCCCAAGAAGGCCCTGCCTCTGATACTGGTGGGCCTCCCCAGAACGGCTTCAAAGTTGGAGCAGCTGGCATGGGAAGATCTTTTAGGTCCCAAGGCATGCTGGGCTTTATAACCAGCACTTTGACTTTTGCCCAGGAACAGACTGGAAGAAAGGCAGGATATATGCCTGATAAGAGTTTTACCCCCAAGGAGATGTGAATTCCTCTCGTTGCCTTCTGATTTCTAAAACTGGCACCCTTTGGCTTCCCCAGCCATCGTAAGCGCCTACGAGAACAGCTCCCAGCACGATCCTAGTTCCAACAACGCCATGCTGGGAGTCCACGCATCCGCCTCAGCAATCATCCAGTATGGAAAAATAGCGCGGAAGCAAGGGCTGGTCAACGTGGCCCTGGACATCCTGAGTCGTATTCACACCATTCCGACGGTGCCGATCGTGGACTGCTTCCAGAAGATCCGGCAGCAAGTCAAGTGCTACCTTCAGCTGGCTGGAGTCATGGGCAAAAACGAGTGCATGCAGGTACTGCGGCCATGTCCTCAAACAAGGTGTGCCCGTTTGGGCAGTAGCGACGGGGGAAAGCAACTGGCCTGGGGATCCAGGGCCAGGAGGCTGGGCGCTGCCTGGACCGGTCCAGGAGCTCTCCGTGGTGCTGAACGTGTGTTTCCCCCAACATTCCCACCCTGGATAGCTCCATCAGAGCTCAAAATACATGGATGAGGGGGCCCGCGCCTGCGGAGCCAGAGCCTCCAAGGCTTCTAGGGCTTGGTTATGAAAGAAGAGAAGGGCCATGGATATGCAGAATAGAATACACGCAGCCCTCCAGGGGATTCATCCTACAGCTTCAGTCGGTTCCTGCCAGTGTAGGCAAGGGTGAAGGATCATGGGGGTTGTGGGTTGAAACACCTGGCGGGTCACACCGTTCGGCTCTGAAGTGCAGTCCTTGGGGTAAGCGTCCCGCAGCTGATTTTCAAATAAAGCAACCTGGTTGTAGGGAGAAAACATTCGGCTAAAACTGCAAATCGTAATAGCTGTTTTGCATTTCAAGTACACATTTAACCACAGTGGGGTTGCATCCCCTTTATGGCCGTTGAGGAGGGACAGGTGCACCAATTGACATTTTGAGGGAGAGGGATTCCAAGGGCACTGTTAGGTGCATGTTGCATATATAGAATATTTAGGTTTAAAAGCAAGGTATGGCCAACATTGGACTTGAGAACATGGCATGCAATACATGACGTCCCACTATAAGTAATCGAGCCTGGTGAGTCGATGCGTTGTCTGAACCTGGCACAGCTTCTTCTGGCAGCTTGTTTTGCACACGTGACCCCTCCTCGAGAACCAGTGTGTTCACTGAGGGCTGTTCTTGCCCGCAGTGTTATTCGTTATTCGTCTTGCTGTTCTAGCAACGTTATTTTCTTGCTGTTTATTACGACTGTTTATATGCTGCCTTTTAGGATAAAAGAAATGCCAACTGAGTTGGCATACAAGTAATACAACAATAATGAAGTCTCAATAAATGCTGTGAGCAAAAGTTCCTAAATCGTTAGGGTCCTTCCTGCAGGGCAGGATATTAATGTAAGGCTGCAGTCCTAAACTTAATCCACAACAAGTATGTTCCTAGCATCTGTCAAATCTGGAGTTCTGTGGGGCTTCAGAGCACAGGAGCATGGGTGTGCCACATCCAAATGGCAAAGCACAGTTGCAACTTCTCTCGGTCAGTTTTCTTTTTTGCTAGTTGCTTCTCATTCCAAGTGAGAGAAATTGCATTCTGTGTTCTTGGCAGCCTGCCAGCACTTGGAAGCTGATAAAGGGGAACCATCTTCTGAGATGTTCTGTTGGGCATCTCAGGTGTTCTGCTGGTAATTTTTTATCTGACTGCGATGTACATTTTGCAAATCTTGCTGTGTGAAAATCTATTCAACAGGGCCTTGAAGTTATCGAGTCAACAAACCTGAAGTATTTTACCAAGGAAATGACTGCAGAGTTCTATGCACTGAAGGGGATGTTCTTGGCACAGATTAACAAGTATGTACAGGCCAGATAAGGTGTTTAGAACGCATCTGGGAACCTGTGTGTAGAGTGCACTGTACTTCACACTGAATAAATCCAGGCACTGTAGAAATGTGTATACGGTGACAGATTCTGTGTGGGTAGCAGCCATACTGCTTGTCGACACCACTCTGTGCAGCACCGGAGAAAGACGGACTGTTTGTGCCCACCTCCTCGCTTAATTTGCTACCGGGATATAATTTAATGGAAGGAAACTGGGATGTTGATCTTGAGGAACTGTTTCATTTTCTTTCTCCAGACCTTGAACCCTGGCAGTGATGGGGTAGCCAACCCCTGGCCTCCACTGCCCCGCCAGCAATAAAACAAAGAAAGTTGTATTTAATCAACTCTAGAATCAGTAAGCTGGGTAATTTGCCCTCTCTTGTTTGTAGGGAGTGGAACCAGACCCCTAATTCAGGAAGGGAATGACAATTAGGCGTTAATGCAGGGGTGCAGAACCTTAGGGTGGGGAGCCAGATCTGGCTGTGGGGGTCCCAGTTCAGCTGTCTGATATTTCCCAGAAGATGCCATCTCCTTCACCCAATCCTGAATCGGTCGGTAGTTTCCCGGCATGTACTGTCCCTGCTACATCCCAAAAGGCTGAAAAGTCTCTCTTAAGGCTTGGTTACTGGTGGTAAGACCCAGTCAAGCTCTGCCTTTGGACTCTGTCCCTTTGGTGCCACCCACAATTGTCAGGTGGCCACTGGGAGTGTCTCCAAAATGGGACTCAGTCCTTGAACCAAAAGAGGCTGTGTATCTCCTGAGTTAAAGGGAGGAAGTGATCATGAAACGTGTGCAATAGTGAATTTAGGGAATCCCATCCCAAGTTAGCACTTGGTTATATCAAAAGCCCATAGTATAATAAAGTGAAGAAGCCAGGGCATTCTCCTATCTGGATAAATAAAAATCGGCATGTGTGAATTGGCTAAACCTTCTTCTCCTTGGCAAAACATTATCCGGGGTTTCCAGCAGTTTGAGAGGCTGTAGATTTAGACTTCACCCCCTCCCCCCTAAAAAAAATACTAGGAATGGTGGCAGCCTTTTCCCTGTTGTCACAAGTAGGGCAGTTCAGCTCAACGGAGCTTGGTGGACCTTCTGCCTCATCCAATCTGATGTTCAGGAGGGGCCCCAGTGAGTTGGCGCAAAGCTTCCTGTGTGCACGGTTTGCATAAATGTGCGCGAGTCAATGAAATGTGCACACCTGGCACTAAGTATGCATGTTTTGCACATAGCAGTGCCTGAAAAGTGCATGGTCTTAGGTGAGGATTACGTGCTTTTGCGGTGGCTGTTTGCACAGAACAGCTGTTTTTACCCCATTCCTACAAAACAGCCAATTTAGTGGCAGCTTCGTGCTTTGCTGTTGCTGATTTATACGAATGGCATCCATGTACGCACACTTCCTTCGCAGTTTGTTTTTAACGCACACATTGTGGCCCATCTTAGAGACAGAAGTTTGCAAGCCGGCTTGGCTCATACCATAGCAAGTTGGCACCAGTACAGGGCTGGTGAACTGGAGTGCGGGGGCGGGGGCGGTCCAGTAGCCCTGTGGCTTGACTTGACCAAGTCTCTCCTCATCAGAGATGAGGCATCACACATCAGCTTGCTTTCTGCAGAAGCTGTGCCCATAACACAACTGCTGCTGCAGCTTCCGGGAAAGCTGCACACAGGATGAAATGCCCTATATCATACAGTAAGCATTGTGGGATCTTAGTTAGCAGTGTCAAGATCTGGTCGGGCTTTTCTTTGTCTGCTTCTTTTGGTTCCTCATTAATAACTTAGTGGAAAGGCAGTCATCAGAGATGCAAGCTCACACACAAGCTGTGACTCAGATTCTGGCTCCACGACACAATCAGGTTTTCAGCCTCGCTCCAGATTAAACTGAAGGCTGTTTGCCCTCTTTTCATGCTGAGAGCATATCAGAAACTGTTCGCTGCCACTCCAGTGTAGTCACTTCTGAGGCAAAGAATCAATCTGGCTGTCGAAATGTATCCTACCTAAGCTTCACGATCGCTTACGGCAGAAGGAATCTCTTGTCTTCTCTTCAGAGGAAAACAGGAGAGAATTTTAAGCAGGGAAAAGCTAATTAATTTGGCGAGAAAGTACAGTGCAATCCTTTTAGCGACCACAAGCATATCTTTGGAAGTTTTCTCTGTGAAGACAGATGGGTTCAGTAATTTAGACTGCACCTCTGCCTTCAAGGACCTGTATAGGATAACCTTCGAATGCCAGTCATCTTCTTGTCAAAAGCAAGGGTACCCTGTAGAATGCAGGGATCTCATGTCCCTCACCTCTTGTAACTTTCAAAGCATACACCAAAAAACTTGGGACCGAAAGGTCACTTTTGTAATCGACCGGTTCCTCTTGCATCCAACTCAGCAGCTAGGGCAGTGGGATTCAGTGAGATTTATCCAAAGCGTCAGCGATAGATAACCCAAGAGGCAAGGGAAGGGAAGCCTGCAGATAGATCCTGTTGTTAGCGGGAGGAAGCTGCAATAAGGCGATCCATTCATCAGCCTCTCCCTTCAGTAATAAGTTGCAATATTGCGCAGCCCAGGACATGGAAAGCTGTGAGCAAAAAACTAAAGTGGCTGAGTAATGCCCAGGCTAATTAGCTGTTTAATAAGCTATTTGACAGATAAGGTTATTTTCCATTTGCCATGTTTTTCTCCTGAAACCATCAATTCTTTCATTGCCGCAGGCTGTAATTGCAGGGTATGCAGTCCAAACTTAAGTAAAACCGAGAGCAGCTTCTGATGCTGGGGAAGGGAACAGGAGGGATATGCAAATATTCCACGCTCCCCCTTCCTTGGCTGCAATATCTGAAATAGATGTCAGTGTCGCTCCCAGAAGGGAGGCACGCGCAGCCCCCATGCGGAAGGCGCCATGAAAGCTCTGTGTTAGAACTGAGGCTAGTGTTAAGAAATAAGTGTGAATTTGCCTTCTGTATGATCGCAGCACACAACTACCGTATTTTTCACTCTGTAAGATGCACCTGACCATAAGATGCACCTAGTTTTTAGAGGAGGAAAACAAGAAAAAAATATTCTGAATCAAATGGGCACATCACCACAGGCACATTCCCCATCACTTCCCCATGGGCTGCACATCTGACAGGCTTACTGCACACACATACTTGCTCTATAAGACGCACAGACATTTCCCCTTACTTTTGAGGGGGAAAAAAGTGCGTCTTATAGAGCAAAAAATACGGTAATTGTTGCACCGGGGATGGGGGAGGCGGCTCTGGATTGCTTTTGGTATGGAAGACTTGAGGCCTTTCCAAGAACCGTCGGGATGTTTTCTTCTACTCTGCTGCTCTGTCTCATTTTCTTCGTTGTCGAGAATGCCTGCGAAACGAAAGTTCAGCAAATACTCCTGTCCCTTCACGTTACTTCCAGATCCGAAGAAGCGAACAAGGCGTTTTCCGCTGCGGTCCAAATGCACGACGTCCTCGTGAAGGCCTGGGCCATGTGGGGTGATTACTTGGAAAATATCTTTGTGAAGGAGCGGCAGCTGCATCTAGGGGTGTCGGCCATCACTTGTTACCTGCACGCCTGCCGTCACCAGAACGAAAGCAAATCCAGGAAGTATTTAGCAAAGGTGAGTCGCGCACGGTTGCGCTCGAGTTGTGGAAAGAAAGCTGTTGCGTTTCTGCCTGACCTAAAAATTACGCCACCAGGAAGGGGCTGTTGTGACAAGGACGCAGTGAGAAAGCCCATTGCAGCCATTTTAATAAACAGAGGCTCGAGGCCTCGGGAAACGTTGCGAAGGATAACCGTTAAAGGCTGGACAGGTTGTCTGGGGAAGTCAGTGGGCAGCCTTGCTGTTGGACACCGGCCTTTGCATTCTAGCACAGTTCATCTGAGTTCAGGGAAAGGACCGTGTGGGTGTTTTTCCTCCTGCAATGAGTCACCCTTAAAGGCGGGTGCGCAGCAGATGGCGACCTTTCCAACCTCGTTTCCGGCCACTTTATCTTGCTAAAGAAACGGATCCTGAATGTTCCTCCAGCTGTGTGGCTGGTAGCTAAAGTTGTTTTGAGAACCGAGAGGACAAGTTGACCAAGTGCTGGGAATTCGGCAGTGCAGACCGGAGGTGTTAAACCTTTCCGGTCCAAGCAGCGCATTCAATTTTAGACGAGCTCTCGGGGCTGAGGTTGCTGTGGTGGACGAGGGCCAAAAGCGGCAGGTACGGCCAAAGAAAGAGGTGATTTTAGCAAAAAGCGATTGCCACCAATAACTAAGGATTCAGAGAGAGATTTTGACGATTTGGAATGCGGCGCGGAAATACCAGAAAAGCTGCAAAACCACCAAAGAATAGGAGAAAAATTTGTGGGGCCATCTAAGGAAACCCCATAGGGCTGGACGTGGCTTGAGAATCTGCACCTGGGTGTAAGCAAAACTGCTAAATGGCCCAATGGCCTGACTTTGCCTGTGGCAACTTCCTTTGTTTCTACTTCATTGTCGTCTGCTTGATGGCCACTGGCTGCAGCTGCTCAACATCTCCTACAAGGGTTATTCCCAGCCCTGCCTGAGAAATGCACCACAAAAGTTACTTGTTTTTTCATTTTGCTGACATCCTGAGTGGGAGTAGAAGAGGAGGAAGTATGCAGATTATCTCATGTCATTGATTTTCCTTTACAGATTGATTCAGTAAAATGCAAAGAAAGTTAGAAGTGTTAATTAGCTAGCTACCTGGCTCTCCACTTATCTTCGTGTCCCTAAAAGGGCAGATGGGAAAGAGACCGCCAAGGCAAGTGGCTGTCAAAACTGCAGCACTGCCGGTTTTGCATCCATTTCATTTGTTCTGGTAGAATCCCTTTTTCTTTCAGTGCCATCATAATAGCATATCTGGCCACCACTGGAGTTTAGGAAGGAAAGGGCCAAGAGGAAATTGGGCCAGCTGGGCCTCTGTTCCTTCTGCTGCTCATAAGGTGGATTCTTGGCCTTTCCAAACAGGCTGTAGATCAAAATAGTTGCTGTGCATTCCCACATCTAAAGCTGATCCAACAACATACTGTGTTTTTCTGATGAAATGAAAGGCTAATAATAGATCACTGTTGCCAGCACCTGAGCCATGGCTGAACTCTGGCTAAATCCAAAATATTCTGGAATGGAAGGTGCTTTCTAATCCTTGACAAATGCCTGCCGCTGTGCCCCATATTTAAAGATCAAGGTTCTTTTGGCAGGTTGCCCATCTAATTCAAATACAGGTTCCTAAATGAATCTTGCATCTTTCAGTATTGCATTCACTTTAAATGTAAAATATTCACAGCCGTGAACGTGTTGGTATATACAATGCAGAAAGGCTAAAGATTTCTTTCCAACAGGCTAAATTTGTCTTTTATGCCTTAGATATATTTGGAGAAAACAATCTTGCACATTTCACTTGAAAGCTGGTTTTAATCTTGCCGGTTTTAATCATGCAGCTGTTGCATGTTAGACTTAACTGTGTAAGCTTGCTGTTTACAAAATATTAATCTTTTGTGAATTTGGGGAAATAATCTTCTATTTATTTGTAATATAGCGTGGAATCTATCCCTTGTTAGCATGCACAGTTATAGAAATATTAATATTATTTTCATATCCCTCGTTAGCTATCCTGAATGGCATTTGGCACAGTGAGTGTGGCAGTTTTGACCCTCTTAAAGCCAGTTGTACATATTCTTTGATTAAGGCATAAAGGACTTGTCTGGTAATATTGATTCCAGTGCAGATAATTAATACCTCACTACTTCTGGGACAAAATCTGTCGCTGGCCATCATGGCTTTCAGTTGGACCTTGATGAATACGGGCCACTGGGGGGCAAAGAGGCAAGCTAAAAATGTTTATGTAACCCTGTCTAGCAAGTACAGGAAGCCTTCTCTGGCATGTGCCGCAGTGTGCCATGGAAGCATCTCTCACAGCAGCATAGAATTGCTATTCTTGGCAGTCGATAGCAAAGATTTCCTTCTCTTAGGATGCATCTTATGCATGTTTGAACGAAAGAAAAGTCCCACAGCTTCCAGCGTTCCCCAAGCAGCTGTGCTTGGTTCTTCTGTCTAAACAGGCACAGATTCACACCTTTAATTGTTTGACAATAGCAGCAACACAATGACTTTTACAGGCTGTAAAAGTTACATTTGCTTTGCATATTATAGTGAGTACAGTAGAGATTCCTCTTGGCTTAGCAGAAATTATTGTGATCTTGGCAAGGGGAAACTGCATGTAAGCCCTGAACTTTCTCTGCTCAGCCGGTTTGGGCACATTTGTAACTTTGGGAGAATGCCGCAGGCGCTCTCACAGAAGGGCCGCCATCATTTCCTTGAAATCAAACTGGTAAACAGTACAGAAAAGTAGGCTGCTGAAGAACTTGGGTATAAGGTATTTTGAGCACCAAAATGCAACAGCACCCCGTCAAGCAAAGCTTGACTTTGCAGCTCGCCGGCCTCCCAGTTTAAAATGTATTCCTTTGTTTCGTTCATTTTGTTCTTTGCTTTTAGGTGCTGTGGCTGCTGAGCTTTGATGATGATAAGAATACCTTGGCTGATGCGGTGGACAAGTACTGTATTGGCGTTCCCCCAATCCAGTGGCTGGCTTGGATTCCACAGCTTTTAACGTGTCTGGTTGGGTCAGAGGGCAAACTTCTGCTGAATCTTATCAGTCAGGTAGGATCATAGACTAGTAGAGCTGGAAGGGGCCAAGATGGCCATCAGGTCCAACCCCTGCTGTCGCAGGACACCAGTTTACACCATCCCAGTTTCTTTTTGCACGTCTCTAGTATGGGAGAGCCCACGGCCTCTCCATGGCTGTACAGTGAAGGGGTCACCTCTGGTTCATTGCTTCTCATCTCTTCTATACAGGTTTAAGTTCTGTAAAACCTCAGGGATAAATTGAAAGCCATATACTTCCAGATTTTTTTCAAGGGCCTTTGCCTGGGTGTGCATATTTGCATATGCAGTGTTTTAATTCAGTATTGATAAAGTAGCATTGCATACCATCATTCCAGAAGGGTTTTATGTTCATGAAGAGAAACTACTCTGTTTAAAGGTGATCCTACAGGTAGTAAGAAATTGTCCGTTTGAACTTTGCAAACCAGCACAATCAGCAGGTATAATGTAGGACTAGGATTTGCTGTATGCATCTACATGACTTCCTGAACAAAGTCCTTATCAACCTTCTGTTTTCTCCGGTAAATGAAAGTATATACTTCTGTGTATGGAGAGTTGTGCTTGGTACAAGCACTGCTCCTTATGGGAGATGGGCCATTTGGCACAGAAGGAGCTGTGCCGGTTGTCCCGGCTGCAAAATCGCAACGGGGCATCTGGGCAAAGAGGGCATACCGAGAGCATGGCACACATCAATGCGCTGCAGGTGGGAGAGGCAGGAACAAACTCTTGCTGCATTTGCTCTGAGCACCATGTTGCATGGGCCTTCAGTGATCTGACGCACATTTACGGAGCTGGATGTATCGCAACCTCTTACTGCATTTCAGTTCCTTGGGATGAAAGCGGGGCACTTCGTTAAAATTAAAAAGATGGTGGGCAAACCCTTTTGCTCGAGCTTCGCATTTGCCTCTCTTTGTAGGATCTAGTCGGACAGATTGTTCTTTTCATTTAATGGGACCCAAATGTATAGATTTAAAGCTCCCAGTGCCACATTAAAATGTATTCATAGTGTGTGAGCGAGTGTGTTTCTGGAGGAGCCATGAAACCGCTGCTTGGTAAGATGGTATCTTTCTCCATTATGCTTATTTTTCACCCTTAGCAAGCGATTTTGTGGAGTAAGGTTTCGCTCTAATGGGCCTGGCGCACATGCAGTGCGTGGCTCATTGGGAATTGTGGTCTTATTTAAAGACTAGATGGTGTCTTTTAGTGTCTCTCCCTTCTTTCAACTGCATCAGTAGGATCTATTCAGTCTTCTGTGTGTTCTCATTATGCAGATGTCTGGCTTACAAGGTAATATGATAGATCCTTGTCAGCTTCTCCTTGTAACCTCTCCGAGTTATTTTATGTGCTGTTGGATGATGCCTTGATTTGGATGCAGCCCTTGCAGCCGTTTCCTCCAGCCTGGTGCTCTCCCAGTATTTTGGCTTCAGTGCCCATCAGCCCTAGCCAAAACCGTAGGTGGTCAGGGATGCTGGAACCTGTAGTCCCAAATCTTCTGAGCCACCAGGCTGGGGAAGGCTGCCGTTCAGGTTTGGGGACCGGGAGAGAGCATGCGTCCCCTTTCTGATCACCCAGTGCCTGTCATCAGACATCCACATAGGAGGGAGGTGTAATATTTAAAGCGGAAGTATACCTGTCTTGCTCATAAAGCAAGGTGTGTTGTTGCGGTGCCTTGTTTATCTAGACAGCCATTTTCGGGAAGGGTAGGTGAAGGCGGCTGGGGCCCCTACAGGAATCAGCCTAAGCCTTCACCCCCGCCCCCTCCCCTTGCCCCCAGCAAATCCCTTTTTGCCCACCCTGTGGCCCAATTGCTATTATAAAACCCAATGCATCCAGGCCCAAGATGTGTAGCCAGTATCTCAGATAAATTCCAGGAACCTGGGGGCTGCATGTGCCGAATGTGACCACATAAGCCTTCAAGGAGCTTTGCCAAATGCTTTGCACAGAAGTTGCACATAGATGTCTGATAGTGTCAGAGGCGACAGGCGTACTGGGTGGACGGAAGTGGGGTAAGCTGTGCTGTTCATTATTTAATTCATTGGCCCAGGCTCTCTGTCCCCGCTGTGCTTAAGACTCGGGCCTGGCATTGCCTCATGGGGCCCTTTTGTTCTAACTTTAAAGTTGCCTAAACAGTTATGAATATTAGTATTGCTATTACTGTTGTTATTAAAGAACATTTTCCTGCAGACAAGGAGCACAGGCTCATGGGTTCTGTGTGTGTTTTATCCCGAAATAGGTTGGGCGTGTCTATCCCCAGGCGGTGTATTTCCCAATCAGGACCCTCTACTTGACCCTGAAGATAGAACAGCGCGAGCGCTACAAGAGCGGTAGGTGGCCAACACGGCAAGGCAGTGCTTAGCTACCTGACTTGTTCAGGTGGCTGGCAGGCAGGTGCTCTGGTCCACCACTTAAACTCATAAACAGCATTTTCCAAATCTGATCACAGAGTCAGGTAGCCCCCCAGTAAGTCAAAATCACTGTGGTTTAAAACAAACTGAGCTCTCTCGTGTAAAAATTTAAGAGAGTAATTCTATTAAGGATTGGTCGACGGTAGTAATGCAGTCGTACAAGGACGGCATCTGAGGCCTGCAGTGTCCCTGGCTTTATTCCCGTGGAGTCTCTGAGATACCAAATACATTTTCCTTCTACATGTCTGGGGGATAGTAATAATAAATCCAGAAGGTTAACCCCACTTTGTCTGAATTTCTGCACGAATTTGAAAATAGCGATCGGGTCGAAAAGGGAATTTCGCAATGTCTGTTTATTTATTTGAGTTATTTTTATACTGCTCCTTAGCCAAAAGGTTTCCTGGAACAGCGCCTATATTATCAGTAAAACAAAATGCTTGTCTGTAGGCTTATAGTCTAAGCACACAAGGGAAAAGGTATGGAGTTGGAAGAAGGGGTGGAAATTAAATCAGTGAGACGGGTGGGAGAGCCCGCTTTCCCTTCGTGCAGCTGGCCAGGGTTCTTCCGTTTCTCAGTGTGCTTTAACTTTTCTTCCCATGTATCTTCAAGCTCATGGATGCCCAACTGGAAAGGGCCGTATGTGTTATTATAGAAGCGTCCATTCCCTTGTTTCAGGACACTAGCGAGCAGTACATGGGAAGCAACTGCCTCCTCCCACCCCCAAATTTACAGCAGTTGCAGAGTGTCAGAAGAGTCAAAGTCAGCATGTTCACTAGCCAGTTTTGGTGCTCTGTAGATGCTGTGGATGCTGCCTAACAGGAGAAGAAGTGTTTTGAGCAGCTGTGGGTGGGGTTGCAGCCAATTGGGGCTCCCAAGAACTCTTGACATCCCCCCCCCCAATTGTAGGAGAGCATGCGTGTTTTGGCAAAAGATGAGGTTCAAAACTGTTCTATATCTGACCACAAATGGGCATGAAAATATCACCCCAAATGCCCAACAGGGTTAAAAAGAACTTGCTGGCAAGTGCGGGAGATGAACATAATGATCGGAAATGCGCAGCCTATTTTAGCTTGCAGCTTGTTCCACGTTTCACACTGGATGGCATTGTGCTGCTGTTTATACTTCGGACAGTGTTCCTGTTCTCTCTGTGGACAGTCCTTCAGAGAAATGACTGTTTCCATGTGGTTAATGTAGACTTTGGAACCCAGTCATGTCATGGGATTTTAGGAATGGAAAGGCCACTTTGAATGCTTATTCTGGAAAGGAGCTTAGCTGTTCACGGCACCTCCGCTTTAGGGCAAACATCAAGCAGTTAGAGAAGAGCCAGGACCATAAACGAGTGTTCCGCATGGGTCTTTTGTGATGTGTTCTCTCTGTCAGCTTTATTGAAGTGGAAACATGAAGTGCTTGTTTATTGGGTGGGGGGGAATCTTGTAAAGGATTATGTTAATAACGTGATGTAGCAAGATCGCAATGTCTTTTCTAATTTCCGGTGAAATTGCACCTTATTTTTAAGGCTGTGGAATGCTTTGTAGTATGAATGATATTCTCCCTGTGCATGTTTCTCTTCTCCACCCACGCAATCCACATAAGATTCTGGACAACAGCAGCCAAGTTCTGTGGGAAACCAGTCACATTCGGCTTCAGACCCTGGGCCCATCAGAGCCACGGCCCCCATGTGGCGCTGCAGCCGGATCATGCACATGCAGCGGGAACTGCATCCGACGCTCCTCTCTTCTCTGGAGGGAATTGTTGATCAGATGGTCTGGTTCAGGGAAAATTGGCACGAGGAGGTATTATTATTGTTCCTATTGTTGCATTATGTTTTTATTTATTTATTTCCCGATTTATAGCCTGCCTTTTTCCTACAAAGGGCTCAAGGCAGCTTACATCATTCTCCTCCTCCATCTTATCCCCACAACAACAGCCCTGTGAGACAGGTTGGGCTGAGAGTCTGTGACTGGCCCAGAGTCACCCAGTTGGCTCCACGGCTGAGCGGGGACTCGAACCCGGATCGCCTGAGTCCCAGTCCCAGCTCTTAACCACTGCACCACACTGGCTCTCACTGGGTTATGTCCCTCTTTCCATTGAGAAGGCGCTCTCTGTGCTCTTTCGTTTGTGCTTGGCGGCATCAGGTGCTTCGACAGCTGCAGCAAGGCCTGGCAAAGTGCTATTCGGTTGCCTTTGAGAAGAGCGGAGCTGTTTCGGATGCCAAGATCACCCCCCACACGCTGAATTTTGTCAAGAAGTTGGTCAGCACCTTTGGCGTCGGCCTGGAAAACGTCTCCAACGTCTCCACCATGTTTTCCAGTGCTGCCTCTGAGTCTCTAGCCCGAAGAGCCCAGGCGACGGCGCAAGATCCCGTCTTTCAGAAACTGAAAGGGCAGTTCACAACAGGTGAGCTCCGTAGCTTGAAACTCCGTGCTCTGTCTTTGAGGAGGTGGGCCCGTTTGAGGAGGGGGTGGTGCACATGGCAAGGTTTTTCCCATGCATGGTGTGGAGGAGGCACCTGCAAGGGGTTTTGACCCCACCGCTGGCTGGAGCAGGGCAAGGTCCACAGGCCCAGCTGCTGACCTTGTCTAAGGGGCACTGCTGGACTTGGGCTGGCAGCCCTGACTCTGTATCTCAAAGCCCCATCGCCGCTCAGGAAAGTTATTTTTTTCCTAGTTTGGTTGCTAGGTAAGGGAGGCGATTCTCTGCTTATCGTGTGAGCTGCATGTACTATGCTGAGCATTGCAAGCTTAGGGAAAGCATTGCTTAAAACCATTCGGGCAAAGGAAAACGGTCTCTGAGTAGCTCCGGTTCACGCTTCCGTTGCCCAGCGGTAAGCACCTGATTCGTGATGGTGGGGCAGTCGTGTGGATATTTCTCCCAAATTAGTAGCATCCTCATAACTGACCTATTTTTAGACCCTTGGGTACCTAATATTCATGGAATTGCTTGTTTTCCTCCTCTTTTGAATTGGGGAACTTAAATCAGTAGCTCTAATCGGCCTTTCAAAGAAAGCATTGCACTATTCTTATTAATTTTCCATTAACTACCCTCGCTTTCCATTATTTATGGATTAGCAATGCACAGAAACATTGCTTTGGGGGGCGCACCTGCTCTTTGCCATTTTAACTCCCAGCCCACCTCTTCTGTGGAGCGTGTTGCGCGAAAGGACGCATCTGCATCGGGGGGGGGGGCTACTTGAGGGCTTTTTGTCCCACCTCTCCATCCTAGATGTTTGTAGCTGCTTATGAGGTGAAGTTAAAAATAAGTCAGAGCAATAATGCAACGTATTCTGATAGAAACATTGAACACAAGGAATAGCATTATCAAAACCAGCGACATTATTAGCAAGCGATCCTAATATATTTCTGTTGAAATGGTAGGGAAAATAGAAGAGTCTTGATCCACACCCTAAAAGGTAACTGTAGGCAGGTCCAGACAGAGGCATCTCAGAAAAGTGTTCTGTGGCTGGGTCAATACCAGGGTAAAAGCTGTGGCACATGGGCAAGGGCTTCTGAAGATCTAAGGGGGGGTGCAACTTGAGTGTGGGCCAAATCTGACCTCAGGGGGCTTACTTTGGTCTTCTGGGATTTCTCAGGGGCTTCATCCCCTTCCTCTGGCCACATCCTGTCCCTGGCGACTGTTTGGAGGTTTCCTGCTCTTCGCACCTTTTTCCATTTTAATAAGGTTGCAATGCATCTTTTAACACTGAATTACTGGCAGTAATCTTTTCCTGCTAAAACATGTTGGTATTTCGGGCAGGGGGCTTACCCTTTTTGCCACTGGGCTTGCCCACAACTGGAATGCTGTTCCCAAAAGTGTCTCTTAAACGGAATTCATCCTGACAGTGGTTTGATGCCCCTAATCAAAGCAAACAAACTTGTTCAGGGAGAGATGGTGCTTGCGAAGCCCTCGATACCGTGAGCGCTTTCTAGGCCGGGCAGAGTCATCGAGGCCGTTTCAGCCCTTGTGTTGCCTGCAGCCAGAATCCAAGAACAATGCACCCTGCTTGTTTTCCTTAAGCGGCAGCACTCTGCTGCAAGGTAAACCGGTTCTGAAACAGAGGAGAGCGTCTCAAACAGCGTATTGTCGTGGGCTGATGGAGTCACGTGGAAAATGAATTCACAGTCCCACAGCGTAGCTAACATGCATGTTTGGAATGCGAACTCACCGAAACATGAGGCCTTACGGGATTCTTGTGGAAGTCACATCGATGCCCTGCGCATTAGAGGGCATACGAAGCCCTGCTTGACGCCCTCTTTGAAGCTCAGGGGTTGCGTGGTAGGAGATAATGGAAGCCTTGAACCAGATGATCAGATGTACTGTGTGGTATCTGCTAGAGAGGATAAAGGTGCGTGACATAACTTCGCTTGTCCGTGGTGTTCACACAAGGGGTGTGTTGCTTGTGGGCTCCTGAGACACCTGGCACGAGATGGTGCTTTCGAGAGCCTTGTAGGAATGCTGTATTTTAAGGACAGTGGTCGGTCCCCAAATGTTTTAAGCTGCTGGGCCCATTTGGATTTTTGAGAGCGTTGTGAGTGTTCCCGCTGCTTTGTTGGGGTCGCTTGTTCATAAGATGGTCGGCGCAGTGGGCATGGCTAGTTATTAACCGCTAATTTCCCAGAAGGTAAGATGGTGGGACTCAAACGTATCTTGCCAGGAACCTGAACAGAAAGCAGAGGTGTGTGTCTGAGCTCCAAAAACACAAAACCACACTGCTTAACTCACACAAAGACAACGGCCCTAGTTGCTGTCCCTTGTCAGTGTCTCAGTTAAAAAATAATTACGGTGTGGGGGACACCTAATATATTAAATTAGGGTGGGGCAGAGAACCTTATAGGTGATAATTGGGACCCGTGGGCGCCATGTCGGAGACCTGATTTAGAATAGAAATGGCAAAGGAGAAATTAGAGGTGCAAATTTGTCCTGCGCCATCTATGGCGAAAAGGTCTGGAAGTGGTCCAGCGCCTTTTGAGAGAGGATCGTGGAAGTGCCTGAAGCCCTTATTGCCAAAGGTGGGCAACTTGGCCTATCATTCCCAGTGTTTTGACCTACAGTTCCCATCAGCTCCCGCCAGCAAAACCGGTGATAAGGGATGCGGGAAGTTGGAAGCCCAAACTCTGGTGGGATGATGGTATGGTTCCTGCCACCTCTGCAGGGACAGGCCCGTTAGGGGTGGGGTGGGGTGGGGGGAAGGGTTGCAGCATCGTCCTGACCGCTCTGTCCTTCCCCACTGCAGTTGGAGAGGGTGGGAAAGGGCCTGGGCCAATTCTGCAGAGTGCACGTTGGGCCGAGAAGGACCCAGACCCGTGCCACAGGAAGCTGCCTCTTGGAATGAACTGGTACCACGGGTCCATCTAGCTCAGTGTTGCCAGCGCTGACCAGCAGCGACAAGAGTCCTCCAGGATGTGGGGTAGCCCTACTGGGAGAGCCTGGGAGTGGACCCAAGACCTTCTGCATGGCCCATCATGCAGAGCTCCGTCACCCAGCGGCAGTGAGACTGCCGTCAAACTCGCGCGCATGGGGTGGGCCTGACATTAATGCTCAGGGAGGCATGAGGAAAGAGAGGAGTTACTTACCAAGAATTTTGCCTTTTCTGCCTCCAGTTTGAAAGTAAAACCACACTTAATGTTTTTATGCATGTGTCGATGGGATGCCTTTGAATGTGGTAAGCAAACAGCCTGTTTGACGTTTTATGAAAATTGTACGTCCCGTTCAAACAAAGGAGCTGGTTTTCCTCAGCTTCTAAGATAAAACTGTTCAAAGCCCTCGGGATACCAAAGGGATTCTCTTCTTTTAGGATAATAAACACTTTCTGATATCTTATGCAGATTTAATTTTTTCCCCCATTATGATTAGGCACGAGCAGTTCCAGGATTAAAACAGCCATTTTAGTAAGTGTGAGATGAGATTGCTTTAATCTGTTAAACTTGGAGTTTAAATTAAAGTTGAAGGGTGGAAGAAAATGGCAGCAATTAAGTTGGTCAATAAGCTTGCCTTGTGGACTTTCAGGATTTAATTCATTTTTCAGAAAATAAGTTTTTTATTAATTTGCAACAGTAATAGAATCTACACAGTGGAATTAATGCCAAGTTAATTACCATACTAGGCCACAGCTGAGGTTGGAGCAGCAGCGTGTGGAATTTCTTGGTCTTAACTATAGTCCTGTCATGTTTTAGGTGGGTTCCCCCACCCTCTGCTTTGCCTCTCTTTGAAGCTGACTATTGGGTTTCTGGAAGCCTTGCCAGATATTTGCAGGTGTAAATGCAAATGTGCAGGTGTTATTTTCCCTGCGTTTGAGTTGATGATTTGCATCATGGGTGGTAAACAAATTCTTTTAAGTCCTTTATGTTTATTTCCAGAACATGTTGTGGACTTCTTTAGAAAAACCCGAGGCTTGGACCTGGTTGAAACGTAGCTTGGTTTCCTTGCCTTGAACCTGATTGAACATTAAGTCTGAACAACAGGATCTGGCTTTGTTTTCCGTTGCAAAGGCATGGAAGAGCCTGATTTGTCACACAGTGCCAAACTACATGTTACCCTTAATGTGCAGTGCGCAGCTGCATCCTTTGTTTCAGTCTGAGTGAAGTCAGCCCCCGCCTGCCACATTCCCTGTGGTGTTCGTGGACACTTTCCAATTCACCCTATAGCTCCAGGATGGGGAAGAGGAGGTGGGGGCAGCTGACCAGAGACCGGGTGTGCTTCTTCTCCCTGTGCACTGTGACTGGGATGACAATGGCTCGGCGCCACCAGTGCCCCAAGCATCGTTACAGTAGAACAAGAGGCGTGGGTGACTTGGTGCATCAAGCACCCCGTGTGGTTTGTGTCAAGAGCCAAGTGCTCCCCTGCCCCCTTGGGACATCCAAAACAACAGACTGCTCCTTGGCAGAAGCTCTTTATTCTCCCAGGAAGCACAACCAACCAAGAACGAGCCTTTGGGCACGCACAGAGTGGTTCGTTGAACCCAGCCTAGCAACTGCTGCCCCGCATTCTTCCTTGGAGTACCCCTGGAGGGGGGGGGGTCTTCCCTCTGGGATGTCCTTTTGGGAGGTGGACATCACCTCTCTCGTTGGTTGGCTCATCTCTCCCAGTGGCGCATCATGGGGCCAAGAAGTGCCAGGCTTGGCTGGCTGCAGGAGTCCTTCTCTCACCGCCCCCCCACTGTCGTAAATGCCGACCATTCTCAACGGACACCCTTGCAGGAAGCCCCTCCACTTCTCCCAGTTCTGCTTCTGAGAATTCTGGTTCCCACGGCCCCTTGTCGTCGGACGCATCCAAATCTGCCTGACCTTGGAGCACGCACCAAGACTAACTCTCCCTTTCGTTGCCTCGTTCAGGCTGGTTTTCCTTCCCTCTGTGCAAAGAAAGCTAACTCTGGTTCAAAGCAGCACGTCGGAGCTGTGTGC